TCCTGATGAAATAATTGCATACTAGTTTTAGCTTCGCGAGTACATTTAAATATAACCCTTAAACAGTTTAAAACGCGAAATATATTCGTTAAACTGTTTAAAAGAATATTTTAACTAAAAAACTTCATTATTTTTTACATGTCTCACACGAAGGCACTATATAATTTTAAAATCTAAAATAAATTGAAAAAATTGGTAGAGCAACAGCACGAAACGCTGACGATGCCAGTTCAAGTCCTGCCCGAATGGAATTTTTTTTTCACATTTGATTTTTAAATTATTTTATTTATTTATTTGTTTGGTTTCCATACAACATATATACGTTTTTTACATACTTATAAATAATACAGAACATTAATTTTTACATATACGTCAATTACACAGAAACACATTGCAAATTCGGTTAAATAGGCACACAATTAAAACTATAATTCTAATTAAATCTAATACTAATCACAACTAGAATAATAAATTTTAAATTATTTTAACTAATGCCTAACGTTTCAGATGCTTTGCATTATTCGTGGTCACGGGGAGACACGTAAAAATAATATAATTTTACATGTCTCCCCGCATTTTAATTTTATTTAATAGAAAGTTATAAAAATAAGTAAACCTAACCGCTAACGTTTGTCCTTTAGCTTGTCGTAACTCCTCTCTGATGAACATCATTTCTGGGCGAAGATCACGGTGTGCCATCGGGTCCATGTCAATTTTTAGCTTTGGGTCGATATTGGCCAGCTGTTGATCGCTATATGATGTGGATGTATCAAAATATTAACCACACGCTAACTTTTTTATTATAATCTTTTGAATAACTACAGTAAGTAGACAAGATGCTAACCATCTATATAAAGTTGATTGCTAAGTTAATTTCCATAAACTGTGTTGTATTTTATATAAGAAGGCTTAATTTTAAAGTAAGATTACTAACAATCTAGCCCCAACGTCGGCTTCCAAAATGCCTGCCTCTTCCAAACTTTCGGGCTCAGCGTCCTCCTCATCTTTCGAAGACATTTTAATCTTGAAAATATCGTTTTATTGTTTACAATAATGTAAATATTATTTATAGTCGATTGATGTGTTTTGTTTTTTTCTTGACATTGATCATTACCTACATTTGATATGAAAGACGTTAAATGTAAGTTGAATTACTATAATTACTATCTTTTTCTTACCCTGAATTAAAAAAAAGGAAAAAAAAGGTAAAAAAGAAATAGAAAAAAAAGAAAAACCCTTGTAAAAATTAGGTGCATTAGGTAGATCCCTTGACATAATATAAATTTTATTTTAAACAATTTATATAACTGCCCTCTATATCCATATATAAATACTATTAGAAATCTTTATTCAAAGACAATAGTATAGAATCCGATGATTTGTAATGTTAAAGGTTTGAAGTAAGTTTTATTTTTGTTGCAATTAAACTACTTAACTATATATATAATACTTTTAATAGCAGTAAACAAAAATACAGTTATAATTATTTCTTGATATATTTGGATCTTTAAACAATTCTGAACGGTAATAACAGTATTGCCAGCTGAGTTATTTTCTAATTTGAGGTAATTTGTTACCTTCTGGCTTACGTAATATCATCAAAAATAAAGAAGATACTGATTTCTACGATTTATGATTCATCCAAACTAAACCTCAAAATACAACCTCAAACTGGATCAGTTGATAAAACATAATTTAGTCTCATTAATATATTTACATAAATAGTTTAAACTAAGAAGTAAGGAAAATTATTGCAACGAAACTGGCAACACATATAACGCGTTTTAATCTGTGCTATGATAAAGGGTGAGTGAACTGCCTCATTGTTATTTATTGCATTTGACTCTCATAATACATTAATTAGCTGTTTTACGGGGCACAGTGAGTGCAATAACATACATATTAAGTCGTGACAGCCATGCCAATGTGAGTAATATCAAAAGGTGTGGCGTATCGGGCGTTGTTCTTAGTGCCGTGACGTTTAGTGTTGTGAAAAAATATTTCTATTTCGACACAAGATGACCGAGTATAAGTTGGTCGTAGTTGGAGCTGGAGGCGTCGGTAAATCGGCCTTGACTATACAGCTGATACAGAACCACTTCGTGGATGAGTATGACCCGACGATAGAAGATTCGTATAGGAAGCAAGTAGTGATAGACGGGGAGACTTGTCTTTTAGATATTTTGGACACGGCTGGTCAAGAGGAGTATTCTGCGATGAGGGACCAGTACATGCGAACTGGCGAGGGATTCCTGCTTGTGTTTGCCGTGAACAGTGCTAAGAGTTTTGAGGATATTGGCTCCTACAGAGAACAGATTAAACGTGTAAAAGACGCGGAAGAAGTGCCGATGGTGTTAGTTGGTAACAAGTGTGATCTGCAGGCCTGGGCTGTGGATATGACACAAGCCAGAGAGGTATGTTATATAGCTTACACACTGTTAGGTTATCTTAATCAAAATTAAATGTTTCAGTACAGTGGTAGTAAAACAATAGCAAAAGTCATTATATTCTAATACAATATAACCTTATTCTTTTTCTGTTACAAATAATGAATTGGTCTTGTAACTACACACCTCCTGGGTCTAGTGATTACTAAACTCAACAGTTAGTTGGGCAATGACATTTTTATATGGTATATGAAACATTTTTGAGATATTTTTTATCATTACCTGAACTTTGAAAGACTGTTAGTCCCAGCTATCAATACTAATTAAGCAGCAGCAGTTGTTACCTCTACTCCTATTAGATCAGTGTGGTAGTTCTGTTCTTAAAACCCTTACTATGCAAACAGAGGATCTGTGCCCAACTGTAGATGTATATGTATTTGATAGCTTTACAATAATGAAAATTTAAAATTCTACTGGGCCCCAACCTATAATATTCTGTTTTGTCTTTAATACTAATAGTATATAGTAATAATACCTTACTTATATACCTATATCTTTAATGGCTACTACAATTAATCAGTATTTAAGAATGAGCTTTGTTGAACTCTATTTATGGCAATCAAGAGAGCAAGTGCAATATTTATTAAGTATGACTCACAGATTTGTCCAACATCTGTTTCTGAATCATTCTAATCTTTAAGCTGTGTCTGCTGCTAAATAAATGTTTTCTTAAATAATGACTGAGTTGAACCTCAAACCCACGCCACACAGTTTCCAGTACATACTGCCATTTTGCTGAATCATTTTTATCCAAATTCTGAACCTATTTTGCACCTATGTATCATTAAAAAACTATAAATTATCTGCCAAAATTTTAAAGTCACAACTATAAAATTTGTTAATGTTAATCACAGAATTTGTCTTTATGAAATGAGTTTAGCTAACAAAATAACAATATATGTGAATGTATGAGTTGATTATGTCATTTGTGATTCATGTGATAATTATATTTACATTTACATAATTAATTTTTATTATGCAATCTTATATTGTAGGCAGAAATTTATAATGTTTGGTAGACAATAATCTATTGTTATATTATAACTGTGAAATATGACCAGACAAATTTGAAATTATATTATGTTGCCTGCATGCAAGGTCTATGGGAGAACACATTTACTTGTTCTTGTTTTGTCTTTAATTAATTATGCTCCAGCAATTAGGTGATGGTCTTGAGAGATTTTGTGGTTAATAAATAATAAAAGTTATTTTACTTTTGTGGCTATTACTAGTTGTTTTTTCATTATTTTTATATATACATATATATATATATATATATATATATATATATACTGTTAATGTTCTTACCACAAATGTAACTGTTCTGCATTTCTGCATCCTAGATCTCAAATATTTGAGATTAAATTGTTCTATTGATATTTCAGGTGGCTCGAAGTTACGGAGTACCATTTGTAGAGACATCTGCTAAAACTCGTATGGGAGTAGACGACGCATTTTACACCCTAGTCAGGGAGATTCGTAAAGACAAGGAAAGCAGAGGCAAGAAATACAGAAGAGGTAACAAGTTGGGTTCAAGGCGTTCTTTTAAATGCACATTACTTTAAGCTGTCTCTGTACATTTAATGTCTTACACAGTTTTATGATAGATTCTCTACAGTGTGGTCTGATTTTGTGAAACATTTTCTGAAACATAGACTTTAATTATTATTTGATACTATTGAAATTGGACTAAGATCGGGCTTTGAGCGTCAAGGTTAATCATATTTTTATTTTAATACCTCTATTATTAACAAGATAACAATGTTAATGCACTCTTCTTAACAATTAATATATTGTGATAATAGTGCCATGAATTTAATTAAAACTAAAAACTTATTCCTTCCTCCAAGTTTTTGTATCTGTAATAACAGATAATACAAAACCTCAAACTCCAACCACACTGTAATAAAGTCTATAAAAAATATAAATATGTATTATTAATGTACTCTAAATATTTTATACTTTCTCATTTACCATGAAATCATAATTTTTATTAAATATAATAATATCAATTAAACTAATTTAAGATTTTTACACAATATTATTTAATTTTGTCATTTGCCAGTTCAATGAAGTTTAATTAATCTTTGAAAAAATTTTGTGTGTGAGAAGACAACTAACTATAAATAATTTAATACATAAAATATTACCTGCCTTAGAGAACTATTAAAATGTTAGTGCATATATTTTGTCTTCCTCATTTAAAAAATGCTTTGAATATTCTATATAACTATAATAGAAAAACATGAAATTAGATGTAAGGCATTACATTTTCATCATTTTAATACATGACCTGGAGGTTTTTTTTTTTACAATATTGATCTGTCAATGTCGATACTATTAGGTCAATCCAGCACATATGTAGCATTTTATATTTGCTGTAATATAAGTAATTGATTAATTTAAGACATACAACTGTATGTTTTATTATTTTAGAAGCTTACACAAAGTTGTCATGTAAATAATATAACAAGGAAACTTTCGAAGTGTACCCTCAATTTTACATCACATAAATTATATTAGCAATGTTACTAATAGAATTGTGTGTTGAATCAAAGTTTTGTGATGACGTGCAATCCTTATTGCCGGGCACTGTCTCTTGAGATAAGGTGTTATGAATTAAACAAAATATGTATTCATTAGATTAAAAATGCCCTAGGGGAAATTCTCAAAAAAGTAAGTTACTGTTTTCGTCACCATTTACTTGTAATTATGTCAATTTCGTATAAACTGTATTATTTTCGATTTATAACACGTGTAATTGGCATATCACTTTTTTGTGAATTACCCCTTTCTTACTATAGGACAAAGTTAGTTTGACAGTCTATCTACTGAAATAACAATAAAAATATCTCATATATCAGTAGATATTCTATCAAGCATATATATTATATGACTGGCAAATGTGAAAACCTTTAACATGAATTGACTTCCCATATTTTTGTACAAAGCAATTGTTGTACATAAGTTCTGAATTTCCTAGTTTTAAGCTTCCGCGTTTCACTCGTCTTTAGCTAGATAGTGTTAAATCAATTGTAGCTAATTTAATACTATGAGAAATATGTTGTTTCTGCGTTGTGCTATTTTATGCGAAGAGAACTCGAGAGAGAAGGCCTCTTAAAGGCGTTTACAAGCAGAAAATGAAGGGCAGGAAACGAGAAATTCAACTAAATTGGTTAAATCAAAAGCATTATAATGTCGATTTCTAGTAGAATCAGATAAACGTTTTTGTATTTAATTTATTACAAAATATCATATTATATATCTTTACTATATCATTAAGTACATCATACTTTGGTTACAATGGGTTATTTAAAGGACATTTCACACATTTAAAATAACGGATATTCTATCTTATTTTACCTAAAATGTGATGTTTTAGGTATTTACAATATTATTGATGATTATTTATCCACGGGTTAAAAAAAACTGATCAGTAAGAAATAACAAGTTGAAAGCATTGCCATTACAACCTTTTAAGAGTTCAACAATTTAGTAACAAAGTTTATATCAATATGTAGAACTAGTTAGTGTTGAGATTTAAAATATTTTTTTGCGGGGGTAGAATTGACAGTCCTTTGATAACCACCAAAAACTTAACCAACACATTGCAATAGAATAACAAACTTAACCATTTTATAGTTTTTTATACATTTATCATTTGGATCGCCTTCTATACTTTTAAACCTGTATAACAAAGTAATCTAAATATTGCAGTGCATAGTTTTTTTGCATACATGTTATATAGATAACATATTGTACAATAAAAAAAAACATTGAACAATACAACCAAGTTTCGTCGCTCGTTTTTTAATGGATGAAATTTATGAAAAAATAACTGCAAGTCATGTTTTTATAATAATTATTGTTTAAGTAATGTTATTTTCTATGTCTTTACTCTATCAGTCCATGCAAGTAATAGCAATAGTGTGGCTCTTGCTATCGAAAAACCAAGGTTGTGTTCTATCAATAAGAATACGCGCTTCTAATAATAAACTGGCACTTATATTCTAGCTAATTAATTTTTATAAGATTTTTCAAGCTTTTTCTTAGAGTAATGCATACAATGGCTTCTTCAGATTATAGATTTTAAGTACATACATTTTTCATTGAAGTCAGAACAATGATTGACATAGTCTGTGACATGTAAAGCTTTAGTGGAATTTAGTAAAGGATACTTGTATGAACGCTATCTTATTATATTTAGTATCTAAACGAAATTAAATAAATCACTGGATTTGTAACATACATAGTTGCAACCACCAGCAGTGCCGAATTATATTGACAAATTATGTAGCGATAATTAATTTTTTAACAATAGATGCGTCATTGTTAATTTTTCATTGCAATAAATAAATCCACGTGTTTTAATTTTTAAAACATTGCTACCCGATCTATGGCATGCAATTACTTTATAAATGTATAAAATGCTGTGTTGCCATTTATTAATTTACATCCATGTGGGGTAACTGTTATTTATGTATGTAGTCACAGTTTCTAGTTTAGAAAATATAGGTACAATGAAAAAATTTATCGAATTTTATATCATCAAGTTCATTTTCATAGTTTGACACTTTCTATATTTAAGTTAATTAATATCTACCTAAGACTATTTACTTATATTTTAACGAAACATAACTGCCATGCAAAGTCAGTCCTTAATGTTTTGCCATTAGTTATTGAGTTCGTAGGTTTTTTTAATACAAAGCAACCAAAGGGATAGGATTTTCTATTAATTATTTAGATTCATATCAATGCTAAAGCACAAATGTTTAAAAAAGTAGGTTATAAGTAATGTAATATCATTGTAATTCTGTGAAAATAGCACAGATTGTGCTTGTTGGAGTTAATAAATTGGCAAAATATATGTATTACTTTATTTTGTGCTTCTTAATAGAAGTCATCACATAGTAAACGTCCCACCTCTACCTATAGTAATAATTCATCCCTATAGAGTACCGACGTCCGCGTCGGTACGGAAAGGACTAAGAATCAAACTAAACTAAAGACAACCACGTAACTTCTGGCTGCTCCACCGCCGCTAGCTGAGGACACAAAGTGGTGGAGTAAGTGTTTTTATTTTACGTATTGAGCCCGGGGCTTCGAATACTAACCGGACGTTTGGGCACTCGCCGTGTTTGCGGCTAGACCAAGGGTACCCCGAGGGGGGCATCGGCCTCGGCTTGGACCGGACGGAAGCTCACCCGGGTGAGCGGTACGCGGAGGGAATGACCTTTCCTTCGCCAGCGAAGGCGGTTTTACGGACGATCGGCGCCGGCGCCGACGGATCGCGTTGAGACTATAAGTGTATCGACGGCTTTGGTTAAGTCGTCGTAGCATAAGAGTTATAGATGACCTTGGGACGAACAAACATAAATAACGTAGGAGAAACCTGCCATGTACATGACATTGGCAGAATCCATTTACAATAGGAAAGCCGTCAAATTTAGAAGAAGACATTTAATAGTAAAAAAATATGACATTGACAATTTCTGACTTATTTGATTATTGATAGTTGATAGAATAAAGAATATTTTAAGTACCGTATTTTATTCTTCCTAATTTCTATGTTTATTTGACTTTGAAAAGTAGTATACAACATTATAATATAATAAATAATTATTATGGAGTCATTAGACGTGTGTGCCGAAATAGAGAACGATGATTTTTACAGTCAATTTCTTCTGGAACCGATAAAAGTGGTAACCGGTGATAATGTATCAGTGACGGAGCAAGTTACTAAACTTACGGATGGTATCAACAAGCTAACAAAAAGCCTTGAGTGTCAAGTTTTAGCTAAGCACAATGATTTATTAACTCAGGCTAGCCACATATCCGATTTAGAAAATATGCTAGAAGCAGTAAGAGTCCAAGAGGAAAGTCTTTTACGTGGCACTGAAGGTTTGGCGGATGGTGTTTACGCGTCATACGAATCCCTCGAAAATCAAACAATAATGTTAGAAAGGGTTCAAATCACATGTAATTTACTCCGACACGCTTCAAAAATTCTGGTTTTATGGAACAAACTGTGTTCTATAAACGACAATCCTGCGAAGGAAGCTATGCTGTTGTATGAATTAAATGAGCTATTTAATGACTATGATTTTGAAGGCATCAACCTTCTCGATGATGTTTTGAAACAAGTACGAGATCGGAGGACTGAACTACTAAACAATTCCACAGAACTGTTACAAAGCAGCCTCTTGAGCGGAGATAAAACTAAATTGCTCCAGTGTTTCAAAGTATTTCACAACTTGCAATGTACCGGAGAACAGATCAACAATACAGTGAACAGTATACTTAAATGTCTACAGAGAGAAATACACAATGCTCTCGATATTCAAATGGTATCTATAGAAGTAAAAAAATCTAGTTCTGGACGCATAGCTCCTGGTAAAGCTAATATTATGAGTGCTCAGGATTTCAAAATCAAACTTTGGGATAACATTGAGAAACTTTTCAAAGTTGAAATATATAATAGTTGTTTAAAGGCAGTAATGCTGCAGACCGCTGTGACTGAACTACACGCTATTGGTAACTTTAGGAACATTGCAAAGAATTTCTGGAATGAGCTCTGTTTACTATTTAGTACTGAGTTGGAAAAGAGCCCATCTAATGTTAGCCAATCGATCGAAATAGATTATGCTAAGTTATTGAAATGTTTCAATGATCTTCTATCAAAACTCAAATGCAAGAATTTGGAAATGAACCGTTCCTATTTTACTAAATGGGAGAACTCATTTCTTTCAAAATCATTAGCTAAACTACTAGATCCAGTTAGAAGCATGTGGCATCTGAACCAAGTTCCTAACATGGATCAAATCGACAATGCAATAAGAGTTATTGCTGAAGCTCTGAGCATTTCCTTAGGTGATAAGCAACTGAGCATCAGTTTAGCAAACAGTGTAGCTAAGAGTATTAAACAGATGCACATGGAAACCGAACAGCGTCTCTCAATGGATAATGATGTATCACAAATTATTGAACCACCTACAAGCTCTCAACAAAAAAATGCCGACCTATGCAATGCCTTATATTATTTTACATCACAAATAAAGAGAGTTCTTGTAAACTTGAATTCTCTCCTGCCACAAGAGAGTGTGCAAATTGTTCAAAGCAGTTTGAAAGATATATCTAGCCTGCCAATACTTCAGTTATTTTCTGAATCTATTAAAAACTCCCTATTCATTATCTTATTGACGATGCACAATGAACAGGACTTTGTCAAAAATGAGGATCCAAATAACAAAACACTATCTTGTTCTCCATACATGAAGGAGTTACAGCAATTTGTCTCACGTTGCAAAGATATATACTTGTCAATGTTTCAAGACAAATCTGCTCTCAATGAATGCAATGTTACGATTTCAAAAGCCTGTATTGAGAGGTTTATACATCATGTCTGTAATGTACGGCCGTTGACGGTTTACGGTAGAGCCAAACTGCAAGTAGACTGTAAACATTTGGAGATATCACTATCACCATTGATAAATGATGTAATTGATTTAGGTGATAATTATCGTCAACTAAAAGCATTGCAATTGCTATTAGAAAAATCACCACACGAGATTGCTAAAAGCCAGTATGAGGGTGCATCTTTGCCATACTCATTGGTTATGATGTTTTTGTTTTCACACGCAGGACAACAATTACTAGCGCCTCATGTTTGCGCAGGATGGAATATTCAAAAACTAATGCAGTGGTTAGACACACACAAGAACGAAAGGGAGAGACTAGAATTTGTAGCTGGTGCTTTACAAAGATATCAAAATCATGTCAGACAGAATCAGATTGCTACCTATGATGAAGTATACCCTCTCCTATTACAGCTATTAGAAGATGGAAGAAAGACATTAAAATAACTTCATCAGTGTTTCATAATATGTTGTTTATTATATATAATTATTTTATCTTCAAGGCACTTACCTATGACCAGCTGATCCAGCTGACATGAAATGTGCCGATTAGACTTACATTGTTTAAATGTAAAATAAAATAATGTATATTAAATAGCATACAAACGTATTTATTGGCATAGTACAGTAACTTATTTCACACAATTATCTAAAGAAATGTAACTTCCTCTTCGTCTTGCGAAGAAAGGTTTTTGTCGTCATTCTAGAAAAAGAAATGAATGATTATAAAATCTCTATGATTTATTATTTATACAAGAGTTAACAAATAGTAAAACTACATGTACATAAAAATCATATTTTATTCTCATAACAACATTAATATATCATTTAAACATATTGAAGTAAATAGTCTCCAGGTCTAAAACATATTCTTCAACTCTACATGGATTATACAATTTCAGTAATTTACATAACAGCTTCAGCACAAACATACAATTGATATTTACATAGAACCAGTCCAGTAATTCATTTACAAAGATGTTACAAAATCTTGGGCTATTGAATTAAAAAAAAGGCTTTAATTTTAGCATTTAAGGAGTTTTTTGTTAAGAAAATGTCTTAAAATTGACACAAATGATTTTTAACTTAAATCTTGTAATTTTTGGTCACCAATCATCAATCTGTATTACATGGGAATGTTATTATCTATAATTGGTATATTAATTTACTCTTACTTGTGATTTTGTGGTAGGTTTGTCTTTGACATACATTCATAATTAAGTTAAATTGCCTATATTCAGCAGCTCTATGAGTTGCTGAAAGGAGCTTAAACTGTTTTTTGACAGATTCGACTAAAAACAAATGCAGTCATTTGTTTTGAAATAACATACAGACTTGGACATAATAATTATCTAAACAACATTAAATGCTCTATAAATAAAACAGCGCCCTTTCCACAAATTACTACTCTACCAATTACCACTACTACTTCTAGTTTACAAATCAGACCTGATCAAAAGCAATGTTAAAGACATCCTGGTATTCATTGACGAAATGTATCTCGATGTCTTTCTTTATAAAGTCGGGGAGATCGTCGAAATCGCGTCTGTTCTCTTCAGGTAATATTACACATGTTACTCCAACACGTTTCGCCTGAAATGGAAAATATTTTATAACATATTTCTAATTTTGGGAGAATATTTCCTTTGTCTATGTAAAAATAAATTATTACAGTTTGTTAGAAAGATATATAGATAAAGTCATTAAAACGACATAATAATAATGAAACCAAATGTTTTATTCTTTTTAAGCTGATGGCTTACCGCAATAATCTTCTCTTTTATTCCACCGACTGGTAACACTCGGCCTGTAAGGGAAATTTCACCAGTCATAGCGAGTTGCGACTTAACAGAACGCTGCAGAGCCAGCGAAAGGAGTGCCGTTGTGATGGTGACACCAGCTGATGGACCATCTTTGGGTGTAGCGCCTTCAGGTACGTGGAGGTGAAGATGGCTATAGAATTAGCAAGTAAAGAATTAAAACTTAAGTCCGATATTAGCATCACATGTCCATTCTTTTTATAAATGATAAAAATACTCAGTAAAAATACCAACGGTAATGCTTACCTGGTATTTAAGAACGTGTTGCCAGGGTTGTGAGCATTCAGGTAATTTCTCGCCACCGTGAGAGCAATTCTCGCCGATTCCTTCATGACGTCACCGAGGTGCCCCGTTAGCTCCAACGAACCGCTGCTTACTTTCTCTTCTTGATGTTTATTGCGTAATGCTGTTTCAATGTAGAGGGTGCGCTGCCACCTAGTCCTTATATATTATGTACAAATACCAAACTCAACCTAAAACTCATTTATTCACGTAGAAACCTGGATAAACTAATGAACGTCACACTAGTTAAAAAGTGAAGAATCTAAATTTACATTTACTTCCAGTTCCCTAATCAAAAGCGTAAAGCAAACGAGAAGAACTGGCAAGAAACTCGCCGCCACTCCTTTTTCGCCACTCGCCAAGTCTCATACCTTAATAAAGGACTACTCCTTAGTAATTTGAGTTTTCTGAACAAAAGCCGGTATTATTATTATATTATTTAGCCAAACAGAAATTAGAGTCATGTGAGGTAATAGCAAATCTTCAAAAGATGTCTCACCCATAGCGGTCCACGCAAGACCCATTATGACACCAGGGGGTGTAATGTCATACATCCTGTCATGTTTAAAGGTAGGTTTACCCACCAGTTCAGATAAATTCTCATCGTTAACCACAAGCTTATCGGCTTCTTGCTTCACTATCTTGAACGCCACCTTGCGGGCTATCTAGAAAAAGACAAAAAGGGGAATCTTAGCCTCTAATCAATACATCGCACGCTTAGTATTACAGTGACCTAATTAAAAAAAAAAAACACTTTTTTGGCAAATCGTATAAAACTGATGGTGGCGTTATATTAGTAATGTCAGTGCATTTATCTAATTTTACTTAAATTTTTGAGTTAGGTCACTCTAATACTAAGCGTGCGACATGTAACTCTTATACTATCTATCTTAAATAGTTAAGTTGTCATTTTACTATGTTGTAATCCTAAAAAATTTGAATTTAGGCTAGTGTCATTTTAGTTCACTCTGACATGGGCAACAGGAAGTCGTGGTTTAGCAATAGCCTATTGTGAGGCCGCTAGAGGCAGCCTGCAATTTAATGACTTGAGTTATTTATATTTTCATAGTCTAAAAATGTAATCTTCAAGAGTACAGAAACTGAAAATTTTTAACATAATTTTTACATAAATAATAGTACGAATTCATTTTCGCCTCAGTTAATTGCGCATTTTTTTCTCCTTATTGAAAATCATGTATTTTTGTTGGATCTCTGCCTTTTCGCCGATTATCACTTGCCAACTGACGTTTCGTAGAATTTTCACGACTAACGATTGTCCAATTTTTATATAACAACGTTTCATTTAAAATTATTGTGAGGCTGATTATTGTAATGACAAGAAACGTTTTGGGCATTTATCTTTTGTCAAATGATTTCCTCACATTATATTAACAACATTACAAGCGAGTAATATCTCAACTCTACTTTCACTTTTTTTGTATTCAATTCCAAATTTTAAAAATATTTTAAAAGATATAAGTATTTTTACCTTTTCAATATGTTTCTGAAGATTCCTTACACCACTTTCTCTGCAGTAGGACTTAATTAAAGTGTGAAGCGCTTCAGGGGTCAAGTCGAGTTGTTCTTTACTTAAGCCGCAGTTTTTCTGCGCCGTCGGAACCAAGTACTGTTGCGCTATCGCTAACTTCTCTTCTGCTACGTAGCCTGAGTAAAAATAACAATTTGTACTATCAGATAATTATATTATATATACCTATACATTAAGAAACAAGTAACACACAGTGTTACAAATTTAACTCTGATTTTTCAAGAAATACCATTGTAAGGTCATCTCGTCACCACTACCACCTATATCACCCAGTGGCCTTATAATAATTAGTGTCATGTCAAAAATAAGTATTTTTTACTTAATGTTTTCATCGATACATATAACTATGTGAGCGATAGGCTTTTTATGCCGTAAAGGGAATTAAATCACTAAGAAACGGAATAAATTGTTTTCTTGTGAAATGATACAACACTTATTGACATCAAACTGAAACTGGCCCTATATGCGTTCGCTTCACCATAGAGTATTGACTTATTCCTTTCTAGTACATTATAATGAAACTCCATAAACTAACCAGACATATCGATAAGCTCCATTCTGTCCCTAAGCGGTTCTGGTATCATGTCTACCACATTAGCTGTGCAGATAAATAGAACCTTTGAAAGATCAACTGGCACGTCCAGGTAGTGGTCCAGGAAATTTGCGTTCTGCTCTGGGTCCAAAAGTTCCAAAAGAGCTGAAGATGGATCACCGTGGACACCTCTGAAATCAATGTTAAGATGCAGGCATCAAAATACTTAACCCCCGGTTTTGTCTCTAGATTTTTTAAATAGGTAGTATTTTTGTTAATTGTTATTTTTCAATGTAGTACTTTTCTTTTGAGGTATCCTAGTAATTCATTGTGTTTGAAGGCTTCACAAAATGTTTAAAGTTATAAATATTAATAGCTAAAAACCTTACTTACTTTCCAATTTTATCAACCTCATCAATAAGTACTAATGGGTTCTCGGTTCCAGTTTTCTTTAGGCACTGCACTAGTTTGCCAGGCATCGCACCGACGTACGTCCGCCTATGGCCTTTTATTTCAGCCACATCTGTCATACCACCGACAGAAAAACGGAAGTACTGGCGGTTTAACGCCCGCGCTATTGAACGAGCTGAAATCAACACCTTGAATGCACTTTATTGCTGTAGGCATAATAGCACTTGACACATCCTATACTGAAATAATCATCGTTTGAGATGTTACATAATAAAAAATACTAATTTTGTTATATAAGTGTTCCGAACAAAAACCGGAACCTTACTGTTAAGTAAGGAATTAATACATCATATGTTTAAAAATCCAACAAAATCTATTACGATAGTTTAAGTTAATATTAAATTAAAACCTTCATATATGAAGATACTTTCCAAATGCTGTCTAGAGTTTACGCCAGTAGTACACATTTAAATAAAACACTTTAACGGTTTAAAACGTGATATATTTGTTAAACTTATTTGAAAATGATTTTGAACTTCGGCCCCACGTTGCTGCTGCAAAGCATTTTTAAGGTTAAAAATATGAATAAAAATCATTTTCAAATAAGTTTAACTAATATATCGCGTTCAATACAAATATTATCCTTACCTATACTAGTTTTTCCGACTCCTGGTGGTCCATGGAAACACAAAATCTTCCCTTGGGTACTGCCTTTCAACTGTGACACCGCAATGAATTCGAGAATGCGTTTCTTAATGTCTTCCATGCCGTAATGGTCTTCATCTAATATTATCTGAGCATCTTCCAGCTTCAGGTTCTCTTCGGATGTGATACCCCAGGGTAGAGAAGTCAACCAGTCGAGGTAGCAGCGGGTAACACTGTAAGATAGTTCATTTGCATTTTGTTAAGTAAAGATATATAGTGTAAATTGAACTAATTTTGCACAGTTGCAAAACTTTTCTTTGCTACACGATTTAAGAAAAAAAAATTGGCTCATGATGAGTTTCTGTTATATTCCATTCAGTTTTTAGTTAACAAATTGGTAGCCTTTATTCTTTAAATAAAGTATATATGTATTTATGATTCTAATACCAGGTCACTTACTTAAATTCAGAACTATGGCTCTCCAAGAAATTCAACTTGTTTAATTCTTCATCAATAACATTTTGGACTGCTTCAGGGACCGTTTTCTCAGCTAATCTCTCTCGAAATTTCTCTCCTATTGCATCTTTATCATCTTTCTCTAGACCTAATTCTTTTTTGATAACCTACGAAAATTATTTTGTTATTAAAAAATATCCAGTAGTAGTACTTTTTGCTTATGTAAGACCTAACTTACCTTAAGCTGCTCATGGAGTATATATTTCCGATGCTGTTGCTTTACTTTTTCTTCTACCTCTTTTCCAATCTTCTGCTGTAATTTAGACAATTCATACTCTTTCTTTAGAAGCGATAAGGACATCATCAGTCTTTTCGGAATCTGAAACAAGAAACAAGTTTTTCTACATTCTTTATTTAATGAAATATTATGATAGAGATAGAATTTTATCAATATATAACACTATGTTGTTAAAAAGTTGTTATCCTAATCTAAGGCATCTAATGATTTATATTAATCTTGATTAATGTCTACTGTGTTTTTTGTGCATGTATTTTACCTATATATTACCCTGATGTATCAACAATGCCATCAATCATGTTAAGAAAAAGTAGTTTGCTTACATCCATCTCTTCGAGCACTGCCTGCAGTTCAGCTGGTTCAGCACCGGTAAGTGCTGCTCCCAAGTCACTTAAGTACACAGGGTTGTCGACCACTCGTTGTCCTTGAGCTAACATATGATGGAGCGACTCCCTATTATATAAATATGTGAATTAATATTTAAAATATATATATGTAAATAATTTTAAAAATTTCACATTTTGCACACAGGAGTTTATAAGAAAATGAATTATTTCTTATGGATATAAAACCACGAAGGGCATACTGAACTGACACTCCACCTACTTAGCTATTAAGTCTAATAAATGGTTTTTTTACTTAATGTAGTTATAGAATTCAATGTCATCTTGGTTACTTAAAAGTGTTATGCATACCTGTACAATGGATTCAAACTTATAATATCTCGTATTGTTTTAATCACTTCTTGGGTCAATGCTTTAACTTCTTCATTTTGCTTAAATTTCTCGTGCATCATATTCTCAACCTTGACCATGAGGACCTGGTCAGGTGGCAATTTCTTTGTCTCCTTCACCTCATTTTCTGTTTCAGTCTTTTTTCTGGTATTCCTGTATTTCCTCCGACGTCGTTCGGCGTCCGTCTCTTCGCGGGTAACGTTAAATTCCGTATTAAATATCGGAAACTTCAGCTTCATTTCTGAAATGGTGTGCATTTCCGAAATGAAACTGAAGTTTGTCTATATCAAAATACATATACAATGTTTTGGTTTTGACTACTTATAGAAAATAGGTGATTAAATTCTTGATTAATATTTGAAAATTATTTACTTTTTTTTTTAATACTTACCAGCGGGCCCTGTCTCAATTTCATCTTCAATAAATTGGCCAGTAATTTTTATTCTCCGATGAGCCATTACAACAAGCCGCAACTTGAAGTCCATATCTTGCATTTCATGTATTTGTGCAAACACTCCAACTTGATGCAAGTCATCCAAACTAGATACAACATCTGATTTCTCATCTTCCTTCTTTCGAAGGAAAATACCTATGTATGGTTGATTGAGCTTCACTTTACGTCTAATTAAGTCTATGAGTGCTGGATTTGATATCTAAAATTGTTGATTGATGATTACTTTCTTACCCTAAATTATAGCTTTCTATATGAATAATTTAACAGTAATATTTCTTGGCTTGAGTACTTTAGTGTTTTTCCTTTATGCAATACAATGCTGTACTGCCTATGCCTTTGGTAACATATTTAAATTATTAAAATTTAAAACTGTTGACGTTTTGCATGCTTTGTTTTGTCTTCCTGTGACCACGGCTGCTGCAAAGCATCCGAAACGTCAGGCCGAAGTTAAAAATCATTTTTAAATAAGTTTAATATATCGCGTTTTAAATCGTTAAAGTGTTTTATTTAAATGCCTACTACACGCGTAAACTATAGACAGTATTTAGTAATCCATATATATTTTTTCTTATTACCTCTATCAGTTTAATAAACCTAGGGAACACAGGATTTCTATTTATAGCTATGACAGGGACTTGTGGCCAAACTTCAGGTACAGCAACTGTTGCTGGAAGCTGGCTTGTAAACAATGGAGTCTCTTCTTTGACTTCTTCTACCTCCTCTTCCTCTGGGTCATTTTTATTGCCAGTCGAATACTGCTTTACGTGTATTGCCTAAAAATAAAATAAGAAATAACATATGAAAGTAATTACGATAATATATATACAAAAGTGAGGGTTTTATGATACATTTTATAAATAAACAAAAATGCAATTGATTTAAATTTGTTATTTGGTATTTATTGTTCAGTGATATTGTTCTATGATGTTATTGTTTGGAGCCAAAGCCTTTCTAGAAAGTTCGATAAATAGGGGAAAAAATACCTATGTAAACGTCTCAAAACAAAAATTACTATAACTTACCTGGTGAAGTGTCACATAACCATTTACAGTTGAGCAGATACGAGAATCCTTAAAGCCATTACCATAAAAATGACTTAAAAGCCTTTTATTCGCCGGTTTATATTGTAATTGTGATGCAATTTTCGAAAGAGTGCGTGTAAAACGCGCCGAGTATTTAAAATTGGGATTGAAAAGTACAGTATTACGAATTAATGAACTAGCCGTGTGCATCGTTATTTCGTCTTTATCATCCAATATCACACATTCATTTAATATAATCGTTTTTATGTTATAAACACGAGAAAGGTTATTTCTCCAGATTCTTCAACTCTTTATCAAGCTTCAACCATGAACCAACTAACATTGACGGCTCACAGTGACATTGCTGCCCTTATGACATATACAATTCTGTCAGTTGACAAAATTAATAATATTTATGTATGTTTATTACTTCATTTCAAATTTTTTTAAAAGGTTCATAATTAATAATAGGTTATTTTATTTTGTTTAATTATTTAATGAAATCATATTCTGTTCGACTAATTCCTGTTTGCTTAAAGGTACGTTTCTAATATTTACTCATTACCGTATTACGTTTTAGAGGTTATGTTACATTGACTTTACTTTTACGTACAGAAAATTATGAAAATGAATGCATCAGTCATAGCCGAGAAGAAGAGCATAATCGAAGGCCAGGCTGAAATACGTGTGTCATCACAGAAAGTATTTTACAACCCTGTACAAGAGTTTAACAGGGATTTAAGTATTGCTGTACTCAGTGTGTTTCTTGATGATTTTAAAAAATCATTTATTGAAAAAGCTCAGAAAAAAGCTAAAAGGCTAACTGCAGAAGGTATTGAACCTGAAAAGACCATTGAGGTATGTATAAATTCTATTTGTCTTTACTGTTGTCCTTACTAGTTTTTTTAGTTGGTAATTAAGTAAATTGGAATATCAATTCTATTCAATAGCTATGCATACAACTTTGCATGTCTCTTTAACATATAAAGTCTTTCATAAAAAAAACCTTTCATGTTCAGTGCTTAACTTTAAAAAATTTTAACACAAATAAATATTTTCCAGGTTCCTATAACAATTTTAGAAGCCCTATCAGCCACCGGCTTACGAAGCATAAGGTATGCTAAAGAAGTACCAAATGTTACTAAAATTATTGCCAATGATTTATCTGAGCAAGCTGTTGAAACTATTAAGGAGAACATTGTGTATAATGGGGTTGAAAACTTTATTGATACCAATCATGATGATGCATGGTAAGGGAATTTTAATGTAATATGTTTAAATGACTGGTCTATTAAATTTTTCTTTAGAGAGCAAAGGTGTATTTAATTATTAATGTGTATTGTCTGTTTGACCATAACAATATATCATTTTACTAAGACCCAATGCATTCTTACATAATGTTAGACAGAAAAAATTTGTCTTCCATTTGTAAGTTTTATCTGATACCCAGCAGATGTAGCTGTAGGCAAGGAATACACACTACTTTGAACTGAACAGCCCCAAATATCCATTTTATTCTAGCATGCTGATGTACAAGCACAAATTTCATTCTAAAAGATTCACAGCTATTGATCTTGATCCATATGGCTGTCCATCAATATTCTTGGACTCAGCAGTACAAAGTGTTCAAGATGGTGGTTTATTACTTGTCACTGCAACGGACATGGCAGTGCTGGCTGGAAATTCACCAGAAACATGCTATTGTAAATACGGAGCTGTAAGCCTTAAAACTAGAAGTTGTCATGAAATGGTAATATAATATTTTAATTTTTTGATTTTATTATTGGCTACTGTTTTAGTTAAAATTTTCCGGAAGCTATTAATAATAACAAAGATATTATCCGGAACAAAAAAATGCTTATGAAAGGTCAAATTTAAATTCTCATTTATAGGGTTATTAAAAAAAGCACAATGTTAAAGCTGCTAATTTATTGCTAAACAAATGTGAACAAACTTCATAAAGTAAAATATATATATCAAATAAAAAAGTGTTTTGTCATTCAGTTTTTCAGAAATATAGAAAAGATGTTGCTAAACTTTGTCACTATTTCAGGCATTAAGAATATTGCTTCAATGTATAGAGCATCATGCTAATAGATACAGCAGATTTATAGAACCCATACTCAGTATATCAGCAGATTTCTATATACGAGTTTTTGTCAAGATTCACTCTGGTGCATTCCATTGTAAGAAAACAACAAGGTAATAACACTTTATTACTTTAATTGCTAATTATATAGTTGTATTATTAAAAATTTTGCTTCAATAATATCATTTACGATTTCAGCAAATTATCAATGGTGTACCAGTGCGTGGGTTGTGACAATTTAACACTTCAGCCTTTGGGTGCGTTTAAAGCTAATCCGACTGAGAAAAATCCAGGTCAAATAAAGAGTTGCTTACCACTTGTACCACCAGTTGGAGAATTCTGTGTTCATTGCAACCATAGACACCATGTAAGACTATTTTATAATCTTAAATATACGTTTTGTAAGTGGACTTATGGTTTTGTTTTTAGATTGACTGCACACCATTTTACTAAACACATAACTTAAATAAGAATGGCTTGGAATTACAACATTTGATGTATAGAACAGACACTTAAATTACACCAATAATGTATGATTTTGACTGGCATATCAAATTTTGTTTATAGCTAGGCGGTCCAATATGGTCTGCACCTATTCACAACATAGAGTTTGTTAATCGTCTTTTAAACCATGTTGAAGAGAATTCACACAAATTCGGAACAGCAAAACGAATAATCGGCGTGTTGTCTATGGTCCAGGAAGAACTGCAGGATGTTCCATTATACTATATAGTTGATAAACTCTTTGGTCGAGTTCATTTGGAGACTATGCCTATGTTGCAGTTGAGGTAAATATTTGGACTCTGTTATGTATATAAAAAAACTTCAATATATCTTGACAGTAAGACAGTTCAATATCGTCACATGCAAATGATCTTGTATATAAGCATATTGAACAAGTACCAATTTTATCTAGTAAGTATATATAAATATATATGAGACACTTTTTTCAGATCTGCAATTCTTAATGCTGGATATCAAGTATCCTTCTCCCATGCTTCGAAATTATCTATAAAGACTAATGCGCCGGCGCAACTTATATGGGATATTATCAGAACTTGGGAGAAGACACACCCCATTAAACAGAATAAGTATGCTTTATTCTTATAGTAGTTGTTTCTATTTTATTTATATGAAATATAAATAATAAATATATTTACAGATTGGAGACAGATGAAGCAGCTAAGTATATTTTAAGTCAAGAAATTAAGAATAACATAGATTTGACAGAACGAGCAGATGCAAATCCAAATAGTAGACGGAATGGCGCCTTACGGTTCCAATTCAACCCTACACCGTACTGGGGCCCTGGCTCTAGAGCCTCTATCAAGTAAGCACCTGCCGTTTATTATAATTTACCAAAGCCCAATGGAAAATAAAACAAATTATCATTTTCAGCGTAAGTGAAGGCAAGATGCATAAAGCAGCAAAAAATCAGAATAAGAAACGTAAAAAGCAAGAAAAAAGAGAACATTCTCCACAGAGTGATAATGTCGAACGAAAAAAACAGCACGTTAGTGACAAAATTACAGTTGAATAAATTATTTTACAAAGGAAAATTTAGTTTTTTCATATTACAAATGTACTTGAGAAGGCAAGTGCGTTGGACAATACATAATTTAAATAAAAATAAGATATTTCTCTTTATAAAAAAATAAAAGTTACATAAAATAATGTTAATAATATATGTATTAGCTGAAGATAGACATATCATACCTTGCCAGATTTTTTTTTTAGATTATTTAAATAAAAGTAATTTTTCCACATTTCCCGCTGTTTCTTTGCTCCTATTGGTCGCATCGCACCTGTTTTTTTTTCATTTTCAAGGCTTAAAATAGTCACATTCAAAATATATTTTAAAATTTTAACCAGTAGTTACTGAAATAAACGCGTTCAAGCTAAAAATTGTTCAGCTTTACGTTTTTTTTTTTTTTGGTTTTTATGACCTGGGTATGTACAGCCTTTAGGTCAATTATTGTTCAGGTTTACACTATTAGTATATAGTATATACATAATACAAAAGCGTTATCAGTATACAGACTTGTTTCATATTTAGAAATGTATTGCGATAAATAATCTATGACATCAGCGTGTCTGGCATTTACCTGGCATGAATCTGTATCAAAACTGTCAAAGCAAATGACACCCAGTTACTTGGAACATCAGTAATCTACCAATTTAATTAATAATTATTGTTAAGTACCTAAGCAAAAGTGAGGCGTTCCGTGTTATCATTTTTCTGCGATTAATTACTATCCCATTTCTTGCACGTGCCGATATGTCTATACTGTAATTTATGTTTACGATCTCGCGAATAATTATAATTGTTTTTCATAAACAACATGTTCTCTCCAGTGATAAAAATGTTGTATTTCGTTTTATTTATTACGTCTTTTGTTTGTTATTCAAATGCATTGGACAGAAAGGTAATCTTTATCATTATCATATTTATTACAGTTTAATCATTTCTTTACTTTCTAGGTGAAGGTTATTAGCCTTTGTTTAAATTTCACAATTACATTTTTTTATACAAATCAATTATTGATGATGACGATAGTTCCACTGAAATTTTGTTTGGGAATAATATCAGAAATCAGCTATTCATATATATGTAGTTTTGGGTATCATTTACTATATTTATTTCTTTGTTTTGATCACACTACATTTATTCACATTAAACCTAAGATGATTCAGTTGTAGTCTTAGGAATAAAAATAAATTTCTACCATGTCTGCCTTGAGAGTTGTTGGATTTTAGTTCAATTTATATCACAATGCTTTACAGATATTTGCAAAGCTTAATCCAGGATGTGACGAGTGTTCTAATAATGCAACAACTCTAGTATACATTCGAAGTGAAGGGAATGCAGATGTAATCCATCAGATTTGGGATTTCACTAAGCACCTACCTACTATTGTACTCTGTGTAGGAAGTTTAAACTCGTCCTTGGAAATAAATTGGGAGAGGTCAGAACCAGTTAAATTTGTTTGGTCAGAGAAACCATGGTACTCTTTTGCTACGGCTATAGACAAAGTAAGTAATTTAGCGAGCTGACCATCATAATATGTAGTATTAGGTGAGGATAAAGGTTAAGGTTTCTTGGGCTTGCTGGGCTATTTTTATAACTGTAGAAAAATATTCAGAGTAGGAAAGTATTTGAGTTGATGAAAAATTTGCATTATTCATTTTTATTACTTTGGGATGATCTAAACATCCATATGTGTAGAGAAAGAACAATGATTATAGTTAAAGATCTTGAGTTGACATATGTTTAGTCCATGTTATTTATTTAATCAGACTATGATTCATAGCCATATGTGTTGATACAGTTGTTTAAATCATGTGTTAGCAAAACTGATAATGTCACAGTTGTCCTATTTACATGTTTTGCTTCCGTCATCACTTTAATATATTTCATAGAATATGTGTTGACATTAGAAATATATCAATAACTAAATGATACCATTATTGGTAGAATTGGTAGAGTTTCTTTTATAGTTTACAAAAATTTTGTTGTATATTAAAAATTCTCTGCCACTTAGTACCTCTTGCTTGTAGTAGTATGTTTGTCTCATGCCCCATAATACAGGACTACAGAATTTTTATTTCCTTCCAGCTATGTGAATATGAAGACTTACACGACACTGGCTACATAGACCCCCATTACCCACAAAGGGAATACAACCTAGATGGAGTCTCATGGGTGTTAGATGAGAGCATTTTTACAGACAGTGAAGCTATGGTTCATGTTTCAGGCAAAATACATAATCGGCATCGCAAAAGAGATGGGATTGTCAGTATTAAGGTAAGTGGTTGTAGTCTATTTTTGATAGTAGTTCAAAACATCTAACTTGAAAATGTTTATCTTCATAAAGTATTACTTCATAATCATAGAGTCTGCTACTAATATTATGAAGCTGAGTTTGTTTAATTTCTTTTTGCAGCTGGACCTGCTACCGTTTAAGGATTACGCGGTGGAACTTCCTCACTTAGTCCATACGGCCAATTCGACGCTGATCGACGTTAGCCTCGTAAATTTGACCACGTCCCGCGGGTTCAACGCGTCTAGGTATGCGCTGCATTTCTTGCTCGCGAGCACAGACTATCCGGCCGATACAATGCATTACACGATGCGCAAGAGCTTGGACGACGAGCACACGCCAGGAGTCTTCGAGGTAGCAAATGAATATAAGACAATTAATTATCAATAAATATATCCTATAATGTATAATTAAAATTATCTATATAAGCAAGACTAAGTCCTTAAAGTGTTATGGCTTTTATGATATAGTAGCATCATACAGCCATTTATTGTTTAATTTTTCGTAAAAACAACATTTAACTAACATAGTGTTTCGGTCTTAACATATTTTAGATAATAGAAATAAAGACACCGTCGCTGTACAATAACAACCAAGGTGGATATCTACAGTTTCGACCTGTAGGTTATACAGCACCAGAACGGAATGTTGCCAGTTCAACTGTGGCTCATGTTTCCCAATTTAACAGGTAACTAGGCTTTTTTATTCATTCTTTTATTTAGTCACCATTCCTATTTTTTATATATTTTCCTCATTGAGGAAAAGATATGCATATTGATACTATTACTGTGGCAGCTGTTATTGCTGACCGATTCTAATGAAGAGCTACAACATTTATACGCATACATGTCCCAGTAAAGTGTAAAGATTATTAAAAAAGAAATACTTTTTTACAAAAAATATAAATAAGCGCATATTTATCATAAGTTATAATCAATTTAATAATTAAATTTATCTCTCTTCCTTCAGAACAGTGATGCCATTTGACAGCACCCTACGACTCTTCTTCAGAGACTCTCCATCTATGATTCTGATTCAGGATATGTTTGTCTCATTCGGTGACAGTGGAGATGGGTTCTACAAACAGCACAATTACACCGCCTGGTAAGTTCTTTGCTTCGCCTTAAAATCTTTCAATTTAATTAGAGATGACACCATTGAATCTGCAACCATTTCGATTAAGTTTTGAAATTTTTTTTCCAAGTAGCATCATTTACGTCCTATTCTACAGTATTTATTTCTAGTATACCTTACATAATTAGTTAGTTACTTAGTGTTTCACTTCCTTGCGTTGTCATTGCGGGAAGCAGTCTGGACTCAAAACCCTGTCAAGTAATAAATTGAGACAGTGAGGATCGCATAGATGGCTTATCTCTAGTAGAGTTTATTACATAATCAAGAAAACCACGAACGCCTTATTTTATATTTTAGTAGACTAAATTATAACGTAGAAATTGATTACAAATACTAATAGATTCTATTTAATCAGGTCTTTTACCATGGGCTATGGATCACCACCTGTGGAAGGTTTCTCACTCTTTGTAATCCTGATAATATCAATTGGCCTTGGAGTGCCAATTGTCTTAGCCCTCTCTGGAGTGACGTTCGTGTTATTCAGAAGGTACAGACAGACAAACTCTCGGACTAGGTTCACAAATGAGGACTGACTGAAGTATACATTTTTGGTGTTAGAGAATAGTGACGATGGGCTGTTTTGAATAGTTTTCACCATAGCTTGTGGTTAGTTATTAAGGAAAATTATAAACACTGACATAATTTTGAATGGAACATTAGATATAATTTAATTACATTAAAAGGTCATTTCACATATATCGATTAGTTTTAGAATGGAATTAAGTTAAAAAAAAAAAAAAAATTTACAATAGACTAATGTTCCATTTTGTACTCGGCGTCAAATATAATATTTTCAATATTTAAATATAAAATGAAGAAATTCATGAATAATAACAAAATAGCTATTTAAACAGCCCTATACATAAATTAGCTGCTGTAGTTTTGACTTTAGGTAATTTTTTTTTTAGGAACCAAGAATTTCAAGTATGTTTTATTTTAAATTATAGTTAATATTTAAATTATTGTGATATAACTATTGGACTTGTGATGAGTTTCAAAATAGGTAATTATTATGTATTTAAAACAACATAGCAATAGAATTTTGTAACTTAAGAATTTCTAATTTACATATTATTTTCATCTATTTACCTCGACTGTTATTTGACCATTCTCTTAAGATTATTGATTTTGATAATTTTTAATATTATGTTTGTAATGTAGCAACAAAGATCTTTCTGCTTTAAGGTTTATTGACATGGCTTTAAGCTTCTGAATAAGGTTTTAGATCAATTTGTATATACTTTAAGATTTATTTTTGTGATGTATTTTATTGTCAATAAAGTTGATGTTAAATATTGTGTTATTATGTCATAGTGAACTCAGATAACCCTTGCATAATTACTTTTATCAGTAATTCACAAGTATAGTATGTGGTTTTGTGGGGTTTTTTTTGTACAGATATAAGCCAATGAACATTTTTCATTGGAATTATAGAACGAAAATTAAATAATGATTAAATGCTCGTTCAGAGTTTTAGATTGAAAATCATAATCAGCCTCAAGTTGTGGCAATGAGATTTTTCATTTTTTATACTATAGATAAGGTGAAACCAACCATACAACAAATAAACCAACAAAGGTAAACTAACGTAATCCAAGTAGATAACATTTATTCACGTATAATTAAAAGTCATCATCTCATTCATATGTTGAATAACATTAAAATTCTTGAGATCAAAATATTGCAGCTTTCTTGTTCAAGTTAAGCAGTCAAATATAGCTCGTCTATCGAACTTAAAATTCTTCCAAGATGGCGCGATGAAATTGAAGTAATTATTTTCAGGCACTTCATTATTAGAGCTCACACTGTGCACAGGAGAAAAAGGAGTGCCATTCGTATTCTGCGGCGTGAAGAGCTGTCGTTTCGCCATTTTACCACATTTCCTATTACCATTAGCCTTTCCATTGCCATGACCATTCTTATACTGTGGTCCAGTGTTTTGTTGGTAATCGTGAATTTCGTTTTGAAGCCCCTGCGATATCGTCTTGCTTTTAGTCTTGCAAGATTCGATTTCGCCCATGGATTTGTGCCGCGTTCTCCGGGAGAATACTTTCGGATTTCTCTCTGCAACCCAACGCCGTAATCGTTTCACAAATGGTAAAACCATAAAGAAGGCATTAGGGCTAACGCCCATTTTAACTTTAGGTGTCATATCTTTACGATTTGCTGGAAGGTCAGCAATTGGAAACCATTCGCAAGCTTTAATTTCGTTTCTTGTTCTCGGCTGGAATTTTGTGTCTCTTGAAACATAACTTATAATGTATAGGCGGACGATTTGATCGTGTATTGTTGCTTCTATGTAGTCCTGTTTGTTTATTAGATTACTTATATCAAATCCTGTTTCTTCCAGTACCTACAATACCAAAAAAATATTTATTTTATTTTCATTACATCATCAATAATATATTTTATACATATGGTTGTCCTAATTACTTAAATTGCATTTTTGATTAAAGTTGACTATGATAAAAAATTTTGTATTTATCAAAGACAATAAACTTATTTATTTACCAGTTTAATGCTAACACCATTTTATTTTATATAATTATTAATGACTTACCTCTCTAGATGCACATTTCCAGGGCTCCTCATCTTCATTAACTTTACCTTTAGGAAAGCCCCAAGAAGCTTTAGTCCAATAAGACTGAACAAGTAGCACATGTGTTAGATTAGTATCAAGTATAATTGCCCCATATGTTGGTACACTTTGTTTATACTCTCTCCAGTTGTTCAAAACTTCATCAACCCTGCCATTATATTCTCGTAGTTCAGGAACATGCTGAAACATGAAGAAAAAAAATGCCATAAGAATTAAAAATTCAATCAAAGGTACAATCTTAATATCAAACATACCTGAAAGATATGAGTAGCAAATTGAGTAATACCACAAGGATTAAGCCTAGCAGTCTCATCCGTACAGTAATAGTCTAAGTAGAACCAGTGAGCTAACTCTATTTGAAAACATATCCGGACTAAGTTACCTCGGTCCTCTTGGGGCAAATTTATTATAAAACGACTGAAATCAATTTCATTAAAATCTGAGATGGAGAAATTTTAACAAGTTTTGTTTTTCTTGAAAACATAACCTTATTCATACTTTCAAAGAATTGTACAAAATAATATATAAAGAATAGTATGTAAGACTACCTGCATAAGTCATCCAGAATATCGGTAGGAATAGTGTGCATATGATTTTTTCCGGCTACGGCTGGAGAAGCCATTATAATAATATATCTCTTGTCTAATACGAAATTATAAATTGCAACGTCAAGCTTGGTCTTTCAATTATTATAATTACAAAAATATATGTAATTACTTAGATATTTGATTTCCCAAATAATATTCTTATGATTTCATACCCAACTATTCTTAGAATTAATTAAAAAAAAGTATTTATTACTTGTTTTCAAAAAACAAAGGATTTGTTATGTCAAGCGCTAAAAGAAAATAATCACAGAATTAACATTTAACATAGTGACATAACAGTATTCGTTTATCCATAGGTTATGTTACAAAAGTAAAGTAATTAATAAATGCACTAATTTACTCTGTATTTTTATTAGTTGGTGAACTGACGTAAAAATAGTAAGTCACCTGTGCATTTATGACTTTATGACAAGATGGCAATTTGTGACATAAATTGTAATCCGTCAATTGTCAAACCTTAAATATCTGAAAAAGTACATATTCAAAAAGCAATTGTTATGTATAATAAAATTAAGTGTTAAATATAATCAAAAAAATCTATTTGACCTAAATTTCTAAAAAATAATCAAAACACCTGTAATTGATCATTATTGCTTTTCTAAGTCTCTCAGTGATTTATCAATATGGACATAACACCACTCTTTAAAGCATGTATCAAAACAGTTAAAACGAGAAACAAAACTTTTGGTGTTCTCAGTCCTATTGCAGAGGAGAAAAAGACAATAATGCGAACGAAGACTACCAAAAATGGTTTCACGATTACTGCTAAAGATATCACTTCCCAGATTACAAAACTAAGAGATTTCTTATTGGAACATCGAGAGCGATATCTGAACTATCTAAATGATATATCGGGGGATGAAATGACAGAGTATGAACGTGATCAAATTGATACAGGCGCGCAGCGGATAATCAACACATGTTCTCATCTTCTTAGAGAATTTCGGAACGATAACCGCAAGATAGCTGTCTCGCAACAAACGCGGGAGTATATGGACGCTGTTATAGATCTCATAGATGCCTACTTAAAAGCTGTTTGCAAAATACACAGTGAATTAAAAGCCTTCCGAGTAAAGCGTGCATTAGACTTAAGAAAGTTATCGCGTCTTGAATTACCTCAAAGAAAATCTTCTATACCAAATCCATTTATCTCAGAAACAAAAGAGGTAGAGAGTGACTTAGAGGAAACTGATAGTCCTAAAACAAAGATGGAATTATCAGAGAATGAAGTAGCAGTTATGTCTGACGAAGGAGATCTCAGTGCTGAAGAACTTCAAATGTTTGAGTCTGAGAATGTACAATTGCTGAATGAACTCAATAGCATGACGGAAGAAGTTAGACAAATTGAGAGTAAAGTACTGCATATAGCTGAGTTACAGGAAATTTTTACAGAAAAGGTAATCAAATAAACACATATTAAAATTGCCTCTATTTTAACAGTTTCCAAAAGAATTTATAGTCTACTGTCATATCTACTTTATCATACATCTCTATTTTAGATTAGTCTTTGTCTTTATAAACATTTACTATATTATGTGTTTTTATTAATTAAGTTTATGTTTGTAGGTTCTACAACAAGAACAAGATATAGACCGGATAGCAAACACTGTTGTGGGTACTACGGAGACAATGAAAGATGCAAATGATCAAATTAAACAAGCTATACAGAGGAATGCTGGACTTAGGGTGTATATTCTTTTCTTTTTACTAGTCATGTCATTTACACTGCTATTCTTAGACTGGTATAATGATTAAATGTAGATGGCACATTTGTTGTGTATATACGTTATTTCTTAAATATATTATCAAATAATGCAATAATAAATGTTTTCATTGTTTTTATTGGTTAATAGTTTTGAAAATACATTGTTTTGTCTCCAGTAAAAGAACTTCAATATAACTGATAGTCTATTATTTACATTCTTATCACTCTCTAAAATCATATATTTTAAATCGAACATTTAACGAATAATAAATATTAATAAAAGAATATTTAATATTTATAGTAGTTAGACTTAAAAGACAGTGATACCTTCTCGCACAAATAAGCAAAAGTTGCAAATGGACAATCACAGATTCTGTGGCCTGAGAATATTTTGATATATTCAATCTGTGAGGCTGTCAAAATTTGTTTATATTTTTAATCTAGCATGTCAAAATATTAACAGAAAATTCAATGTTATGTTAAGATTTCTCACAAAATTAAATAATGCTGGATTACGAGAGGCAACAATCAAACAGTATAAAACGATGGGTCGAATAAAATCCCTGCAGGAATTGGGCTATGGTTTTAACGACGGTAGGATAACCATATATTTATGAAATAATAGTACGATTAGCATTAGTGCAAAACTTTGTATTAACTATTGCAGGCGGAGAGTTAAGAAGAATTGGTTCAGACGGTCAGTTGAGTGAAAAACCATTTCAATTTAATATAAGTAGTGATCACCAAGCTTGTCAAGCTAATTATGAGTTACTAGGCGCAGCAGTTACAGAATATATTTACGACGTGTTGGAAAGAGAACAGAAACTTTATAGGTTGCCGGCACCTAAAGATTCGGGAGAAAATGGAACTTTTGTATTTGTTTCTACGGATTATGAAAAGCGGGACACACTCATGGTGTTAATTCAAGGTAGTGGCGCAGTCCGTGCTGGCCAATGGGCAAGATCGTAAGGCTTTTCAATAAATAACCTATTATACCTAATATTAAGTTTTTATATACATTTTAAGTTTTGTTATTAATTATTATAATTTTAATTAAATATTTGGAGTCAGTATAGTGTTATTTTTTTACTAAATAACTAATACTTGCTTATATATTTCTTCATTAATTTTGAATAATGATTTTGTAGACTAATCATCAACAACAATTTAGATATGGGAACACAAATTCCCTATATTGAAATGGGAGCAAATCGGAAATTTGGTATATTAATAATGAATCCAAATGACAATCATAGAAGCAATATAAAGATACCTCACAGTAGCACTAGCGAGGAACATGCGGAATATGTATGGAAGCATTATGTAACAGAGACCAGTGCAAAAAATATTGTGATAATTGCCCATAGCTATGGCGGTTTCCTAACTGTCATGTTAGCTCAAAAGTTCAAAAAAGACTTTGAAGAAAGAGTGAGAGCTGTAGCCATGACAGATTCAGTACATTCTTTCTCTGGAGTAAAAATACCGGAGACACTAAAACGGGTAAGATTAAAAAAAAAATAGTTTTTCTTTACTATATAACATCACAATTGATAAATTTGGTTGCTTTATTTATTTTTAGATCTCAACTAACTGGGTATCAAATTCAGCTCAAGTAGATACCCCATTAAAAACTCCTGAGTTTGAAATCACTAGGCTATCTGCAGGTAACTTTTTTATGCAAAATATGCTATTCTATAGTCAAGAAAACTGTTTAAGAGCCTTTATACCCTAAACGCGCAATTTGGCTTAAAACTGGGTTTTTCAAACCTGTTAATATCATCCACTTATCGTACAAAAATGTTGATTATGAAAATGTTGTGTTGTAAACAAATATGTTGAGGAAATTTCACTGTCTAAAAACTTAGTAGAAAAAATATCACGATTTACGCTGTATTAATGCCTTAAATCGTGACATCTTAACACGGGTTTTCTTAAATTTCATTTTAGTTTCATTTTCGAGGCTTAAAATATATGAAACTGCTTAAAGATGTAATTAGGAAAAACTTGTAACCAATCGATAAGATCCTTAACCAAATACTTAGTAGAATACATTTTGGAATTTCGGTATAGAACAATAAAAATAAATAAATTCTAGCAACGTGAAAATAATGAAGGAATTACAACGATTTATTTCGTGTAATTTAATATTAAAATAATTCTATGCGATAGAAGAACTCTTCTTTAATATATTTAACTTAAAAAATCTATCTATTTGTTATAATTATTTTAAAACTACTAGAAATCGATGCGCGCAAATCAAAATTCAATTCAGTCCGCCGCTAGGCTTTCTAGAGTGTGGACTTATCGCTCCGCGCTGCGTCTGTGTTCAATGTTCATTGACCGTACTACGATTTTAGACATTTATAGAGCGATCGACAAGTCTTTGTACTTGACTAAGTAAAATATTTCAATATTATTTTTGATGGCAAACAATACATTACATTACAGAAGCAATGGGAAATAAAAAGAAGTTATTTTTAGCAAAGAGAATAAAATGCAATAATAAAAAAAATTGAAAAGGTTGTTAGGGTAGTTTCGCCAGTTCGCGTCCATTTAGTGCAGTTTGGAAATTTTAGGGCGATAGTAAAAATGTTCCCGCACTTATTTCTTTGTAAAATTTCTGTAATGTGATCAATATAATATGTCTTTTAAGATTCACTTTTAGTTTTGTTCGAAGATTTTTATGTTATTTTTTTAAATAGATAAACTTCAGTTTACTTCTACAAAAAAACCAAGTAGCGTCCGCCCCTGGACCAATTCGCGTCCACCATTAGGACACTTTTTAAAATAGTATATTTTAAAAATTATCTTTATGAAACGGCCAACGTTTCCTGGCCAGGTTTAAATTGGGCGCGAACCCGGGGGAAAAAATTTTCTTTATTTTGTTGGGGGGGGGGGGGGGGGGGGGGGGGGGGTTACCCCCCCCCCAACAACACCCCCACCTTTTTATTATAAAATAAAAATATTATTTTTTTTTTTTTTTTTTTTGGGGGGGGGGGAAAAAAAAAAAAAAAAAAAAAAAAGAGGGGGGGGGGGAAAAAAAAAAAAAAAAAAAAAAAAAAAAAAAAAAAAAAAAAAAATTTTTAAAAACTTGTTTTTCTTTAATGGACGACGTTATTTAGTTAAATATGAGTTATTGTTTATATAATTACTTTTTATACATACTTTTACCTTCTTTAAAGCTTTTTATACAAACTATTTCTACAATCTATTTTGTCTATTTCAATAGGAATCGATTAACTCTTAAGGATCGCTATTTGGTTATTTCGCAAAGCTATTCGGTAATGTTCGGTAAACAGAAGGGTGTCTCGGCCACTCCTTGGCGTTTATTTCGTTATCTCTGTCTTGAGCGTGTTAGATTTTTTTATAAAGAAGACCTAATATATGATTATAGACATTGGTTTATATGAGATTTTAAGGATAACATGTAAATAACAAGAAGATATACTGTCAAAAACTATTCTATTTCGTTAAACAAGATGTTACATTTCAGCAACGTATTCCCCATAATACCGGCAACACATTTATTGTATAAAAACGTCTAGGAATCTAACAAATAATGGTACCCCATTTATATATTGATTTGAAGATATTTATCTATATATTACACAAGGTTACGATACTTAATTGACATATATTGATGCCAATTCAATATAATAAAAAAGTACATAATATATCACAACCTATTTATTACAATATAATAATGTACATCATACCTGAACCATCCAATGTTCAACCAACGTTCGCATTATAGGTATTAATACAGATATACGATTTTAAACATATTCTGAAACCTCTAACGTTCCAACAACGTTCCAACAACGTTCCACCAGCGTTTACCGTGCGATCGCTCCAGAGCCACTGCTCCCCGCTTTACAGCGCACCCCCCTTTTATACAACTCACAAACAACCGACCAGGTGTTAGCCTGACGTCATCGAATAACACGAACATTACTTTTCAACATTTTGTAAACTACCCGCAGTTATACATCACAAAAACAATGATTTATACTACGTTTAATTATATATATATACAAAATAATTCAAATAATCTGTCACGGCCATACTGACATGTGATTTGTTCTCAAAGCACTTATTCTTACAAACAGAATTGTTGGTAATAATTATAACCAAGTTTATTTATATAAATATTCAAAATAATTCAAATAATCCGTTACGGCCAAACTGACACATTATTTGTTCTCAGAACACTTGTACTTACAAATAGGATTGTTGGTGATAATTATAACCAAGTTTAATTATATAAGTATTCTAAATAATTCAAATAATCCGTTACGGCCAAACTGACACATAATTTGTTCTCAGAACACTTTTGTACTTACAAATAGGATTGTTGGTGATAATTTGAATCGAACATCAAAAATATAATGTTTTTTAATACTTGAAATATGTAATCTATTAGAATCGAATATTTATTATTTAATCTTTCTTTTTTTTTTTTTTTTTTATACCTCTCGATTGCATAGACGTGTCGAAACCCTCATCCGCTGCTTATGAGTCTAGTTTGCTTGCACCAAACAATCGAGCGACCAGCGGAGGTATTCCTATACCGATTACCTAGAGGCACTAGCCCCCTCACCCGCTGCCGGTGGTCTGGACTAGTACCAAGTAATCGGTCGACCAGCGGCTTCTATTCTTTATACTGTCTACCTAGACGCACTAGCCCCCTCACCCGCTGCCAGTGGTCTGGACTAGTACCAAGCAAACAGTCGACCAGCGGCTTTAATTATTTATACTGTCTACCTAGACGCACTAGCCCCCTCACCCGCTGCCAGTGGTCTGGACTAGTACCAAGCAAACAGTCGACCAGCGGCTTCTATTCTTTATACTGTCTACCTAGACGCACTAGCCCACTCACCCGCTGCAAGTGGTATGGACTAGTACCAAGCAAACAGTCGACCAGCGGCTTTTTTTTTGTCGTTTCGAATTATCACCTCTCTTAAAAATAACAGTACATTAGTAAATAATTAACAATAATAGAAGCCAACTAAGAACAATTTTCGTCCCTATTTTCGTCCATCATTTCTCTAGGCTAATAACATCGCAATTTTTCTTTTGCAACTGTGCTAATACGTAAATTATCTAATTGTGGTCTGGGGCACTGCTGCCAAAAACAAATCTTAAACCATCACAATTTTCTCAAAATAACTGATATTACGATTACTTAACTTCAACTGATACGATTTATAAAGAGAATCGACTTATGACCATCAATCAAATCTACATTTATAGTATTCCTATATTTGTACTCAAAATATTAAATGGAGCCATCTAAACACAAATAAAGTTTCTAACTATCGTAAAAATAACATACTGCATGATGGTGCTAAAACATAGAAACACTTCCCCAGAACTATTAAAAATATTAAATCATACAAATTATTTAAAACGAAATTAAAACATTATATTCTTAGCATCGTTAAAAAGATTAAATAATGCAAACTACAATGTGCCACAAAGTTGCACCATCTTATTATTTAGTATGTATTATCTATTAAAAGCAGTTTTACCGCTAAAGACGAAACCGATTGTGTAATAGTGTATTATTAGAAATATCTATATTTAAAATAGATCAGGGAAGTATTTTCAACCAAACTATTATTGTAAATTCCTACCTACTCGCATATAATATCATGTAATGTATAATATTGTGTTTACGCTTAAGTGAAAATGTATTTCTTGCGTAAATTAATGTATTAAACCAAATTACTAATTCCCCTCAAAAAAAAAGAGATCGTTTGATAGCAAGAAAACTATTTCGTAAAGTCCTTTTATACGTCTCCGCTAAGGATGATTTCGCTCACGTCCTCACCAGGGCTCCTTGTCTGATAACGGAGTAGTGTTCGAAGGCCGTGTGTCAGTTCATCACGTCTCGAGCAGTCCCGGCTACGCTGCATATGTTCCCCCTGATCGTCCATAATTCTCAGGGCTCCTCGTCTGGTTACGGAGCAGTGTTGGAAGGCCATGTGTCACTTCATCACGTCTCGAGCAGTCCCGGCTACGTTAAAGATGTTGTCGCTGATCGTCCATAATTCTCTGAAACTTGTACTTGATGTATTAGTTTGGATACTTATCTCGATTATTCATCCAAAGTGAGGGTTTTTTTTTTTTTTTTACTATGTTCGGCTAAAACGATTCGAAACAAAATTAAGCACAAAATCTATTGCTAGTATCTGAATACGTTGCTGATTTCTTTTTAGAAATTTATAATCCTAATCCATCTGCATCCTCAAAATCTCGATATATATTTAACAAATTTACGTGTCATATCCCTTTATAAGTACTTAATGTACACGTTATTATCTTTATTTCAAAAAAAAAAAACAAAACGAGAAAAAAAAAACAATGTGACATAATAAGAAGAAAAACAAATGTATATATAACTAGACGAGCAAACATGGTGTGAGGTATTTTATTCACTGTATTGATCGATCCCACTTCTGATGTTAGATTTTTTTTATAAAAGAAGACCTAATATATGATTATAGGCATTGGTTTATATGAGATTTTAAGGATAACATGTAAATAACAAGAAGATATACTGTCAAAAACTATTCTATTTCGTTAAACAAGATGTTACATTTCAGCAACGTATTCCCCATAATACCGGCAACACATTTATTGTATAAAAACGTCTAGGAATCTAACAAATAATGGTACCCCATTTATATATTGATTTGAAGATATTTATCTATATATTACACAAGGTTACGATACTTAATTGACATATATTGATGCCAATTCAATATAATAAAAAAGTACATAATATATCACAACCTATTTATTACAATATAATAATGTACATCATACCTGAACCATCCAATGTTCAACCAACGTTCGCATTATAGGTATTAATACAGATATACGATTTTAAACATATTCTGAAACCTCTAACGTTCCAACAACGTTCCAACAACGTTCCACCAGCGTTTACCGTGCGATCGCTCCAGAGCCACTGCTCCCCGCTTTACAGCGCACCCCCCTTTTATACAACTCACAAACAACCGACCAGGTGTTAGCCTGACGTCATCGAATAACACGAACATTACTTTTCAACATTTTGTAAACTACCCGCAGTTATACATCACAAAAACAATGATTTATACTACGTTTAATTATATATATATACAAAATAATTCAAATAATCTGTCAAGCGCAATCGGTTAGAAAAGTGATTGTTTACAGTTAAATTTAATTTGTTATATTTTTTTTTTGTCTCAGTATTTTAGTGAAAGATGCATCAGTTATTGGTATGTTATTTTTGCTTGCTATATGTGAAATCTTTACTTTTTTTTAATCTATCCCAGTAACGAAAATAAATGGCAGTATTAGTTTTATTTACGAATGTACATGCGCCAAAGTTCGTCTAAACCAGGGATGGGCAAACTACGGCCCGCGGGCAGGATCCGGCCTGTCACAGGTAAACCGGCCTGCCGAGCGTTTCGCAAAAAATTTTAACATCAAAAATTAAAATTTTACCATGTTATTTTGAACTTAAAACATAAAAAACTCGTACTTTTTATAACAATACTGCTAAGGTGTCAATTTTTTAATTTTCACCTAAAACAGTCGAAAACGCCCCCACTATTTGCAGTCTGGACAGGTTAAGACTTTTCCTTGAAAGTTGAAAAAATAGATTATTATAATGAATGTCTGCAACCAGAAAATATAGACCCACGAAAGTCCAGATAGATGCCTCTGAGATACTTTTTTACAAATTTTTATATTTATCTTTTTAAAATTCATATTACACTTAAATAATTTTTAAATCCGAATAAAATTTACTGTACAAAACCCTCGGTGACCGCATAATTATTATAACATTGCAAGTATCATGACGAGTTCTAGCGCACAATCGCCCCAACTCAGGCACACTTTTGCGTGTGAAATACCTAAACTTGACATCGCGCGAAAGGTGTAAACGCTCTTAATTAAAATTAAATTTCAAATTTATTGAAGTTCAAAGCTGAACATGTGAAATTTAATTCCACATATTTTTCAGGTCATCCACAACATGAAATGACTTCATATTCTTGCATAAGTTCTGTGTTTAAATTTGTTGATGAGCGGTTGAAGTGTTAAATCAAGCTGCTGACGAATATACTAAGAAATGTTAGCTGTAGGTGTAACGAAAACATTTTTTTTGTTGGTATAATATGTTCTACTTTTTTTTGTATTACAATTTTTATAAATAAAAAGTTATCAAGAGAACTTATTTATTCTTGCCCTTAGAGTAATTTTTCATCCAGTATTTTAAATCCTGCTTGTCTGCCCTCACACCTAATACAGCTGATTTCGAATTAACATCCTTCATGGCAAATGGTGAGTACCCAGCAATGTAATCAGGGTCTAAGGCATTTGTTTTACTTCTGCCTAGTTTTGTGGCAAATCTTTTGTGGATATGCTGGTCTTCAGTTAATATAGGGTATTGAAAATGTTGTCCACCTTTAGGTGTAGGTAGGCTAAATCTTTTACCCCTTGCTGTCAATGGTTTGCGTCCATTAATGTGAATATGTTGGTTACCTTCATCATCAACACTTACAGACACTTTCTTTAAGGTAGCATGTCCACATTTTGGACAAAATAATTTGGTCATAACACTTGTTGTTTTGAAGCATGTTGTACAGCGGAAAATGAATGTACGTAAGTGTTTAATAATTCTACCATCGACAGCTGTGACATTTAATCCAATTTGCTTGAGAACATTTTGCATTGCAAAGTCTGATGTAATACAAGCCACATCTACAAACTTTTCTTCTAATTCATCAAGCTCCATTTCTTTTTTCTTGTCTTTTACATTGCTAGGTGTTATCCATTCACTTCCATCATCATCATCATCACAATCACTAGAAGACTCTTCACTATCTGATTCACTCTCTTTAACCTGAAAATTTATTATATAAAATATTACTAAAAATAAACAAAAAAACACTGTGGTAAAGTAATAAACCATTTTTTTTATTTGTAATGTATTATAAATAATAGGCAATTACATACCTTAAATATAACAGCATCTGCCTCCTTTTCATCCCTTAATTCCAAATGTTGTATTTGCTCAGCTATTTCATGAGCAAATTTTTCATCTTCCTCATCTTCTTTACTTACAGAAGGTTCATTTATACTAGAAGCGTCTACAGTTGCTTCATTATCAACTGAAGTGGATTTTTCTGGTGTTATATTACCCTTTGTGCTTTCTTTTGTTTTGGCTGTGTCTTGAGAGTTGACATACCCAGATAGTCCTGTAACTTTAACGGTTTTCTGCATAGTCGGTTCATACTTCAAGTGCTCGGTTCCTATTATATCTTTTTCCAATTGATAAGTTAAAGCCATGACCTTAATATCTGTAGCTGAGAGACTTCTATAATCACCAGTTTTCTTCGAAAACTCCGTAATAAATTGAATGTTCTCTGTAAATACATCTTTGATTTTCAAATCGTACGGTAAAACGACAAGTTTCCTGCGTTGTCGATCATTTGTTATTTCGTCTACCACTTCTTGAACTGTGTAAACATTTTCGGCGATTTGCTGGAGATTTTCAGCTTTAATGAATGCAGTCGTGTCTACGACGAGGTGTTTTATTGATTTAGTCATTGTATATTCACTGATATTGATAACAGTGCCATTAACTTTTTAGAAAAAGTAATATAAAAATATGCCTAGAATATAAACACGTGTTTTAATGCTGCACGAAACGTCAGCTGTCATAATAAAAATGGTATTAATTGTTATTGCTTCGAACAGCGCCCCTAGTGGCACAAATTTCAACTTTCATCTATCAAATCATGTCAACTAGATGTTAGATATAGATAAAAAGGATGACAGTATTGTAGATACCTGTATCATATATTTGGTGAACTGTCTTATGACGCGTGACTGTAGGATTTGTTTCGTCTTTGTCAAAATAGAAACAAACTGAATTTCTATTTTCTTTACAATTTTAATTTAAAAGCAGCCGTATCGGCTTTTGAAATTTAGTTACTAATTATTTATAACTTAATTTAGATGAGACTTACTTCGTTTCGTCTATAGCTTTTAAATATTAAAATGAGTTCTAAAAGGGGTAAGCGCAACGTAGGTAATAAGCACTTTCCTATAGCTGAATCAGTAAGCATAGCATTGAAGATCCAGCTGGATAAATTTCTCACGGACGAAAATGAAACTGAACTTAAGTTTCCGTCATTTTTATCGGCCCAAGAAAGAGGATTTATCCATGAGACTGTAGCCAAGTTAGGACTCAAATCAAAGTCGCGCGGGAAAGGTTTGCCATTTTTATTTTACTGTTCATATATGTACAAATAAATTAAGTAATAAGTATAAACTCATCCCAAGTCACATAATATATATATTTATATCAGTGCATGAAAGTTTAAGAGCAAGATATACCATAATATTATTAGCTCAATGGCCTCAGCTTCATTTTGAAATATTGTGAAAGCATAAATAAAATTTTTTAACAGGTGTAAATCGCTACATAACAATATATAAACGAATTGGTTCTACAATTATACAAAATGATGCCAAGTTGATTTTGGATCCAAACATGAGGTGCAGTATTACGGATCTGTTTAATGCGTTTCCAATCACCAGCAAAGAGAAGGAAGATCTTAGCTGTTGTCCTGAGAAAGAGCGGAGCCCTCAGCTGGCTCATAAAAGTATGGGCCAACTAAACAATGGGGTTGCTCAGGTGCTTCACATTTTGCATAATGTTACATAGATATTTTTAATGGATGCAATAAGTGAGAGTGGGGAAATGATCATCAAAGGATGTGGACTGTCTTTGATTGGTGACCCCAAAAGATTCTAATCAATTTAATATCAATGTATCAAAGACACTTTCTAATATTTTACGCTTACCTTGTAAATTACTTGGCATAAACTACCCTATTCTTTATGGAAGGATTAATTAAGTAAAATTTTATCTTATATTAAATAATAATGTATGCTGAGTAAGTTATTTGTTGTACTGTTTCCTACTTCTTCTTATGGGATAAACATGAGTTATACATACTTAACATCATTTAAATAAATTGACGTATACGCTCATTAATGTTTATTTGCAGGTCCCTAACACTTCATACAATCCAGATTTAATAAAATTCAGAGAAAAGTTACCAGTATATGAGCAAAGACATGAACTAATTAATGCTATTAATTCAAATCAGGTAAGAGTAGTTAAAATATGAAACAGTTATATAATTTTATAGTGTGAGAGATTTATTGTTCACTATAGAAGTAGAGTTCTTGTTTTTCCTGATCCTGTGGTGTATAAAATTATGAAAATATTTCAACAATATTATTTTTAAGCTTCTAGACAATACTATTAAAACGGTTCTACACATTTAAAGTTGTTGAAAAAAAACAACCAAGTTCAAAGAGTAAACTAAAACCCAAAATCTAATTATCTTTGCACAAATATTTGTATAAAATGTATTTATGTCTATTTAAATATAAAAACTATTTCATTCTTTATTTTTAGTTCTTTCCGATTACCTTAATGCAGGACTACCTTCCTGCGAACAAACATAATTCAGGAGTGTACAAATAAATGTTCAATATTTGTACACTCCTTAAAAATGTATAAAAAAAAACTATAATCTGATGCTGACTAATTTATTATGGTTTAAAAAAATTAGGTGATAATAGTAGCGGGCGCTACAGGTTGCGGTAAGACCACTCAACTTCCGCAACTAGTGCTGGAACATGCGCAAGAGGTGAAGCAACCTGTCAGAATCTACTGCACACAACCTAGAAGAATATCGGCTGTCTCTGTTGCTGAGAGGGTAAATATTCTATTAATAAAGAAAAATACACCATTTTTGGATAAAAAAAAATATTCATATAAATTTTATGTTATTAATTAAAACTTACCTTTGCAGGTAGCATACGAGCGTATGGAAAAGATTGGTCAATCAATCGGGTATCAAATCCGTCTAGAGTCACGCGTGAGTCCGCGGACAGTGCTGCACTACTGCACCAATGGGGTGCTTCTCAGAACATTGATGGGTGGTGAAGAGGCACTCACTGGTAAGTATCTTATATACGCTGGATAGTATCTAAAAGGGCACAGAATGCTCTACTTGGTGCCACAGGCCAAAAATTTGTCTTCTCTTAATCTTTCTAAATCTCGTCCCGTCTTGCGAGTTCATCTTAAGAGATAGACATATACTGTCGCAGACATTTTTTTGTCATTTAAAAGAGAATCATTCTCTTATACATATTTCTTCTGTATCTTGATATATTTTTCTGAACCGTTCTCGTAGCGTACGCATCGAAAACCTACAAAGATGAATAATTTTCCCCCTTTTTTCCGCTGTTTCTTCGCTCCTATTAGTATACTCGATAAATGCTCTAATGAACCACGAACAAGTAGTGCCTGAGATTAGCGCGTTCAAACATACATACATACAAACAAACAAACTCTTCAGCTTTATATATTAGTATAGATTACATATTTAAGAATATAATGTTTTTATTGCTTCAACAAGTTCAACAGGTCTATATTATGTTTGGCCAGAAGTTGACAGCCATAATATTGTTTGTAATTGTTTAATACTTTGTTCATCTAGGAGTGACCCATGTGTTTGTTGATGAGGTGCATGAACGGGATAAGTTTAGTGATTTCCTACTCATCGCGCTCAGAGACGCCCTCCGTTCGAAGGATCTCAAGGTCATACTCATGTCGGCTACCATGGATACGCAAATATTTTCCAGGTAACGTAAATACTAGTTAAGATTTACTTAAAAAAAACTAACTATCTAATAACATGAAACATCTACATCATGAGTTCACGGGTTTCATTTTTTAAGTTAAATATGCCAGTAGTGGGCAAATCCCCTTGTGGATGAAGTTTTCAAAATATATTAATTTTGGGACACCAATTTCAAATATTTCAGGTACTTCAATGGATGTCCAGTAATCAGTATCCCAGGACGCTTACACGATGTCCAAAGACATTATCTCGAAGATATCTTAAAGCTAACAAAGTATACCAACAAGAAAATGATTCAAGTCGAACGCGAACTGAGAAACAAATTAAAAAGTGGACAAAGCTATTGGTCTCAACTTGAGGGTAGGTGGATAATTTTAAAGAGTTTAGAATTCAATTGCTTAAATACTTTTTTACCACTTCGAGCAATAATAATAAATCTATTGTTAGTATCTGATCAGGTTAATGTTCAAAATAAAATAACCTTATGATATAAAAAGATTTTCCACAAACATAGGTTAAACAAAAAATGAGTCGTAGAAAGTTTACATAACTAAACTTTATTCTGTTTATATACTTATGTGTATAAAAGGTCAAAAGCAGAGCGATGGAGTTCAGGATAGCGGAAGCAAAGAAGAGAAGGAAACCCTTGACCCAGCCTTGCAAGCGGATATGGACGAGTTTTTAGACGAATGTTTCAACGAGGGAAGTTTGGTAAGTAGGTTTTTTTAAATTATTATTACAGAAAAGGTGTTATATAATTCTAAGTATCTGCGTTCTTATGTCTATGTTTGTGCAATAAAAAGTTTTTATTTTATATTATTATTATATTAGTTACTTATCTTGTATAATAAGTATGTTTTATAACAAGTATATTCTTATGTTTAAGTATATTCTTGTCTATAACAAAAGGTGTGGTAATTTAGTCTTATTATTATTTTTTTTTTCGTTTAGGACTCATTTAGCCAGGTGCTATACATGTTTCTATCGGAGGGTGTAAGTGTAGACGCACAGCATTCGAAGTGTGGCCGAACCGCATTGCATGCAGCCGCTGCCAGGGGCCTCACGCAAACTGCTCAACAGATTTTACGTATAGGTAGGTCACTTATCACAATTTTAATAACATGACATGATACTTTTTAAAAGAAATACTTAGAAACTATACATTTAAAACTAGATAGTAAGTTTTAAAACCATCTATAAAAATAATTATTAATTATAATTTTGTGGGAAAAAATCGAATTTAAGAACATGAAAATCCTTTGCCTATATTCCTTTCTTTATCACATTAGGCAAGTAGTAATGTTCGTCTGTGTTTTATATTAATTTATTTCAAGGTGCCGATCCAACACTAAAAGACAAGAACGGAAAAATGCCTTACGATCATGCAATTGAGGGTGGTCATACCGATTGTGCCAAATGTCTAGCCACCTTCAATCACACAGAAGAAATCAAATCTAATGACCAAGAAGAATCTACAGCCGATAACTTCCTTCTAGATGTCTATCACCACTCCATCTCAGAAGAACTAATTGATCACGATCTGATGCTGGCTCTAGTCAAACATATTCACCTGAACATGGCCAAAGGCAGCATATTGATATTCTTACCGGGTTACGATGACATCGTAGCTCTCAAGGATATGATTCAAGCTTCCAGCGAGATGAACGCCTTTAAATATCAAATATTCACATTACATAGTAATATGCAGACTTTGGATCAGAAGAAAGTCTTCAATCCCCTCCCAAATGCTAGGAAAATAATAATATCTACTAACATAGCTGAAACATCTATAACAATAGACGACGTTGTGTACGTAGTAGACTCGTGTAAAGTGAAGGAAAAGTATTATGAATCGAATGGGGGAGTTTGCTCCCTTCAGTGCGTGTGGACATCCCGGGCGTGCTGTCAGCAGCGAGCCGGTCGAGCCGGAAGGACGAAGCCCGGGCATTGCTTTCACATGTGTTCTAAGCGACGATTCAAGACGTTACCGCTTAATTCGGTTCCCGAAATTCTTCGAGTTCCACTACAAGAGCTCTGCCTCCATACGAAACTGTTAGCGGCCGGTAACACTCCTATTGCAGATTTTCTATCTAAAGCGCTAGAGCCACCATCCTTTTTGGCAGTAAGAAACGCCGTCACGCTTCTTAAAACGATCGGTGCTTTAACCCCAATGGAAGACTTGACGGAAATAGGGCAACACCTACTGGATTTGACAGTTGAACCAAAACTTGGCAAAATGTTGTTATATGCCTGCGTGATGAAGTGTTTAGACCCAATATTAACGATCGTGTGCAGTCTGTCGAATAAAGAACCTTTCCAGATATCAATGAACCCGGAGAATAGGAAGAAAGGAAGTATGGCGAGGAAGGAGTTCGCAGCTGACAGTTATTCCGATCATATGGCTCTACTCAGGGCCTTTCAAGCGTGGCAGTCCGCTAGAGCTAACGGAACGGAGAAGGCCTTCTGCGCCAAAAATCTAATTTGCGGCGCCACTATGGAAATGATTGTCGGTTACCGATCCCAATTGTTAGCTCAGCTGCGAGCGCTGTGTCTAGTCAAAGCTCGCGGTTCCGGTGACATAAAGGACGTGAACCTCAATTCTGAGAAATGGCATATCGTAAAAGCGGTGCTAGTCAGTGGCCTCTATCCGTCCATAGCGAGGGTAGATCGAGATTCTTGCACTTTGAGAACTTCGAAGGAGGTCAAAGTCGCGTTTCACCCTAGTTCTACGTTACACAGAGGCGGGGGAGTGAGCGGCTCTCAAAAGTCCGTCCAGAACTTGCCTACCGATTGGGTGGTGTTTGAAGAGATATCTCGGGTGGGAAGGTTTTGTTTCATCCGTTGCAATACACTCGTAACCCCTCTGACGGTGGCGTTGTTTGGTGGACCTTTAAGATTGCCCGCGGGAGCGTTGACTCAAAGGGCGAATCTTCCGGGCTTATCCAGCGACTCAGATAGTGAGGCTGATGAGAGTAACTCTTCACCTGACATGGCCGTTCTCACACTAGACGACTGGATGGCGTTCACCGCAGACGCGTCAGATGCGATAAGCGTCTATTACCTGCGTCAGAAACTCTGCGCTCTCGTCATACGCCGGATGTCTAATCCTGGAAAGGCAATGAACCCTCTCGACGAGCAGATCTTAAACACAGTGGTTCTAGTGCTAGGAGCTGAAGAGAAGAACGTCGGCCTCAACCAACCTGCTGGAATAGGCCAGCGGCCGAAACCTCTGACCGTGGACTCGCCGATGTGGCGGCGGGAAGACGAGCCATATAACCGGCACGAGCCGAAGTTCTATCCGCAATACGGTCAGAATGATTTCGCGAATAGTTTCTACCAAGGTTACGGTTATAGGAATAACCAGCGGCCCGGTTGGAGGAATGATGGAATGCCGCAAGGGTTCTCCCCTCAGTCGTATAGCGGGCCGAAGAGTCCGATGTCTCCAAATGGGAAGACGCTACTTGCTAATATAGAAAAGTATTCGGACAATGGGGAGAGTAACACACGGTACTTCATAGTGAAAGCGGATGACCTTCATAGTGTAGAAATGGCGCAGGCGAGCGGAAGCTATCCCTTCACACAGAACACTGTAAAGAAAGTTCAGAAAGCTAAGCAGGTTAGTTCATGTTACATAACATTTGGAGTTTGTTAAACTGAAAAGAAGTGACTACAAGGTTATAAAATGAGGGTAACTTTTTAGTTTATTTCACCTTTGGAAAACCAAATGTTCATTATCCTCTATAGAAAATATTGTTTGAAAATAAAATTAATGTTTTAAAGTAAAAACTTATTTAGAAGCATTGTGCAGTAGTAAAAATAAATAGTATGTTATTTTTTTTTTAATGTACTGTAAAGATTACATAATGGTACGTTTCTGCTGATAAAATCATTGTGAAAAAGTTTTTCCGAAGCAGCCCTAAATATACAAAAATATTTTTTTATTTAATATTCCCTTTTTGGATCTATAGGAAGGTAGTCGCGTTGTGGTTATTTTTTCATGCGCGGGCGCATCAAAAATGACTGGCGCAGCGGCACTCGGCGAACCTCCCACTGTGCTTGACTGGCTCTCTACAAACCAAATACCTTTCCACATGCTGAGGTATGAAAATTACATTCTATTATTAGTTCAGGAAAAATGTGTGAGTTTTTAACCTTGCTTTCCCACATATGATTAAATCTTAAGGATTACATTTTGTGCACAATTAACATATTTTGAGGGCCTTTCTAGACTTTATCATTAAAATATAATTGAAATAGCTGACCTGCTAAACGTTTTTTATCATATAAAGTATTTCGAGGTAATTTGGTTGCTTCCATAAAAATGGTTCTTGTAAGTTAATCTTCCAAAGATTTAAGGAAGCATAGTTCTTTGATACATATTTCGGGGATCTCGAACGGTTTCCGCAGCGCACCTAACGGAAACCCCAAAGATAAATAATTTCCCCCTTTTTTCCACCTGTCTGATGTTTTATAGCCTAAAGCCGTCCTCGATGAATGGTCTAACCAGCACAACAGTTTCAATTACAACTAGTAGTTCTTGCGTTCTTCAGCGTTATTATATTAGCATAGATTGATTCCATATTAAACTGATTTTCGTTTCACAGACATATAACAAACTCGCTAGCAGGAGGAGCCCGGGTCACCGGTGCTAGAGACGGAACCGAGATCTGTTCGGCTTCTGGTCGCGCGTTACTCGCCACCTTGCAGAACCGGCGCCGTCACACCCAACCCAGACCTATACAGAAGCACTCCTCGGAACAATAGCGAGTAACGAGTTAAAAAATATTACAAATGTATAAACACTTTCGAAACACTAGTTGTGCTCCGCAGTAAACAGTTGTATGTAGTTATTTATCTTTTCGTGTTTTGCTTTAAATAACTATACTTTAGGAGTTTTTTCACTTCGAACTATAATTTAGGGGCGAAAAAACTCCTTTAAATTGTTTAGCCGTCTTAGATTTTAATGGGAGCACACAGACATAAAATGCGTCTGTAAAGTTAATATTTTAAATTAGTATGAAGGCAGTTTTCAAATTGAATCTATTTTTGATTGAAAGTACTTAACTGTTTCGCCAAAAAGTTATAATAATTTATTATACTTACTATAATTATGTCTAGTTTTAATAGCAAAGCCCCAGTAAGACATTGATGTACTCATTCTAATAGAAGTCATGTCAAAAATATAGGCTACTACTAAGATACTACCCCAATAGGAAGAATCTTCTATAAATTTTACCTAAAACCAGAGTGTTTAAGATGTCGTGTTTAAGTATATTTTGGTTGATTTCCTTTACAAATGTTTTGGAAGTTATCGTTTTATTAAACAATATACTGTAAAAAACAATATTTATTAATAATTTTAAATAGCTTATTTAGTATATTTTCTGTTAAAGAGATGCATTTACTTGATTTATGCACGGCCTTTTTAAGCAATATTTGCACGAATATTTATCGAAAGCTAGTTTAATTTTAGACATTTTAAAAAGGGTGGTAAAATATAATTTGCTATTTTAAAAGAAGCGTTCCAAGCGCAAAATAATATGTTTTTTATCCTTTTGTTTCCACACAAACACATTGACGAAATGATCTATTTTATAACTGTACCAAGGTAATGTATAACGTAAATATGTTACAAAGGAATTGTCATTTTCTTACATACATACGACTTGCAACACAAACATACATACGCCATGCATGTTTGTGTTGCAAGTCTTATGAAACATTGTAATTTTTCATAAGACTTGTTGGTTGGAAAAATATCAACAAAAATTGAATGTTACATTTAAAAGATCGTTGATAATATAGAGATTTTATTTTGTATTCTAAAAAACAGGCATTATAATTATAGCTTATACTCTCATAGAATTGTGTCTTAATAATAACAAATATTTTTTCATATGCAGAAAAATAGATTTTTATTTGTGGGCTAAAAGTATTTACTTTTTTATATTGGTTTATTCTTACTTACGTAAATGTATTGTAAATAATATAGTATCGTTTAAACAAATTTATTCCGTACTGACGTTAGTGGTCAGTACTAAAGTCTTTAAAATAATATTTCGAGGGTAGTTTTTAATATTTGCTTGGACTGCAATAGCATTAATAATAAACACAGATATGTGATTGAATTATTTACTAAGTGCGTCTGTGTTGCTAGTTATAAGAACAATATTTTTGCGGCATTCTTTTATACTTTGTCAAAAAGGGTTTTAGTAATTTTCTACTCTTTACAAAAAATATTATTCTTTGTTGAATAATTACTTATTGTATTACCTAGACTACAGACTTACCTGACCTTGTATGTAAAGTATGTATGTAGAAATAAATGTTGAACACTATCTGTATTAAATGTGAAACGTATTTTTCAGTAGAAAGAGATAGTGTAACTCGCTTAATGTAAGACAAAGAGAGACAAATATACTTTTGTCGGTTGTTACTCTATAACTTGATAACTTGTGACAGATACGCACATTATTTGCTGTTCATCAGATGTTTTTAAAGCACTTTTATGAAATATATATGTAAATATGTGTGAAATTGTTATTCATTTTTGTACTTTGCCTAGTTTTTGAATCCGAACCCCTTCATTTATTTTTAACGTAATCAAAATACTTTTTTTCCTTTTTAGTTTACTTTAGGACGTCGAAGATGTTTTTTTGTTAAATTGGTTTTTATTATTTGTTAGTATTAGCGTAAAAAATATCTGATAATTGTTATTATGTTGATCTCCTATTAATTTCCAGTCGGTACGTTAATAAAACATAAACAGTCTGACTTCCATCCTGACCAAACTGTATTTATTTTTGGCACAGAGGGACACAGTGTAGAACACATAATGCACTTTCTTTTAATAAAACATTTTGAAAATTGTATAGATATATTTACAGTATATATTCCACTGTTTGATTTTCCACACAGGTTATTGCTGCACCACAGCCTTTTGTATCTTCTCTTGCTGCTCTTTGCTCTGCAGCTGCTGTAGTGTGAGCAATGAAACACCGAGTTGGTCCTCGCGGGTGAACGGTTGCGCCATCTGTCGGAGCCAGCGCTTGCATATCTAAAATTAGAGTTAAATTTTTTCGTATACCTTGCATTTTAAATTGCAAATTCGTACTAAATCCAAATCCAAAATAACTTTTAGTAATGTACCGCGAACCACGAGAAACTTTTGTTACTCGTGGTTTACAAATAAACTGACTAGGATCTGGACTAGAATCTATCGATTGCATGATTATCCCTAAAAAAAGTATTGACCTGCACAGCCTCCTCCGTGGAGAGATTAGTCAGCGAATCCTTGAGATGTTCCTGTATCCAACGCGGCAACTTGCTACGTTTATCCGAACGACTGAACCGCTTGTCCGCGAATATCATTACACCGTAGTCAGTTTTCCCTCTAAAAAAATATAATTGGTAAGTACTAAGAGTACAGCAAACTGCTGTACTGTGAGATTGTATTTTGACAGTACCCACATAATATAATGATGGTTACAGTTCAGTTTATGAAATGTCTATCAGAATTTTTTAAAACAGGCCAATTTACATAGTCATGATTATATATACTACTAGCTGGGCCAGCGACTTCGTCCGCGTTGAAGTTATTTTGGGCGTCAAAATTTGTTTTAACAAACCTCCACCGATCTTAATAAATTATAGCTCCTACCGACGACGTCATTCCTACAGGATAATCTTAAAAGATAGACGCGGACATTTTTTTAAATCATTTAAAGAGGGATCATTCTTTCTTTCGCAGCGTAGGCATCTGAAACCCTCAAAGATGAATAAATTTCTGCGCTACTATTGGTCGTACGGTGATGTTTTCAATTCGGCCAGTAGGTCCTCAGATTAGCGCGTTCAAACAAACAAACTCTTCAGCTCTATAATATAAGTATAGATATATGTATTATATAAGAATAAAATACCGTAACGCTCGACCGACACACTGGGCCGCGTGTCTCATGGCGTCGAATGTAAGGAAGTCGTTTTCACGAATCTGTTAAAATTAAAAATTTAATATAGAAAACGCAACGAACATAAGACTATAGGGGATAATATTTCGTTAGTTAATTAATTATTTAGTTGGTAAGTATTCGTTATAGATAGCCTTATATAAAATAAAAAAATATATTAAAGATTTTAATTACGAGATCTAATAAATATTGAAAACGAATATGTAAGTGTTAAGGTTGAAAATACATTGCCCGAGGATTCCATATGTTTTATAGATCACGAAAATTCGAACGCTGTTACCTCCCGTCCCGACCATGTTTATTAAACTCAATATTAAAATTTAAATATAGATTATAAATGTATTTGAGTTTTCACAAATTGTTGTGAATAATCGCATATATAATATAGTGCTCTTATGTAGCTTTTGTAGTAACCAGTGCAAGGTCATCTTTGACAGTATAATTAAGACCTAAAAATATTTTGTTATTTAGTAGATATAGAGGGCAAAAAATCACCTGAAATTGATCTCGCAAGTACTCCAACCGCGCTTTCAATATTCTACTTTGGGTGAAGACGTACGGAATCCCAAACATAAGCACGGCTCTTCCTAGATGATGATCGAAGTCCACACCCTCGGAAACCTTTCCACGTGCCACGGACAGCAACACCGCACCGCGGCCGCTTTCACAAGCCTAAATCATTTCGACTATAGGAATACAATACTAAACTTGTAGATAAACAAAAATCATTTTATAAAAGTTTATATATTTTGGTACTTTGCAGATGCACTGTTGGTAAGGAAATTTAAAATTTGAGAAAGAGAATTCAATAAAATAAAACACTTTAACGGATTAAAACTCAAAATGTATGAGTTAAACTTATTAACAAATTATTTTAATTAAGGCCCGTTGTTTGGATGCATTGCAGCAGCCCGGGAGACTTAAGATGGGGGTGTCTCTAATATCAAAGTAAAAAACTGCTACGCTAGCGCCATCTGTTACGTCGTAGTGGGTTTTTGGCAATTTTGAAGCGTTAGTGTTTTATTTAAATGTACATTACTCGCATAAGCACTAATTGTGTTGCCGTGCCCTTGCGAATTACCGTTCTTCCGGGATTCTAACCGACATAATAGTATAATGTTTACATGTTAGTCACCTTTATGTAGTTGATAAGAGCGAAGCTAGTCTCAGCTGAATCTTGTGTTTCAATGAACAATAGCTTATGTCGTTGTAGACTCGCGACCACACCTACAAATTTATTTTCTATTACACAGAGTACATAGCCTATACGTCCGTCCTTATTAATAATACCGTTATGGAAAATAAAGTTACTGCATTACAAGTTTTTACTATTTCACACAAACACAAAATATGTCGAACAAAGCGTACAAGGTAGAATGGAGTTGAATAGGAGGTATTATCGCTAACAATTGATCTCTTCTATACAAAATGAGATGAGTGAATGAAAAAAAAATTAGAAAAAGAAAAAAACTTGAATATAGTTAAACATAAGGAAAACATTTATCACATATTGTTGTGAAGTAATATTGTATTGTATTTAAAGATATTTATACAATACCTTGATCGTACCAGGCTCCCACTACGCTTTCCAGGTAGAGATAAGAAGTGAAGAAGCAAACTACGCCGTCCGGTACACACCCCGCTATCTAAAACATAAATGGAGCTATCTTGGCCTTGTTGGTAGTGAAGACATAATAAGGAACCTGGTATTAAAAATAGAATCTTCTTTTCTTAAATCGCGGAGTCTTCAGTGGGAAACAGGAAGCCCAGAATAAATCGCGTTTGGGTTATGACATGGATAAAAAGATGTAAAAGTAACATAATCTATACTTATATATAAAGCTGAAGTTTGTTTGTTTGTTTCAACGCGCTAATCTCAGGAACTACTGGTTCTAATTGAAAAATTTCGTCTTAGAACATATATCCAGGAAAGTAGCCTATATGCTATAAAGCATCGCGCTGTGACTAATACGAGCGAAGAAACAGCGGGGAATGTGAAAAAAAACGAGGAAAATGATTTTGCCTGTGGGGTTCCGTTGCGTAAGCTGTGAAAACGGTTTCAAAAAATATGTATAAAACAATGATTCATGTTATAATGATCTAAAAAAAAGTCCGCGACAGTATATGTCTATATATTAAGATTAACTTATACGATCGACGGGACGAAGATGAAGTCGTGGATAAAAGCTTTAATTTATAGAGTTGAACAGGAGGTTTGCAAAAACAAACTCGATGCCCAAAATAACTATTCTAAGCGGCCGAAGTCGCTGACTCCACTAGTAATTAAATAAAGCCAGTAACAATTTTTCAAATTAATACTGTCATTAATATTTTTTAGAGTACTTTTACAGTTTCAATTTTTTTATTAAATTACCTCCACAAGCAATTGTCCATAGTTTCTTATAACGGCAACATCTTCTCGTGTCTCGTATTTTGAAGAAATCGCAACCTGATCACTGCCTTTGGACACGACCTAAAAATAAGTGGACAAACGTTGCAACGATAAAAATAGTTTTTATAAATGAATAAATTATCCTTTAAAAAAACACTTTAACGGTTTAAAACGCGATATATTAGTTAATCTTATTTGAATATGATTTTAAACTTCGGCCCGACGCGGATGCTTTGCAGCAGCCGTGGTCACGGGGAGACTGCCACGGCTGCTGCAAAGCATCCGAAACATCGAGCCGAAGTTAAAATATTTAAATGTGTACTACTCGCGTAAACTATAGACAGTATTTAAATAAACAATCCGTTTATAAACAAAGGATATACCATTAAAATTATTTCGTGACCTGGATTTGGATATTCCAGATCCAGATTTCCAGACGAAGTCCAACATGTTTCAGAGAAATTATAAATTGTTTGTAATAACTCTGGACCCCGTGGGGATCGAATTTAAGACCCGTTTATTAGCCATTTGGTTGCTACCATTATACTCAATGAGCTCGTAAAAATATAAGGGTAATTACCATAGGCAGAATACATGGCCTGGCGAGTGTCATTGTGAAAGAGCTCACCACGACTGGATTGAAGTCCAGGATCTTGGGGTACATGTCTAGAGGAGAAAGTGTGCCTGAGGGGAATTAAATTATTAAGTTTTAAAACACTTTAACGATTTAAGACACGGTATATATTAGTTAAACCTGCCGTGGAGACTGACCCGTGACCACAGCTACTGCAAAGCATCCGAAACGTCGGGCCGTAGTTAAAATAATTTTCAAATAGGTTTAACTAATGTAAATCGTGTTTTTGACAGTTAGTCTATTATTTAAATGTGCACTACTCGCGTAAACTACTGACTGTATTTAAATTATTATGGTTAAATTCGTAAAACATACATAAGTTTAATTAAAAGGATTGAACTTGTCAACGTGGTGATCAATCTTTAATATCTTATTTTCTTACCATACTAAATATTAATTTGGTATAATACGTAAATAACAACGCAAAATAATAAACGTAGTTAAATGTCATAAATTAGGACTTTGTAAGGCAAAAATAAAGGCCATCTATATATGTTGGTTTTGCCTTACTTACCTGATGTTATGATTACACTTTGAAATCTTGCAAAAACTGGTCGCATCGCGATAGATGAGTCCATGCAACTGAAATATTTAGTAATTTAAAAAAATATTAATATGCTTATTTTTGTTATTGATGTTAAAACATAATCGAGATTCACTTACGAAAAATGCAATATGGGATTGGAGACAGTTGGCGTCTTATCATCGAACGGTTCGATGATGATAACAAAACCCTTGGTATACGTGGAGACGAGGGTGGCCAAGTGGGTGACTAGAGTAAGGGATGCCAGATGGGAGGGATCGGCCACTTGTAGCGTGCGCAAGAGTGACTGGAGACGAGTTGCGCAGAACCGCAACGGTTTGCGTTCTATGCACACCCGGGACGCTACATCTTTTAAGAAACCTGTAAATGTGAGTCAAATATAATTGTGTTTTCATTGATTTAATAATTAAATTTGCGATGCCCTCTGATCACTTTACGATCTTCTTCTTTGACAGTGATTGAGGGATGTATTGCTAATCTACAACAGATCGTGGGTTCGATCTTCACCAGGTCCAACATTCTTCTGATCAAATTATACGTTTTTGACACATGCTGGACTTCGTCTGGAAATCTATATTAAATGGGTGGTAAGAATATCAAAATTCCGTCCAGGTCACGAACCACCGTCCATAGATGAAAGAGAGAGTGTAGTTTAATCGTGTTTCGGTTCCAATCTGTGGATTGTGCATTTCCGAATATCCAAAGCCAAAATAGGTCGACAGCACTAAGGGTATTTCACCTATCATCAACTGAACCCAATGTTTGTCTGTCTTCCTCTATCTAATAAATGTTTAAAGACATAAAATCATCTTTTTTTTCTTACCAGCAGGCGACTCTTGGACAACGTGCTGTATGCGCAGGCGCGTCTTCAGGTACTCGATAAAACGTTTTAAGAAACCTAGGAAATGCTCCGCGTTTCGGATGTTGCCAGGGACCACCTCTGTCAGAATAAAAGAAGTTTGTTGTAAATAATTGAGATTAATTTTATCTTTGCTTAGCAAATTTTTACATACCGTCCAAAACTTCATCTGGTAGGACAGGGTTGGCGAGCAGAGTGTCAGTGTCTCTGGCATGGGCAGCTTCACGCAGTCCTTCAACAAGAGCTTCGTACTCAGCTGCAAGACGACTGCTGTCTTCAGCTTTCATTCTAATAAAAAAATAAGTATAATATTTATAATGAAAAGTGTTACTTGTTAAATTAAGTTTGTATGCATAATTACATATTAAAATAAAACATTCAAAAAACAAAAAAAACATTTAAAGATTTGTAGTTTGGCGAATAAATAATTCCTTTAAAAATATACTTACTCTGCAACGGATTTCTCCAACGACTGTAGAGCCTGTGTGCTCTTGTCTATGGTCCGTCTTGTGATTTTGACACTCAGCGCGTCTATGCACACATTGTCTATGTTATGAGCCTCATCAAAGACGACTACCGCTTCTTTATTCAATTCCTTCGACACAACTTCAGCTATCTTTGGATCAAGTAGATAGTGATATGAATATACCACAATTTCCGCATGTATTATCTGTGAAGAATATATTAACTTTTAGTATCATTTCAATATAAAAGAAAAAGTTTAGTGAACTAAGATACATTTGAACCTTGTTGTCACTTTAGATGTCTAATAGGCAAATGTAACAATATTACAAATAGATATAGAGAATAGACACACGTATTATCTACATGAAATTATTTTTAATTTGATTTCATTTGAATTTATATAAATATCCCTGGAACCACAATTGCTTCAAAGCTAGTGTAGCATCATACATAAAAATATAACTCCACTTGTTTGATTGTGTTGGCGGTTACATTAAAATCTACCTATTAAACTTGAGACTCAGCATTATAGATAGAAAATATCGAATTCTTATTTCCACTTACTGCAAACCTTGACAAGAAGTACGGACACCAATTTCGATCAGCTCCGTACTGTTTCAGGTCATCCACATTATAAACGCCGTAAGGCAGCATTGACTCTTTGCCCTCTGTATTAAAGCCTTCATAGAATTGACCTGAAATGTACAGTAAAGTAAAATTTATAAATCTTTTGGTTTGCAGCACAGCTTATTTAAGAGATTATTGGTTTGATTGCCTATTCCTCTGCATAGGCTATATGAATTAGAAGTAGAAATAGTGAAAAAACTATGTTTCAATAACAGAAGAAATATTATGTAATTATAAAGCTTTGTTACTTGTACATGAAATATGGCAGTATTATTACTATTGTTTTATTTAAAGAGGGCATATATTATACCTCTTTTATTTTAATTAAAAATTTTACTCACAAACTGGTATGCTTCGATCTTGCTCATGCCTTTCTCTGATGTAGCTGGCTGTGAGAGAGTGACATTTACCATCTACTAATTTTCCTTCTCTTTCTTGGGATACCTGTAAAACTTAATGAAGTAAATTTTTTGATTTGTTGCTACTCCTCCTCTAATATTGCGTTAAGCGCGAGAAGTCTTGGGTTCAAAAAACTTATCTGTGCCATGATACAATTTTTTTTTTTGCTCTGCAGGACACAAGAGTTAGATCAACAATAAAATTTTGTAAAACAAGCTTTTCAATAAAATTTTGCATTAAACGGACAAGATTAGACAATATTTGATATTCAAAGTACAAATATATACCTCTGGATGTATACACATATTCTTCCTAGAACTTAGCACTACACCAGTGAGATTGGGTTTCTCGCCCTGTGACTTTTCATAATACTTAAATAGATTTTTGAGCTCCTCCAACACTTTTTCTATCTCTGGGATTGTCCGTGAACAATATATCAACTTTCTGAAACAAAAAGAATTAAACATAAAACTGTATCTTGCTCACATAGGAATAAATCTGCTTAAAGAAATAAAATTGCTTACCTAATATGATGTGGATTTTGTATCATATATGCAACTATGAGGGAAAGCAATGAAATTGTTTTTCCTGTTCCTGAAGGCATCTCTAGAAGACCATGTCCCTGTTTCAGACAAGCTCAAATTATGATAATAAGTTTCATATATTAGTTTAATTTCTCTTCTACCTTAACCAAATGACAAGACTTATTGATAATTTCTTAACCATCCTTTAATGGTCTATGCAAATTATGTAAATGTCAATTTTCTTATAGTTAATAAAAAGTAAGCACTATGCAGTAAAAAATTCATTCTCAATTTTAAATTAAATATCATCACTGAAAATTGGCATTGTGCTTATTTTTTTAAATTATATTAATATGAAAGAGGCATATACCCAAACCGGGGTTTTTGCTGATATCTAAGTTTTTGAATATTATATATACATAAGTTTAATTTACTAACATATCCTAAGCTTAGGTACTAACAAATATCTGTTTAAATGTATCAAAATTAATGTAAAAGGCAAGTAATAAATGCTTATTATTATTATTATATGGAAGAAATGATTTGATTTTGAAATAAAATACTTCTCACTAAAGCCGTTTGCTGGGCAAAGTAGCGTCTAACGCCGGAGCAAAACAAAAACATAACCTTTTATAGAGGTTACATACCTTAGCATCTAGGGCGCGCTTTAATTCTAGCATATACGCATATTGCTCTGGGTAGATATAATCGTAAGGGAAATACACTAATAAGCCATCTACAGTCAACCTGTAATAAATAAAATCAAATTGAGAAATCATAGTTGGAAAGTTAAAAGATTTTATATTTTGAATGAAACCTACTTCATGGTGCCCTTTCTAATAAGACGGAATCAAAAGATGAATACTGAATCGTATTCATACAAGTCAACTATTATTTATTTTATTTAGAACGAAATGTTTATATAAAAACAATGGTTCAACTTTCAAGAAGAATTTGTTATAGTCATTAAGGACAATTGACATTTAGACTCGAGCATTGAAAGATGACACTGACAATAAGACATCGAACTTCGAATTGCGAAAGAAGCATGCAATAATCGACTAAACATTGCTACTGTTTCAGGTTTCTTTACATGGCGATTTATGGATGCGCTCGCCCACAAACCGTTAATCGTTATTTAACTCTTACAGGGCCAGAGTGAGACTAAATTTGCGAATACAACACAATATTATGGCCATCATGGGTGTAAAGTAAGAGAATATTACTAGAAGAACAAAGCAGGGTGTATAGATACTATCTGTAGTTAATCGCGTTTTAAATCGTTAATATTTTGACATTCATTAAAGGAATTTAGATTATAACAATATAACACATAAAAGCTTTTTAGGTTCGAGCTTTACGTACGTTTGGCCGTCGTAACATATAATAATGCAAACGATTTCTTATACAATATTATATACGATGTTTTTTTTTGATTGACTATTTCGTATTGTGTTCCGACGGAACCACGAATACTAACCGGGCGTTAGGGCGAGCGCGCCAGCGCTCGCCGTGTTTGCGGCTAGACCAAGGGTGCCGCGAGGGGGGCATCAGCCTCTTCTTGGACCGCCGCAATGATATACGATGGCTGAGCAGTTCGAAAGCATAAATAGCTTTATAACTTGGACGCGAAAACCTTAAACAATTTATAAACATGCAATCCTTTGTTATCGCTATTCGTAAGCTACGCCTATTAAAAAATATTAAAGATTTAATGAATAAATTATAATAAAATAAAATTTAAACTGCACGTGTGATACCGGATACCAATAAACTGCAGGATTCACTCGAAATAATTTATAACATAATGGAACATCTAGTACTTAGATATTGATTAAAAATCGAAAATAAATTGAAAACATTTTCGACTTCGGCAGGACTAGAACCACCATCGTCAGCGTTCCGTGCTATTGCTCTAACCAATAGCAATAACATGTAAAAAATATTAAAGTTTTCATCCAGTATTTTCAAAATATTATCTCATCCTATCAGCATCTTGACTTACACCCTTCCAGACATGACCTTTGTATATTTAGAGTAGAAATGTTGATAAGACCTTAGTTTGCACAGCAGTACTGATATTTGACCTATCATATAGTCTTGGCAATATGCGCTTGAAATAGTGTTATATTGACCAATAATGAAGATAATTGTGCTAGGAGCGGGCATTAACGGCATAACATGTACATTAAAAATTAAGGAGAAATATCCGAATTACGATGTGAGTAATGTTGGCAACGGATATTTTTTAAGCGCACTGCACTTTTTATTAGGTAGTACTCAATTTCAAAGGAAAAATTATGTTTATGGAATTAGAGTAAACTTTTTGACTTGTGCGCAGTTTTGATTGTACATATTAAATTATGTGCGGGAAACAAATAAAGCGAACATCACCGATATAGTATTCTTAACTAGCCTGATTAAGGTTTTTATTTAATATTTTTGTATTTAACAGGTGACATTAATAGGTGCACAGTTCAGCCCAAAGACAACAGGAGACGGTTCTGGTGGTCTTTGGTATCCGTATCTATGTGGAACTACACCCGAATATTTGATAAGGTAAGAATAAAGTGCTTCTTTTGTAATATAATCTTTAAGTTTGTAGTCAAGCGTTCGCATCATAAGAAGTGATTTAGCGTTCCTTTGTGTTATTCTACTAATCTTTTTATTTAGGTAATTCCGAAATAAAGATTTATTGTTATGAATAAATTTTTACCTCTGTGACGCAAACGCAATAAAATACGCAAACGCAATAAACAAGGACGCGACACGAGCAAGACTCGAAGTCGCGTCCTTGTTTCACCGCTGACTTACTAGCTAGGTATATAATATCTTTGTCCTTCTCATATCAAGAGTTAAATTTCTTCAAAATATATGGAGGAGTAATATCGTTTCATCTAGATATTCTAACATACGTAAAACCTAATATATTAATAGGTTGTTATTATATTTGTAGGAAATGGGGTTTAGAAACATACGAACTGCTTTTAAAATTATGGCGTGAAGGCGGTTACGGTATAAGTCTACAGCCCATCTACGTTATGTACCGAAAGGAACCTAAACCGGCCCCTGAATGGACAAAGAAAGTCTTTGGTTACACGGAATTCGATAGAAGACAGTTGGATTATTTCAATAATTTGTTTTGTGTGAATTATGTGTGAGTTTTCGATGTTGTAAGTAAATTTGATCAGTAAAAAGAAATTCACTAAATTAATAGATAATATTGAAAATTTTTAGCGGTTGTGCCTTTAAGTAAAAAGGTTGCTTTGAATTTAAATGTATGTACAATAGCATAAAAGTATAATTTATTTTGATCGAATCAATTTTAACGCTTGTTTAAAAATATTTAAATTTCGGCGTATTTTAATTTACTACATATTTCCAGAGCTGGCAACACTTTCAACACGTTCGTTGTTAATCCGTCTACCCTCATAAATAGATTCGAGCAACAACTGGACGATTTAAAAGTAAAACGAGTACAGGGTAGCGTTAAATCATTAAGGAACCCTTTTTTAAGCAATTATGATGTAGTCGTCAATTGTACGGGTCTTGGGGCGCGGGAAATTGTACCGGATGATAGAGTGATCCCTATTCGGGGTCAAATACTTAAGGTATGGTATGGTTCGGTGGTTAGACAGATATCTGCCTGCCGTGAAGAAGGTTTGCTTGGAATGTGTAAAATAGGCTATGTATATGAATGTGTAATACGATTAAACTGTACAAGATTATGTAAAAATTAATCGATTGTAGAGTATACTCCAGTACTCAACTGTCATGGACACATGAACTAGGCCGGAATTAAGATTGTAAATAGTTTCCAAAATAGTATAAAACGATGTCTTTGGTCTATTTGTCTATATTTCTTTTTTGTTTAAACAGTTTAAATAATGCTTTCACAGGTAGATGCACCATGGGTTTTTCATACCATCCAGGACATAAACACTGGACATTACATAATACCAAAGTAAGTGCTTATCGAAAAAAATCGAATTATTTACTACAACATGTATTATTATTTTTTTAGTAGAAAGTAATTAAGTAATAAATAGACTAAAAGGTCAATTACTATGATTTGCCTTTCTTGATGGGCATTTGGGTCCTCCAATCAATACATAGACTGTTTTATTCAGACAATCAACGATTCAAAAAGAATAGTGAAACATTGAAGTATATTTTTTTAGTGACACCTTTTGCGTTATGGGCGGGACGGGTCAAACCAATAATTTCAGTACAGCTGTGGATGACAAAGACACGGACTTTATAGTAAAAGGTTGTTACACAATGATACCAACGTTGAAGGTAATAATAATAATTTATTTTTCAGACCAATAATAATAATGCCTGCTATCGTATATTCCTATTAAAAATTATCATTCCTATGCAATATTTTATGAAAAGCCTTAAGTATACTTTTTTGTTAAGACACATTTATATATGTATTGCGCATAAGTAACAAAGTCGCTGCAATTTATAATATTTATCGTAATTTACAGAGTGCAAAAACATTGTCATATTTTGTTGGTCTACGACCGGGACGAGACGAAATCCGTATTGAGGCTGAGAAAATTAACGGCAAAACGTATATCCACAATTATGGACATGGTAAGATTTTTGTTGGTCCTAATTATGTGAATAAGGTGAAAGTAGTGTACGCATCGTACACGTATTTATAGATCTATGCAGTGTACTTACTAGTGAGATATTTATTATCCTGTAATTGTTTATATATTGACCTTATTGATATACTTTGAAGCTAGTGTAAGTAGAGGTTTTGTCGATCGTCGTATGTTTCGTAGTCGAAGCATTGTAAAACATATAACAATAAACGTACGAACAATTAAATTAAATACCTATAGTTTGCACGCAGGTTGAAACACGAAATATATTAGTTAAATACTTAATATATTATTTTCGTAATAATTTAATTAAATATTAAAATTATGGTGTAATACGATATAATATGGTCATATATTATATCATACACGTTTGCTGGGCTTGGCTGATATATTGTCGCACCTGTCTTCTGTTACTTATTTCATAAATATTGTTTTTTTAGGTGGCAGCGGATTCACCCTGTTTTGGGGTTGCGGCAACACAGTCTTACAACTATTAGAGAAATACACAATGATCAATAAAACAAGTAAATTGTAATAAAAATAATTGTATTTAGTGTAAATATATATATTCAAAATTAATCTACATTATTTGTAGTAAAATATGGAAATCTGTATCCTTATGCAACAAAACGTATAAGCAATCTAGATAATAAATAACGATCTTTTTATAACCTTGTCTATTTTATTTAACTTAAAAAAAAATAACATAAACATAACAGTGATATATTTAATTTGTACAAAGACTTTAACAGCCTTATTATTAATTTTTTCTAACAGTGTCATAGATATCGGTTCTCCTTTGAAGTCTTATTGGAATAGAACTTCTTACTTCTTCCACTATTGACAGATCTGTAAAAATATACCAAGATGTAAAAATAAGAGTTTGATTGTGTGGCTAAGCAAACAGGAGCAACATATAAAAGTTTTATAGTGCACTATCTCCGCTGGCGCTGCGTATAATACGGCCGACGTAATTTGGCACTTCTGAACAGAGGTTAGACTAACTTTGGCGGATGTACACTCGTAAAGAAAACTAATACTGCCATTTATTTTCGTTACTGGGATAAATAAAAAATGTTAGCAAGCAAAAGTAACATACCAATAATTGATTCAAAGAGAATAAAAGCTATCACTAAAATACAGAGACAAAACAAAAATATAACAAACGAGAAATATTCATATTAAATTAAACAATCACTTTTCTAACGGACTGCGCTCAAGATAGAGATAACGAAATTAACACCAAGGATTGACCGAGACGCACTACTGTTTACAGAACATTACCGAATATGTACAAAGCTTTACGAAAGAACTAAATAGAGATGTTCATGCGCGATCCTGTCGTTTAATCGATTCCTATTAAAATTATGAAAATTAGATAATAAAATTATACACTTTTATAGAAAACTAATACTGCCATTTATTTTCGTTACTGGGATAAATGAAAGATTTTACATATAGCACTCGAAGTAAAATACCACTAATTGATTAAAACCAAATAGAGATGTCCATACGCGTTCCTTGTGAGTGTCGTTTATATTCCTATTGAAATAGACAAAATTGGATCGTTGAAATATAATTTTATAAAAAGCCCTGAAGAAGGTATAAATAGTAATTATATAAATAATAACTCATATTTAGCTAAATCAGGTAGTTCAATAATGAAAAAAGTTTTTAATGATTTTATTTTCCTTTAAAGGAAATCATGGTATTGTTTATTAACAACAACATTCACTGTGTTCATCAATCCACTTAGTACAATATCTCATACTTATTTAAAATCCACAATCTAAATCGATTACAAAATTTGATAGAATATGCGGTCGATTGTGTTGACATTGAGTCAATCACTAGCCTAGGTATTCTTCCCGCGCCCCTCGCTCTTACCACCGTTAACATTCTAATCTAACATATATCATTTTAATTCTCGTTTCGCGCTTAGATCAGGTCTGCCAAGTTACATCGGCCGTATTGTAGAATAGTTATTTTGGGAACCGAATTTGATTTTGCAAACCTCCTGCTAATTTTTATAAATTATAGCAGTTACAAATGATATATGGAAACCCTAAGCTCTAAAGACTCAGTTTTTTTTTCCATTTCCCAACTGTTTGTTCGCTACTAATTGTCACAACGTGCTGTTTTAGCTTAAATCTTTCCCCGATACATGCTCTAACCAACACAAATAATTTTTCAATTCAAACGTTCAAATAAACAATCAAACTCTTCAGATTTATAATATTAGTGTAGATTTAAACAGTAATGTGATTATAGTTATTCATTGGTATGCAGTAAAAACTACTTAATTAATGAACCTTACCAATATCATATATAAGCGTCCCCGGCTTTTCGTCAAGCTTAGCGACGACTTCGCCCCACGGGTCAACCAGAGTGGAGTGACCCCACGCGACGTACCCAGCCGTAGTGTCCCTCGCGGGGCTCACTAGCGCCACCCATAGCTGTTGGTCTGTAGCTCGGCCCCTGCCCAACAACTCCCAGTGCTTAGGCCCAGTTGTCATATTAAATGCACCCGGGTATATTAAGAGACCACAGCCTATAAATAAACATTTCAGATCAATCATTAAGCCTTGGGGTCAAGTTCCAAAAAAGAGCTTGAAAAACAATTAAGATGAATATTCTGGTCATTTTAAAATATTGAATGACGTAGATTCAAATCTAAGGTGTGATTCTTGTGTTTTAATAAAATGTTTAAAGTATGTATTATGTTTAAAAAAAACAAATCCTACCCTCTTTTGCCATGATATGTGCCATCTCAGCAAAACGAAGATCATAGCATATACCGAGACCAATCTTGGCACCATTAAATTCAAACACTGTTAGTTTATCACCCGGACTCAAAACTTCTGACTCCTTAAATGTGATCTTGTTGGGAATATCTATATCAAATAAATGCACCTGAAAAGGAGTTTTTTATGAGCCACATTTATTATGTAACAAATAAATTAAACAAAAAATAATAACTTTATGAGAAACAAAAAATTATATAAAAAACATAGGCAAAGCCTATATTATCTACATATTTCTTTATAGTATACTCTCTGACCAAGAATACAATATCTTCGTTAATGTTGCAATTATGAAGTCTCTCTGAACCAGGGCCCGAATACTGGTGGCAAAGTAATATTTTCTTTTTCAATTTTATTACAATACTAGCTGTGCCCGCGTGGAATAGTGCCTTGGGGTAGAATTTTTAGTTAACTTATGTAATTGCGCATTTATCGCAGCCAATCTATGTTGTAAGTGCTACTTTTGCTGCAACACTCTTACCTCACATCACTCCTACTCTAACTCCCACTCACACTCTCAATCCCACTCCTATTCCCAAAAAGCCAAAGAAGAAAGTTTCATTGTTCTAGTAGTTCAATAACCACGAATTTCCATACAAACTTTTTGCAATACAAAGTAGCCTTTATTTTTCTCGTTTCTTTCCATCTGTGTACCAAATTTCATTCAAATGCGTTCAGTAGTTTAGGTGTGAAAGAGTAACAGACAGAGTTACTTTCGCATTTATAATATTAGTAAGGATTATAAGTTCTTTATTGTCTTTAATTACCTATACTTCTGGGAACCTGCTATCAGTTCATGAATTGCCCGAGTGGCCTCTGGAAAGTCTGTGCATCACCGCTCTAAACCTAGGACTGCAAACCATGCTAGTAACCAAACTTTATCAACCCTTACTTTTCGATGTTGTGCTATCAATGTCCCCTTGTTGTCCCACACTGTACAAGTATTGTAGAGTTTGTTGCCAAACCTTTCTGGTACTGTACCACCCACTACAAATACTTGGGCCTCAGCGGCTGCTTTTGATAAGGCAAGACTAGTTTCGCCGCAAGGTACTTCTTCTGCATATTCATTAAAATATTCTGAAAATATATATTTAATATAATTGTGACATACATTATGCTATAACTGAGATGGAACTACATAAGTACTAAGATGCTTATGTTTTTATTGTCTTTGTGACATATATGTATATTATTTTGTTGAAATCTATCTCTGCAATTTAGTTTATACCCTCTAAATATTTTCATTACTTATGAGAAAAAAATATTAGCAGATTCAACTTTTCTTATCCTAACTTACTATACATTATATTTCTAGACTTACTTGTTCCATAGGGAGAATTGAAACACTCAGGCAGTGCAACAATATGTGCCCCTCCTTCTTTGGCCTTATGTATCTCTTTGACAGCCTGTGCTACATTCTTACTTTTATCCATACCCACTGTCATCTGCACTAGGGCTATTCTGAAACCTGAAATATGTATATTCCCATTATTTAATTTCTCTAATAAAGCGACATATAGTTACATCACTATATTACACCCAAAATCTAAATATATGAAACAAATTTGCACTTAAGATTAATATAATTTATATTACAATTTGTTATATGTACAAAAATGCTATTGTCTTGTTAAATCATACCTACAGATAAAATTGACTAAGCAAAGGTTTTAATTTAAAATTATTGTACTTAAATTTTGTTATAATACTTACTTTTAAAAATCAAAAAAAATTTAAAAAAAATTTTTCCCCGGGGGGGGGGGACCCCCCCCGGCCCCCCCCCCCCCGCGGGGCCCCCCCCCCCCCCCCGCCCCCGCCCCCCCCCCCCCCCCCCCGCCTTTTTTTCCCCCTTTTTTTCCCCCCCCCCCCCCCCGCGGTTTTTTTTTCCCCCCCCCCCCCCGGTTTTTTTCTTTTTTTTTTTTTTTTTTTTTTTTTCTTAAGAAATCATTGAAGATGAAATTACAAAGTTATAACGTTTGAAAACATTAATATTTTTCACATGTTATTGCACATGAAGGCACTATATAATTTTAAAAATCGAAAATAAATTGAAAAAATTTTCGACTCGGGCAGGACTTGAACCGGCATCGTCAGCTTTCCGTGCTGTTGCTCTACCAATTGAGCTACCGAGTCCTACACCTCATCGTCGAATTTTTTCAACTTATTGATACATGCACCTCTCGCGCAATGTAATTTCTACCTTAACACTTGCGTATTAAGGCTCAATGTCTTATGCTTTGCAGCTTAAGAAATCATTGAAGATGAAATTACAAAGTTATAACGTTTGAAAACATTAATATTTTTCACATGTTATTGCACATGAAGGCACTATATAATTTTAAAAATCGAAAATAAATTGAAAAAATTTTCGACTCGGGCAGGACTTGAACCGGCATCGTCAGCTTTCCGTGCTGTTGCTCTACCAATTGAGCTACCGAGTCCTACACCTCATCGTCGAATTTTTTCAACTTATTGATACATGCACCTCTCGCGCAATGTAATTTCTACCTTAACACTTGCGTATTAAGGCTCAATGTCTTATGCTTTGCAGCTTAAGAAATCATTGAAGATGAAATTACAAAGTTATAACGTTTGAAAACATTAATATTTTTCACATGTTATTGCACATGAAGGCACTATATAATTTTAAAAATCGAAAATAAATTGAAAAAATTTCGACTCGGGCAGGACTTGAACCGGCATCGTCAGCTTTCCGTGCTGTTGCTCTACCAATTGAGCTACCGAGTCCTACACCTCATCGTCGAATTTTTTCAACTTATTGATACATGCACCTCTCGCGCAATGTAATTTCTACCTTAACACTTGCGTATTAAGGCTCAATGTCTTATGCTTTGCAGTTTAAGAAATCATTGAAGATGAAATTACAAAGTTATAACGTTTGAAAACATTAATATTTTTCACATGTTATTGCACATGAAGGCACTATATAATTTTAAAAATCGAAAATAAATTGAAAAAATTTTCGACTCGGGCAGGACTTGAACCGGCATCGTCAGCTTTCCGTGCTGTTGCTCTACCAATTGAGCTACCGAGTCCTACACCTCATCGTCGAATTTTTTCAACTTATTGATACATGCACCTCTCGCGCAATGTAATTTCTACCTTAACACTTGCGTATTAAGGCTCAATGTCTTATGCTTTGCAGCTTAAGAAATCATTGAAGATGAAATTACAAAGTTATAACGTTTGAAAACATTAATATTTTTCACATGTTATTGCACATGAAGGCACTATATAATTTTAAAAATCGAAAATAAATTGAAAAAAATTTCTACTCGGGCAGGACTTGAACCGGCATCGTCAGCTTTCCGTGCTGTTGCTCTACCAATTGAGCTACCGAGTCCTACACCTCATCGTCGAATTTTTTCAACTTATTGATACATGCACCTCTCGCGCAATGTAATTTCTACCTTAACACTTGCGTATTAAGGCTCAATGTCTTATGCTTTGCAGCTTAAGAAATCATTGAAAATTTTTTCAATTTATTTTCGATTTTTAAAATTATATAGTGCTCTTCATGTGCAATAACATGTGAAAAATATTAATGTTTTCAAACGTTATAACTTTGTAATTTCATCTTCAATGATTTCTTAAGCTGCAAAGCATAAGACATTGAGCCTTAATACGCAAGTGTTAAGGTAGAAATTACATTGCGCGAGAGGTGCATGTATCAATAAGTTGAAAAAATTCGACGATGAGGTGTAGGACTCGGTAGCTCAATTGGTAGAGCAACAGCACGGAAAGCTGACGATGCCGGTTCAAGTCCTGCCCGAGTCGAAAATTTTTTTCAATTTATTTTCGATTTTTAAAATTATATAGTGCCTTCATGTGCAATAACATGTGAAAAATATTAATGTTTTCAAATAATACTTACTGTTACGTGTTAATTACTTTAACAGTAAAATAAGTGTTAGAAATTTAATTTTATGTGTATGCCTATCATCTATGTTTTGGAAGAATACATTATATTAGTAAGTTAAACACATACATTATAATTTTGAAATACTCTACCCTTATTGTAAAACATTGTATTCTTTGCAAAACGAGGGTGTACTGCATCAATTGAAGTGTCTGACATCCTTGGAACTTTTAAACTATGTTCTATTGTATTTGGAAATCAATTTTACCTCTTCTCAACATATTTGTGAAGCGAGATGTAGGTACTTATGTAAACACTTATAAAACTAAAGTGTTTTATCAGTTACTGACTGATAACAAATGTTTAACGAACATTTATATATGTTGTACCAAAATAGAATTAAGTAAATATCCTATCATAATGATAAAATTTTGAATACACATTGTCATTAATTAATAATTAACGACAAATGGCATTGACTTTTGATTATTATATTAAAGTGTCAGTCGTTTATTGACAGTAAAAATTAGAAGTGTCAATTGTACACCAATTGAAAAACCAAATTTTGTTTACGTTTGTTGTTATGACTTTTAAATTTTATTGAAATAATTACAAACAAGAATTTTGAGTAAAACTTCAACATGGACTTGAAAGTGTGCAGAGTATGCCTTGAAATGAAAATGAATCTTCTTAACTTGCACGCAAATCCATTAGAACATTATTACGAATTGCTTACAGGGACTGATGTAAGGTCCTTTATTAGTAGTTCATAAGACATATTTAAAATAATTATTGTACTAGGTTCGAATCTTGTTATTCTTAGCTTATATTGATTGTATATTGCAGCCTCTACAAGAACTCAAGATGCCAAGATTTGCGTGCAATTGGTGTGCAGCATTGTTAAAAAAGTATTTCCTATTTCGACAAAGGACCTTAGCAGCTCAAGGTGTGCTTCAAGGACTTTTACTTGAAAATGCAAAGGTATTTACTTAATGATACTTATGTATAGAAATTTAAACTTTACTACTATTTTTGTTGAAAAAACCTTTTTTAGTAGCTATAAAAATATGAGCCAGTGGAGACTGGGTGTAAAAGTGTTAAGAAAACTTTTAGTAATCATACAATTAAAAAAAAACACTAATTTCTTTGTAACTACTTTCTTCCATATTCATCTCAGTAACAGATATATTATTGGATTTTTCAATTGATTTTAGATAACCGAGAATGATATAAAACATAGCAATTCCTATCTAAACGCAGGTCTTGCCTCAACACATAATGTAGTTAATATAGCTATAAGTCCAATACAAAATGTCGCCAGTGATATTCTTGAACAGGACTCAATTATTATGGTAGAAGAAAAATTGGTAAACAAAAAAAATATAAAGATGCTAGTGTATATAGAAGATACTAATAGAAAGGATAACAATCTAATAAAGAAAGAAATTAGTTTAAGTCCATCATTAGATTTACCAGAACCATCTATGAGACTAGAAATAAAATGTGAAAGTCCTGTTCAAAGTATGGAAATTGCTGATGATGTGCAGTTATTAACGAAAACTGAAAATGGGTTTGATGGAGAGCTAGATGATATATTTAGTGATGAAAGTAGTTCTTGGAGTAGTAAAGTCAGGAAAAGCAGAGTGAGTAATAAGTTTTCCATATAAGGTATTTTTAACAAATTGATTTACCTTACATTGCACTGGTGTATATATTAATAGGTTGAAAAAAATCAACAATGACTTGTAAGGCACGGTTACTGAATTGGTTAGAACAAGATAAAACAATGTGGATATTGGTTAAGATCCTGTCCCTATTATAAAATATTAACTTAAATAGATAGATAATAATAGATTTTTAACACATTTACTTTTTTTTTTTAAAGTTCAAAATTAAGTATGGTAATGTTATGGGAGCTGCAGTTTTCTTATATTTTAAGCGGTACCTCTCAGGTAAAGACAAAATCGGACACAACTAAAATCTTAAAAGGAAGTGGGAGAACTCGAAGGAAACAAACAGTGAAAGTGAAACCTACATTTCATGACAAGGAGTTAGAAGATTTTGTTATTTTCATTTATTTAACAGTAAGTAGTTGATTTCCGCTTATCACCAAATAGGTATACCACTGGTGTTTTAGTATATAGTTATATTTTTTGGTGAGATAGAACTAAAAAATGAACTTTTACTCTTTCAAAATACAGGAACGATAAAACATTTTTTAATAACTTATACAAGTGTAGTAGTCACAGTAGCCACCAAGGTCCACTGGGCAACTTAGACTCTTTTTTAATAATTCCGTCACAGTTAAAGCATTCCCTTATATAAGCATAGTCTTTGGAACTCTCTTCCCACTAATATCAGAAAAGCTCAATCACTCCATTGTTTTAAGTTTCCAAAAATTAAGTAGTTTCTCTCCTACTCGTGTGTAGGAGAGAAACTACTTAATTATTGGAAACGTACACCCCTGCTATTCTTTGTTATTCCTTACATCTACCCGCTAAATAAGTTATTTTCTATTTCTTTTCACCTGTACTTCAGGTTGCCTGGAAGAGTTCGCTACTTAGCGATAAGGCTACGTTTTATTTATAAGTTAGTACGTAAGATTTTTTCTCATTAATATGTATTTTCTGTGGTGTGTTTTATAAATAATAAAGCAATAATAAATAGACACCTTGGGTTTTTATTAAATTACGGTTCTTATAATTTCAGAAGGAAGAACAAATGGAAGAACTGGAAAAACGACGGGAGTCGGAAGAGTTTCGACTGTCGCAGTACAAATGTAATAAATGCTGTAAGACATTCCTAAACCAGGCCACGGCACTGAAGCATGCTGGAAAACATGAAGAGGTCTTTCTTTAAATACACATATAAAACACAAATAATGTTTGACACTTAAAAGCGTAGGCTTTGGCATATGTGTGGCTGATATTATTGAAGTGCCCATAAGGTTTAATGAAATCCCACGATTATTGATAATCTGATAAACGGATTGATCTTTGCTTTGAAATAATGACGGCTGGCTATTATCTGATTTCTATTCTATCAAAATAAGGCTGTCCACACTCAAAATAGAAGTGATTCTTTGATGTTTTTATGCCCCTATGTTTGGTATCCCAAGGGATCCCCTCAAAGATAAAGTTTACGTCATATTTAGTTTATGTATTACAGTCTCACGGTTCTTTGGAGTGTGAAATTTGCAAATTGCGCTTCAAAACTCGGCGGAAATTTGGTCAGCATTACTCAATGCACCCAAGGCGTTATGTCTGCAGAAGCTGTCCCCGCGTCTTGAGCTCACTGTGAGTATGACAAATAATAATCTGAACGATACACCTTTTATTAAGTAAGTGATGACTATGAATCTGTTAAACATTTCAGATAAGTATGTTGTATGATTTATAAATTATGATATTTCATTATTTTTAAAGAAAAGGTGTTTCTCGATGATAAAACATTCATTATAAGAAAGAGGACACATAAGTATTGGGGGTTGTCCATTAATCACGTGATCTTCTTTTTTGAATTTTTTAAGCCCCCCTCCCCATTGGTGAGACGTAGTGAGGTTTAAGACAACCCGCCCTCCCCCTTCTAAACATCACGTGTATTTTTAGTACCTACAAAGAATCTTAAAATTTTCTGAATATTATCTTAATTTAAATACAGGTATAGGCTATAATCTTATTTTATTCTGAAATTAAAGACCATAATAAAAATGTCTACACCATTTGTTTAAAAATCGCGCGTTTGACGAACGAAAAATTGAAATTGAAAAAGAAAAAGTAAATATCTTACTACACCCCCCTGTGTTATTTTCGTGATTTTTTTAAAACCCCTCCCCCCCCCCTTTCAAACCTCACGTGATTAATGGACGACCCCTTGTTGAAACGTTTTTTGCACTTTATTTCTTTTTTAATTCCTTATTATTGAATAAGTCCTTATATTTTCACATGCCAGTATTCGCCTGAGATTATATTTGTTGAGAACAGTGAAACTCCGTTTTCCCCTGTGGGCCGAACATATTCCTTTTTTTGTTTGACTGCCAAGTCTTCAAATTATATTCAGTATATATTTTATTACTTATTTAGATATCAGGCACGTCTTCACGTCCGCTACCATCAAGGTGTCAAATATAAATGTCCGCACTGTGACGAAGAACATGTGTAAGTATGATATGTTCCTTATCATCTTTTTAAAATTATTTGCAAACATAATACAATGTCTCTATCCACATTAGATGAAATTATAATAGATCATTCGTTTCATATTTCAGTACAGACTTAATATTTCATACTATGCCCGTTAAATTAAATGTTCTGTGTGATGCATGAATCTACTAATCATTGTACTTGTTTTATTTAACTTGGCAAAAGACCACAACAAATATGGCCGATTTCAAACCATAGAGAACATTGTGTTGATGTTGTTGCCACAGATGATACAGGGATATCTGAAAGAATTTTTTCCTGCATATTCAGGAATGTGTGATAAAAGTTTGATGTAAATATCCATATTTTCAGTAATAAATCCACTTATCTGAACCATTTACGAAGTAAGCACCCGGCTGACTTCACTTGCGAGTTGTGCGGTTCTGCGTTCGTCACACAACACGGCCTTAACAGGCACAAGAAAGCTAAACACTCTGAGGTAAGGTGGACTTTCATGTATTTAATTAATTTTGTTAAAATGAATGACTTTATTTTACTTAAAAGGTAATTTCCTAACGATTAATAATGTATAACTATTTTTTAAAGGATGACAAAGAACGGTGACGCAAATTTATTCAATCTCTTCTGTTTTATTATATTTAATTATGATAACCTTATTTAAGTTCGATATTTTTTCTAGTAAGATTTTATTTTTAATCTATAATCATCTTTTAAATTAGTTCTTTTCTTTAACGTCTGTGATATATTTAGAATCGAATTAATAAAGTTATATATCTGTCACTGTATTCTGAAACATTTAAAAGCGGGAAAAATAAAAAAAGTCTTATCTATTAGCAATTCCTAGCTACTAAGTAAAAAGTCATCATTTATGGTACCCTTAACAAATGTATATTAAAATGAATCCCTAATTGAAACAATATAAGGTCGAAACTTTGTTTAAAGGGAGCGAGCCAAGTGGAAAGTGCCAAGGAGGCACGGCACTGCGAGCTGTGTAACATAAAGTTCGCAAATACGAAAGCGTATGAACGACACAAAATCACGTCTCAAAAGCACGCTGACATGGCTAGGGAGTAAGTTAACTTTAAAATACATTTTTTATACGGAAAACGCTATATATTTGGTAACGCACACTTTAGTGGCAACCTCCAACATTAGTCCCCACAGCTAACAGCTGATGTGTTAATAAATTGAAAATAAGTATACTAAGTAATATTAAAAGTGTTTTATAATGATACGTATGTATTTTCGTTGTTTGTGCGGGTTGAAAATGTGTATGTTATTTATTTATTAAATTGGCGTAGTAAAAAAAAACATTAATTTATCTACTGTAAGGTCTGTTTCGTCTGTAAGTTAATTTGATATATTTAGTGTGTAAAAATTGATATGACGTTTAAGTCTTTTGTCTATTCTTTTTTCTATGGAGATACAATTCATGTCATGTAACTTAAGCAACGTAGTTAAAAGTATTTTGCCCAATTTTGTTTGAATTAATTAAGCAAGTGAACAACATGAATGGTCCAAAACGAGCCGAATCAGAAAAGTATTGCATCGTATAAAGTGAACATTAAAAGTACATTAAAACTTAAAAGTTCATATGCAACGAAAGTGCAAGATTCACTGGAGAATTTAGGAATCAATGTGAACACTTGGGACGCTATAATAGTGCATATAATTACCTCAAAGCTTGACTCGGGGTCGATTAAACAATGGGAACAGTCCCTAGGAGCTTCAACAGATATTCCAACTTTTAAAATGTTGGAAGCACATTTAGAAAAACAGTTTCGAACCTTAGATATTATTGATATGACTGTACATTCTGTTCACAAACACATTTTATATTATGTCAATGCAAGGAATTTGGCAAATTAGAAGTTATATAAAGACAGGAGTTTGCTAAAAAACATGAACATTGTTTCAATTGCTTAGTTAAAGGACATACCAGTAACAACTGTCACTCATCGCTTTCCTCTAAGAAATGTGGTCGACGGCATCATACTCTTTTACATATTACTGGAAATAAAAGCTTCACAAGTGATGTTATTACTCAACCTACAACTGCACGGGTTAGGTCTAACTCGGATCCCGTTGTCAGCCTTAAAGTAGAAACAAATCACGAAGTCTTATTGGCTACTGCTCACATTTCAGTTCAATCCAGAGATGGAAATAAATACACACTAAGAGCACTTGTAGATCAAGGGTCACAAGCTTCCTTTATCACATAAAGAGCAGTACAATTGCTTGCACTTAAGAAAATAAGAGTTCAATCTAAAGTCACAAGAATCCGTAACAAAGCATCATTCACAACCAATCATATGGTCAACTTAAGTTTTTGCTCATGCTATAACGATTCTCAGTCGTTTACAATGATGGCTTATGTTTTTAAGAAAACTACAACTCTTTTACCTGTCGAACAATGTTCATCACATACCTGGCCTGAAAAACTTGAACTTGCTGATCCATACTTTTACAAACCAGGTACAATAGAAGTTCATGCAAACATTATGTTAGAAGGTTTAAAGAGAAACAACTCACTTATTGCTCTCATCTCATGCTTAGGATGGCTTATATCTGGTAAGATACCTTACACAAATTCACAACCACAGCATATTCTGGTACATCATACACAAGTGGTAGTGGATCAACTTTGTTGTATTGTTAGTAGGTAGTCAAGCTTTTAGTATAATATATGTAAGGTAGCTACATGAAGTAATAAAGTAGTTGTAACTGCACCTTGTCTTTATCTAGTCACAACATGGTGTCAGGTGTAATTTTAATTCGTTTATAATTAAAATGTGAGTTTATTCAGTTCAGTAAATTGTTAGAAACGTAAAGTGAGTAACCAGTAATCGTCTTAAATCGAAAAGTTAAGTTGAAAACAACTAAACGTGTGGAAAAATGGAACACGCGCGGCCACCAAGCGCATTAAATATGTCGGACGAAAAAACTGAAAAATGTTTGTAATTAGTTTGTTTTATTTTCATTGTTTAAGGGGGAAAAGTGTGTGGTAGTGCGTAGCGGGTCTTATCTTTTAAGGGGAAGATGTTGTATTGTTAGTAGGTAGTCAAGCTTTTAGTATAATATATGTAAGGTAGCTACATGTATTAATAATAATAATAAGTTATCTAGTCACAACAAACTTCTTAGGAAATTTTGGGAAATTGAAACCTACCTGACCATTAAGTAATGACACCTGAAGATAAGAAGTGTGAATCTATTTATGAAATTACCGCATACTGATGGTAAATACATTGTTTGTCTTCCATTTAAAGAAAGGTTGGAAGTTTCTAAAATAATTGCTTCTCCACAGCTACTGCAAGTTGAAAACAAATTTAAAAGAAATACAAAATTTAAAGAAGACTACAATAAATTTATGAAACAATACTTAACTGATGGTCACATGGAACTTGTACCTGAAAAAGAAGTAAATAAAAAAGATAAGTTATACTTACCTCATCACGCAGTTATGCGAGAAGCTAGTGTTAGTACAAAGCTACGAGTAGGTTTTGATGGTACTGCATAGCCACCAGATGATACCTCATTGAATGATAAGCTGCTTATTGGTCCGCCTTCGCAACAAGATATTAAAGATCTAATTACAAGATGGGGTCAACACAAATACTGCTTAATTGCTGATATTCAAAAAATGTATCGCTGTATTTGGTGTAATAAGTCTGATGCAGATTACCAAAGAATATTATGGAGGGAGAAGCCTGATGAACCTATTAAAGAATATAGATTATTAACTTTGTGTGCTCCATATCTTGCTATAAAAACTTTACACCAGCTCAGTGTTGATGAATCACATGCTTACCCTGAAGCAGCTCCACTCCTGAAAACCGATGTATTCGTTGATGATCTTCTTACGGGTGCAGATACAGAAAGAGATGCAATCCAGTTACAACAGCAACTTACTTGTATCCTTATAATATAAATAATAATAGTGAATTAGTACTTAGTAATATTTCTGATCATTTAAAAGTTTCCAGTAAAAATAAACCTGTAAATATTACACTAGACCATTCAATTAAAGCCATGGAGTACTCTATTAAGCACAGGTCGACAAAGTATTTCGCTAAGTGTTAAATTATTTGTTGCACAGAGAGCCACATGTTTATCAATGTGGCTCCCTGTGCAGGAAATAATTTTCACTTAACTTTAACTTCCCCTGATGAAGCAGAGCGGTGTGGGCCTCGGCAGATCCAAAGATAGCTTCTCCATTATTTTCTCCTCACATGTCAATATTTTATTCTCGGTGTATGCATGGTATGTGCCACGAATGAGGGCAGTGATGTGGAGAGGGTATATTTTTTCATATTTGCTGGCGATAAATATCGCAGTTACACCAATGAGCTGCAATTTGTTCTTTGGCAAATACCGGTCTATAATTCCAACAGCCAATTGAAAAGTCTCTGGGAGCACAGAAAGCTTGAGCTGAAGCTCTACCAGCCAATCTATCAGAGTAGCCCTCATGTCACCGTTTATATAATATTGATTTTTTAAATGGTTCTCTACAATTGGACACTACGTCTCGTGGGTAGATTGGTAGCTGGAATTAGCATAGGTAGAGTTCAGCGTTGTGTTAGAATCATCTTCATCAATATCTTCAAAGACGCCAAAGGCTCAACAATAGTTTCCACTAATTCCTGTTTTCCTAGAGACTCCATAGTGTCTTTAATAATATGATTCTGTCCTTCACTAATCTCTTGAATGGGGATGAGTTTAAGATTTATCTGGTCTCTTGGCCGATACACTTCCTTACTTGAAATGCTGTTGAAGCTCCCAAAAAAGACGTTGAACTTTTTTTGGAGCTACAACAGCATTTCTAGTAAGCATTGCAGCACGTGAAGCGTATAGACGTGGTCTCGACGATGCTTGATTTGATTAATTAAACAACAGGTCGAAATACTTTTATTTGAGATCACTCTCAAGATATCTTTTATTATTATTTTCAGATTCTGTTGTCTGGAGTGTGGTGAAGTATTCCGATCGAAGGAAGAAAGACGTGATCATGCGCGGCTGAAGCATACAAAACGAGATCTTAAGCTGGGGCCCGATGATCGCTCTTGGCCTATACAATGCCCACATGTGAGAAAATATCTGTATTATATATATAGATAGTGTCGTGTTTGTTGCAAAGTTGATTAGATGATAGTTTGAATGTATTTTTTTTAAACCTTTATTATGAATTTGTCTTAGCCATCAAAAGTTTTCTATACGAATAAAGTCGCAAATAATCAAAATAAGTAACTCTTACAGTGCCCAGAAAAGATCCCGAATGCCATGGCAAACTGGTCCCACTACAAAAAACATCACCCTGACAAAAAGTACCCCGTTAGAGACAATCATGTTTGCCAACTTTGCGGAAAGGGATATGCGGTAAACATAATCTATATAATATTTCTCTTTCACACTATATTAATCCTACAACAAAAATTTACTTTTCATTAACACTTACTTTTAAAAAATCTATACATACATATACTTAACATGTAGCAAGTAGTAGGTAGTTTTAAATTTATTTGTCAACAACTGAATTTAAAACTGCCCTCTTTACATCCAATAGCTTTCCAGCTATATATATATATATATATTTTTAATATAGACGAAATCCGGCCTCGAATCCCATAAGGACAGTCACAGTAACGAAGGTCTACACAAGTGCGGGGTGTGCGGCAAAGGGTTCCGCCACCGAGATGGCATGAGGAAACACCAGAAGAGCGTGCATTCAGAACTTCGTCCGCACATGTGCTCGCTCTGTGGAAGAACCTTCAAATTAAACAGCGCCCTCGTAAAACACCAACGGGTATATTTGAGGCCGCTAGAGGCAGAGTAGCCTAACTGCAATTTTGTATTTTTTTTATTTTATATTAGTCTAAAAATGTGAATCTACAAACAAGTCACAAACAATAGTACAAATTAATTTTCGCCTATGTTAATTGCGCATTTTTATTTCTCTCATTGAAAATTATGTTTTTTCTATTAGACCGCAGACTAGCAGCCTCATTTAATGTTTTTTATTCCATCCAAAACAATTCGTAGAATGTACTTCTTGATAGTATTAACAAAAGTAATCAGAATGCTCTTTTTCCTTTGACTTCTTATATATGAATAGAAAAAACATATTAGTGGCAACAACAAGATATTTTTAATCAATTTAACATTTCTGTTTTTCATTCTAGACTCACACCGGCGAGAGGCCTTACAAATGTGATGAATGTGGAAAAGGATTCGGCTTCAGCACCACACGTAATATTCACTATCGAACGGTCCACCTCAAACTACCCAATCCCTATGGTGAACGCGCTCGGAAGAAAAAACAACACCTCAGTACTGAGAAATAAATGGAAATGTTGAAATACTAAAATATCTACTTTTTGTTCTATTCTGAAAAGTCTAATGTATTTTCCTTGGTTTATCAATACGCTTAACATTGATTGATGATTATTTATTTATTTATTATAACTTGTCTTGCAATATTGAATCTACCTTAACTGTTATCTTTTCTAGCAAAACATGTAGCCTATGTTCCTGAGGATGAATGTAGCGAAAGATTTTGAAATAAATACAGTAGTTTTAGGGTTTATCCATTAAAATAAACACAAAAACAAATCTCTTTTAATTTTAAGTACATAAATATATAGATGTAGACTATACACGAACTTAAGTCGGCTGCACAGGCTGCTATTTATTTCTTTTACTCTTTGGTATTGCGTCACTGTCACTTTTATACAAGTGTCAATTGCAATATTTCATACCACAAACATTCTTAGATTTATTGTTTTATTTTACGAGTAAAATATATTTTATTGTTTAAATCATATTTTATATAAATGACAGTGACCGATATAACTAGATATTTATTATACTGGTATTATAAATGGTGACTCAAGTTTTGATCTGAGAAATCTGATAATAATAAAAATTTCTTATAATAAAAGAATTATGCATTTTACACTGCAACTACAACTGTTTATTTGAGATTATTCTACTAAGGATATTATTAACGTACTTGTTATAATTATAAATATAATGGGGACTGTTAAAGCGTGCAGGGTTTGCTTACAGATGGATGTTAACCTTTGCAAATTTCGATCAAGTTCTTTAGATGAATACTATAAAATACTAACTGGAATAAATGTACGTAGAATGCTTATCATATTTCCAACGAGCTATCCTATACAAATACACTATTGGCAGTCTTTGTTACAGTTTTTTTTTTGTTTTTAGGTTGAGCCACAAACATACCTTAAACTCCCAATGTATGCTTGTTATGAGTGCGGTAAATTACTGCTAAAGTTTTATAACTTTCGTCAAAAATGTTTGAGAGCCTTGAGAGTATTACAGGAAATTCTTCACTATAGTAAAATGGTATTTTACATATAAATATTTATTAATTTGCAAAATCTATTTACTTATTTTTTGGTAAATGCATTGATTTAGTGTCTATTCTGAAACATTCAAACTCCTATCTTTCTTTGTAATATAGTAGGTACCAACTCTAAATCTGAATTACCTAGTCGTATTTAAAAAAGCTTCAATAAATTATTTACAAAGCTATTATGTAAAAATATTATTTCTTATTTAATTTCAGATAACAAGAGATGGTATTCTAGGCGTAGACAGAGACAGTATTCTTTTAAAGTCAACTTTAGGTGTGTCTAAAAATGTATGTAACATAGACATAAATCCAGAAAATGAAAATTCTCATACTGATAATGAGCAAAGCCAGACATATCCTAATATTCCAATGGATAATTTGTTCTTTGACATGGATCCATTTGACACTGGCCCTGATAATGATTGGCCAAGTGATGATGATAAAGGTGAAATTAAGAGTTTAGAGGCTGTCATCAATCAAGATAAAGCAGTTCAATCTGTTGACTTAAAGGTAAGACAGCACTACTTAAAAGTAAAATGGTCTGGGATGAGGTACAGTAGTAGTTCTAAGAAAGAAAACCTCAGGCATATAGGAAAAGTATAAAATATATTTTGCTTCATTACAAATTTTGTGTAAGGGACATTACAATATATACGAATTATACCCAAAGGATTTATATGATTTTGTGTTTTATTGACATAATTTCATATAATTTCTTTAAAAAATATAGGGTTCAGCTGTCAAATTTAAATCTAATCAGAAATATTTATTAATTGTTATTTCAAGGAAACCAAAGCTAACCGTAAGAGAAAATCCTCATTAAAAAAACCAGAGAAAATCATAAAAAAGGAAAAACCAATGGTATCAGTATCCAAGAAACATAAAATAAGAATAAGAAAGGGCAAAGGTTTTATAACACCAGAGGATATTAACCTACCGAAGGATGCAGATTTAGAATTTGATGATAATTTCACAGTGGCAGAGACAACAGTAATTATAATTTTAATCAGCTTATAAAATACCTAGAAAGTAGAGATTGTATTAAAATCCTAAATACGTAAAGAATTGTACAATGTGTTTTCCACCTTCAATGCTAACTATTAAGTGTGAACTTTATGTTTTGTAAATCTAGAAAGAAGAGCAAATAGAAGAAATAAAGAAACGCCAAGAGTCCGAACGATACCGTAAAGCAGAGTTCAAGTGTGAGTTGTGTTACAAGTGTTTCAGTAATGACAAGCTCTGGCAGATGCATAAGGAAAGACATGATGAGGTAAGTGTTCTATTTCTAAGTAAAAATAGTTTTTGTCACTCTTAAGAAATCCAAAGACTGAAACCTATACGCGATTACATTTGACGGGTTTTTTATCTGTGGACGGTCTTTCGTGACTAGGATGGAATTTTAATATTCCAACCACCTATTCAATATCCAGGTATCCATCAATATGAAACAAAGTCCAACAGAAGTCAACACCCGTTGATTATTAGCCATATAATGCTACCATTACACCAATGAGCTCGTTGAAATACCTATTATTATAATATAGCAATGTATATATGTATTGGGATATCTGTTTATTTTATTTTGACTTTTACCCTGTTCAGTCGTCAGGTGTTGTGTCATGTGAAGTGTGCAGACTGAGGTTTCCTAGTCGACCGGCTTTGAAGAGGCATATGTACTCTGTTCATAGCAAGAAATTCCTATGCAAACAATGTCCCTTCACCGCTGCTACTTTGTGAGTACCACCCCAATTATAGAATTTGTATGTCGTAATTCCATTTAGTTATTAACATTCTTTAAATAGAAACAGATTTTTAAATAAAGTATATAAATAGTCTACCGTTCTTAAGAACGGTTCGTTATAAACTACGAAAACTTATGTGACTATTAAATACTGAAAAAATCGCAAATCGTTTTGCGACCCTTTAACGGTTTGAAACGCTGTATATATTAGTTAAAGTTATTTAAAAATTATTTTAACTGCGGCTCGACGTTTCGGATGCTTTGCAGCAGCCGTGGTCACGGGGAAGATGGAGAGGGTCTCTGATGTCAAAGTGAAAACTGCTACGCTACCGCCATCTGTTCCGTCTTAGTTGGTATTTGGCGAAACCAGCAGGGATAATCGCGTTTTAAACCGTTAAAGTGTTATATTTAAATGTGTACTACTCGCGTAATCTACAGACATTTTTTGGGGATTTTAAGAAACCATTATTAACACAAGCCATGTTTTTAGTAATCGGGCAAAACAGCACATGTTGCAGCATAAGGGAGTCAAATACAAATGTCCGCACTGCGATGAAGTAACAAAGTGAGTATGTCATTAAAGAAGTTTTTTTATTCGCTCCTAGTTATTTTCTGGACAGGATGTTTTTTTTTTATTATACGGTCCCAATTTTATTTAATACATTATCTTAGGGCCAATATTAAAGAAATGCTTTTCCTTAATGTTTGTTTTTATGAATCATTAATTGAAAGTGAAATTTTGATTCTTTCATTTTATTTCAGGGCAAAGCGTTTGTACTAAATTACAATTATTCTTTCTATATTACAGTAACTTAAATGCGATGTTGGGTCATGTCCGTAAAAGGCACGCGTCAGACATATTGTGTCGTTTCTGCGGTCTACCTTTTGTGTCGCGGATGGGACTCATACGACATAAGGCGCTCATGCATAAAGACCGAGATGTAAGTAGACTATATGACTGAGCGCTTTCATATTTTGTTAATTAGTGTAAGTTGCGGCACGGATCTTTAACGTTAAACGAATCCTGCGCAGAAGTCAAAATTAAGGTATCGAAGGGACGGACGATTATACAGATGCGCAACTATCACCTCTACACTTCGTTCAGCGCTAAACATCCGTGCCGCGACCTATACACTACGTGATTATATTAAAAGATACTTCCTACAAACATTAGTGAATAGTTCATCCGGCAGGGTTAATATTACAGTAGGTAGTAATGCATCAATTTCTTCCAAATTTTCCACACAATCATAAAAAAGATTCTTACGAGTTAATCTTATAAGATAGATTATAAGATGCCGCGGATATTTTTACCACATCATTCTTATATACATATTTTTTGAGATCTTGGAATTCCTTAAAAGTTATAATAAATATTCCCGTGTTTTCCATTGTTTTTTGCTCTTATTGGTCGCAGCGGCATCATCAGCTGTTATATAACTTAAAGCCTTCCTCGATAAATGGTGTATCCAACAAAAAATAACTTCAATTCGAACCAGTAGTTCTTGAGAGTTGAGATTAAACAAAGTAACTCTGTAGCTTCAAATTATACGTATAGATTTTATATTTTTTAACTAAGTAGGTAATATTGAATATTTTGTGTATAAATGTTTCAGGAGAAGACAGAGATAGACGACAATGCCGAAGCACCGCACTGTGCAGATTGCGACATGAAGTTCGCGAATAAAGAAGCCTTCAAACGACATCACCTAACGGCGCGGAAACATAAGGAGGCTTCAAAAAATACGTATGTTTCGTATATTATCTAATATTTATTTAATTATAGCGAGAAAAAGATTTGTGTATTAAAATGACTTACTGTTTCTTTATAATTATTATATTTACTATTTAAATATTTGTCAATGTTAGCTAAGATATAATAAGTGAATATATACATACTGTAATAAATGTTGTGACATTTATTACAGTATGGTTTGTGAACCTATATTCAATATATTACAACCCTAAATAATAAGAGTAGTAATAGAATGCTGTCTTTACGCGAGTAGTACACTTTAACGGTTTAAAAAGCTTAATATATTAGTCAAAAACTTATTCAAAAATTATTATAACTACGGCTCGTCTTTTTGGATGCTTTGCAGTGGTAATAGATTAAAATGTGTCTGTAGATATGTTACCTATATCCACATTGGGTCTCTTTTCATTTTCATTACATTTTATTTGTTACTGTCAAACGCTCGATGCGATAGCTACTGAAAATCAGCGCTGCGCATATCGCAATATGCTACAACACAAAATTTAGTGGCTTATCCTTTTCCCAGTCTATGTTATATTATAAATGCATATGCACTTTATTTCTCATTACCTTTTATCTTTAATTGCTGTATTTTTGTACTGGGAATAAATGACTTTATTCTTTATTAAGAACGGATTGCAATGTGTTATCGCTAATAATAAGCGATCTCTTCCTGGCAACCTAAAATTTTGAAAGACAAAATAAATGTTTTTTTATTTAAATTAAACACTTTAACTAATAAATCGCGTTTTAAACCGTTAAAGTGTTTTATTTAAGTGTGGACTACTCGCGTAAACTATGGACAGTATTTAAATGTTTTTTAGTTAAATTACTATTCGTAATTGACTATTCATGTTTTTTTTTTCCTTTCTTAGGATCGGCTGTCGCGAGTGCGGTGAGATTTTCTCCAGTGCGAAGGCTCGACGCGAACACAGCAGTACCATGCATAAACGCACGCACATATCTAAGACTACGCCTGCAGCTTGGCCCGATAAATGTCCCCTGGTATTAATTTATTTGGCTAAATTACTTTGCATAAGTTACTAATCACATAATTTAACTTAAACTTTAACTGTGTTAGCTGTCCCCGTGACTTCGTCCGCGTGGAATTGTTATTTTAACTACAATAGTATTTACTTTTATTAAGAACCTCCTCAGCATTATATACAGCTGTTACCTGCGACGTCGTCCGCGTCCCATCGTTCTTGCAAATCAATCATAAAAGATAGATAGTGTCGTAGATATTTTTTTATTTGATCATTAAAAGAAGAATCATACTTTTTTTTATATATATACTTTTTGGGTACCTCGAACGGTACGTTTAGCAGCTTACACAACACAGCCGCCAAAGATGAATAATTTTCCCCGTTTTCTCCACATTTTCCCTTGTTACTTGCTCCTATTGGTAGAAGCCTAATGTTTGGTAGCCTTCCTCGAAAATGGTTAAGCCAAAACAAAAAAACATCTATTCGGTCGGATTTATAAAAAGTAGTTCCTGATTAGCGCGTTTAAACAAACAAACAACCTGTTTGGCAGCCTTTCAATAATATTATAACACAAATTACTTTTTATTAAAGAATCAGATTTTATTACCTGGAGTATACATTTATTTTTAATTATTACAGTTTGGTGCTGCTGAAATAACTATTTTCTAATATCTTAGTGCTTTTGTTTTGTATTGTACAGTGTTCAGAGGTGATAACGAGCGCTCGATCGTTGTGGGCGCATTTTCGAATGAATCATCCGTACGAGGACTACCCTCGCGAGCGTCCGTTTATTTGCGACGTTTGCGGAGTGCGTATGCGGGTAAGTAAAAAAAAAAAATTACGACATGGCCAAGACTTGAACCGGCATCTACTCGCGTTCACGGCGGGTATTCAAAAGTAAAATAATAAATTTTCAGCACACTGTTTCTATTTATAAAACAGCTTATTTATATAATTTACCTTTATTTAGATATTTTTGAAATGTTTCAGTATAAGAAGGGTCTCGAAGCGCACATGATCACCCACTTGGACGAGAAGCCGTTCAAGTGCAAATACTGCGCGAAGGGGTTCAATAGCGCGGGCAACTGCGCCACGCACGAGAGTTCCGTGCATTCGGAGCTTCGCCCGCACGTCTGCACAGTATGTAACCGCGCTTTCAAGAAAAAGAACACGCTGCGTTGTCACTTTATGGTAAGAGATTTCTTCTTATTGATTAATAAAAAAGAAATTAAATTCTTCAGTCCTTGTTTTTTTTTAGACGCACACAGGTGAGAAGCCTTACCGCTGCGAGATCTGTGGTCATGCGTTCACGCAATCCAACAGCTGCAAGAGTCACATACGAAAGGTGCATGGAGAACAGCCACCGAAAATCGTTTCCAGAAATAATTACTCTCACTGACAACCATCGAAATAATAGGAAATACACACTCACACATATATTGCTTTATGCTGGTACCAACTTCATGGCTCGGTTATATATGCAATGCCTTGAGTTGCGTGAAGACGTCTACTTAACCCAGTAGACACCTTGAGAATCACGGGGCTTCGCGCTTAAAGCAATACGTTAAACATTAAAAACTTGAATGAAATAAATATATATATTTATGAGAAAAGCGTATATATATATAATTGAGTGAATTTATTTTCTCTTACAATTTATTGTAAATACTTATATAAATCAATTTATTAACATTGAAAGTACAATATTGTTACTTTTCTATTCACACTTATCTTTCTTTAAAGACAAGTGTGAAATTAGGAGATTACTTTTAATCTCCTAATTTCGAAATAAGTGTAATAAAGAAAGTTGCTTGTATTAATCTAGTTTAATCTTAATACTCAACTATGTAGGTTTTTAACTTAGCAAATATTTACATATATATTTTGTAACAAAATAATAACATATTATGATACTTTGCGTTTTTCTTTAAATATTATTTTATAATATAATTATATTAGGTATTTTGTTCAAGAACTTATATACAAACATTCGTTTTGTCTGTGTTTTTTAGGCTACGTATTACCATATACATCTCGTATCTGTATTTTAAACTTGACATTGACAAATCGTTAAGGTTTGAACATGACACTGGCAAATATATATCTCTTCATGCCACAAATGGAAAAAAGCTTAAGATTTGACAGATCACTCTTCTGTTTAGTTTTTAGAGGTGAAATCTGTTTGTTGTGAATGTATGGAACCAATTTGGAGTTATTTAATAATGTGAAAATTATATAACCTTTGAAATATTTATAGATTAAACATTTCTAACGTCATCAACATTATAATGTAGTTATAGTGCGAAATATAAGTTGTGATCTTCAAAATGGCAAACCTTAACTATTGCAGAGTTTGTTTACAAATTAATGTTAAACTTTATGTTATGGATTCCAATTCCCTCGAACAATGCTACGAAATATTGACTGGAAATATCGTAAGTATGCCTAGATTAACTCTTTTAGACACTGTATACAGTCTCAACAATGACGTGTTTTTATATAATAAAACTTTTTTCTATGCATTTTACGTTAATAGCGTTCTATTAATTTAATTGACTGAAAATAATTAGTGATCTGAGTAGAGAAACAAAGTCTAACATTTTATAAGCCTATTGCTAGTTTAACTCCCAGTTTCTGTGAAAAAATCATTTCTACTATGTTAAAACTCCAATTAGAAATATTATTTAACGAAATATTGTTTTAGGTGAATAGGCCAGAGTTATCTAAATATGCCTGTTATGAGTGTGCAGCTCTCTTAAAGAAATTTTATATGTTCAGACAGAGAGGTCTAAGAAGCCAGGTCATACAAGAAAATATATTTAAAACATATGGAAAGGTACATTGTAGTCATATTTATTAGTTCTTATTTGTTTCGTTTTACATATTAATAGACTCGCATAGTTACAACTATTGTAATATAAAAAGATAAATTTAGGTTTGCTTAAAGTTCTTTAAAAACTATGTAAGTACCTATATGAAAATCTGATTAACAACTTTCATGATTTTAGGTAACCACAGATGATATAAACCAAATTGACAGAAAATCTTTATTATTAATATCAAATCTAAGTATAAGTGAAATACAGGTGAAATATAGTGATGGGAACTCAACTTATACTGATGATAAAAATGAGACTGATGTGTTAATAGATGAACAAGATTTTGATTGGCCAAGCGATGAGGAGTTATATAAGTTTAAGACTGAAATAGAAGTTCCTATAAAGGAGGAGATAAAGCAGGAGTTGATTACAATTAAAGAGAAAATTAAAAAGAAAAAGAAAGTATGTAGTCTGAACATATAATCCAATTGCTAATGTAATTATGAACACAAAAAGTGTTGTAAGATATAGATGTAAAAAGACACTCTTTTAAAATTGTTCTACAAAGACTATCTCTCCTAATCTATTTTAATCCCCAACTATTTTATAAGCTGTCTGTTTTTTATACTTGTATAATAAATAGTCAGTGTAAAGACAATAATTTCACCTCTGTATCCAAATAGTTAAACATATTGCCTAGCATTGCATTAAGCGCGAGAGAGTCCTGGGTACGAATACCAGGGAAACAAAAAAAATTGTTTTGGTCGGGCAGGGCACAGAAGTCTGATCAACGACTTGCCTGCAAAAGAACGGATAAGTGTAACAAACACAAAAATGTGTTTGCCCCATGCCCCACGAGCGGGAAACGGGATTTTACGAACTGGAGAGTAATTTTATACTGCTAGTCTTTTGTTTAAAAAATTGGTTGTTTTGTGGGTCTTCAATGAAGGTCTGAAATTTCTTTTATAGCCTACAACAACGCCTTTTTTATTGTATACTTCCAACAACAAAATCGACAGAGAAACTATTTATTATGTATAATTAATATTATGATATGTGTTATCAGCTCCCACAAGAAAAAGTTAAAAAGAAAAGAAGCAAGCAAAAAGAGAAAAGGCTAATAAGTGTGAAGAAGAGAAAGCCGGCCGCGGTAGACTGTATTGACAATGAGTGCTTTGTTAAACATTTTGCAACTATTCATTTAACGGTAAGAGAGAGTATTTAATATGTTCCAAATAGTACATTTATAAGATTACGGATGAAAGAACATGGAGAATGGCAATTGTTATACAAATATACTTGATATCTAAGTAAACAAAGGTTTTTCCAGACAGAAGAACAATTCGAAGAGGTGAGAAGGCGGCAAGAATCTAAAAACTATCGGAATTCATTCTACAAATGCGATATCTGCTTTAAAGGCTTCATACACACTAAGGCTTGGGAGACTCATAACAAGCAACATCAAGAGGTTTGTTGATAATATATACTTTTATTGTAAGCTGAAGAGTTTGTTTAAATGCGCTTATCTCAGGAATTACTGCTTCAATTTGAAAATGTTTGGGTTAGACTATTTATCGAGAAGTTTAAGGCTATAAAACATCAGGCTGTGTCGAGGTGATTAAACGGAAGGAGGAAAATTAGTCAAATGAGAATGACGGTATAATGGGCGAAAACTATTAATTTTTGAAGGCTTCCGTTGCGTAAGCTGCGAAGACGGTTCCCCAAAACCAAAAATATATTTAAAAGAATTATTACTCTAAATAATCTAAAAATATGTTCACCACAGTGTATTTATTTTATAATTTCTTGAGGAATGAGTAAAAGGTTTTTGAATGTATTAAGTGAAGGAGCCGTGACAATTTCCTCGGGGAGTTGATTCCAGTCCATCCAAGAATGTCCATTTTATTATATCTTCAAAATAAAGTAGTAAGAACCACGGGACGCGGATAAAGTCGTGGATAACAGAAATAATAGGCAAGGTTATGAGGTTGTTTCCAAAAATAAATGATCCCCAAAATAAGCATTCCACGCGGACGCAGTCGCGAGCTCATCTAGTATCATCATATCTAAAAATAGATAACTTCATTAAAAATATTTATGTAATAATTTGATTTAGGGTAAAGTCCAGTGCGATATCTGTAAGATGCGGTTCCGCACGAAGCACAGTCTACAGGTTCACATCCAGTTTCACAGCACCAAGTACAGGTGTCGAAACTGTCCTTACGTTACACTCGGCAAGTAAGTATCCTTAACTTCATGTTTACATTGCTTCTAACGCCAACCACGACATCCCTTGAACTAAAACGTGATACTCATTGCAGAAACCACGCGAAACTTCATATCTTATGGCACAGAGGGCACACATATATTTGTGATCACTGTGGAGAAAAGTTTAGGTGAGTTTGATAATGATTTATATCTAAAACATACCTTTTTTCTTTCTTGCAAAAACCTTCTCTTTGATGTTAAACAGTCCTATAGTTAAACTGTTTTTATTTAAAAGTACAAATAAAATTTAACATGCCCTGATATAAGAATAAAATTTGGTGATTTCTGTGACCACGGCTGCTGTTTAGCTAATATATACTTGCATAAACTACAGACAAGGATAAAATTATTTGTATTCCGCCTACAGTAATCGCAACGCATACCTTACCCACGTGCGTTTAAAGCACCGTTCAGACTGGGTGTGTGGATTCTGCGCGAGCACCTTCGTTTCCCAACTAGGCCTGATGCAGCACAAAAGTTACCACCATGGAAGTCAAGACGTAAGCCTAATAAATTATCACATAATGGCTCGACGGACTAAATTTTACCTGTTTTCTGTATCAAAATATTAACTTAAATTGTTTAATATCAACAATTGGCGGCTGTTCTTACTATCCTTTACTTTAATAATATTTTAAAATCTCTTATTAATATGGATCACCAAAGAACAAAGAGTTTAATTAACTAAACTCTTCATTATTATCTTATCATTCTTATATATCTATCCCAATGTAATAAAAATTATATATTGTAGGAAAAGAAGGAAATTGACGAAAACCCGGATGCCCCTCACTGCGCTGAGTGCGACATGAAGTTCGCTAACACAGAAGCGTTTAAGAAGCATTTCCTTACTGCTAGGAAACACGAAGAAACTGCGCAGAAAACGTATGTATTATATGATCACATTAAATTAAATTAAAAGCGTCTACAATTTGTCAAACCTTAATGTATATAGATACTAATTAAGGTATCTTTTATTTAAATTAAAAATAAATTTCAGATTGAAAAAGAAAAATACGACGCGTAGGACACGGTAGCTCAATTGGTTAGAGCAACAGCACGGAATGTTGTAGACGTTTTAAGTCCTGCCCATGTCGTAAAGTTTTTAATTCATATACTGCCATCATGTGCATAACATGAGAAAGTATTAAAGCTTTCGAGTGTATTGTATTTTAATACAAAATATATATTATTACATTTTAGGATTGGTTGTCGCGAATGTGGTGAGACCTTCAGTACGAAGGAGGAGCGCCGACAACATGCGCAAGCGCATCAGAGCAGATACGCGCCAGGGTACAAGCCGTGTGCGCCACCTGCCCCTGCTACCTACCCTCGGCTGCGCACAGATGCCCCCTACCACGAAACACCGCCCATGGTTTGGCCTAATAAGTGTCCACTTGTAAGTATATCATACCTTGCTTACTTTTTGCCTTATTTTTTTAACGTGAGGAAGATTTTCACATTTCGAATGCATAAATATTAAATAAGTAACGTCTAATTTGGTTAAGCTGAGCATAGAAATCTGTTCTTTAAATCTCTGTGATACAAACAATCCATTTGCCATTTGATTGAATCTATTCTAATATATTAAAGCTGAAGTGATTGTTTGAACGCGCTAATCTCAAGAAGTATTGCTTCAAATTGTAATTAAAATGTTGTGTTGTCATTTATCGAAGAAAGCTTTTCCGTTGCGTACGCAGCGAAAACGGTTTAAGTTATCCAAAAATATTTATGAAGGAATTCCTCTTTAAATGATCTAAAATGTATTCGTCACAGCATATGTCTATCTTTTAAGATTAACTTGCTAAAATTGCTGTAGTGTTCGGAGATGATAGCGAGCGCACGCAGTCTGTCAGCTCATTTTCGCACCGTACACCCGCACGACGAGTACGTCAAAGAGAAACCACACGTTTGCCACGTCTGTGGATCGAGGCTGCAGGTAATTTTGTGTATTAGACAGGCTTGTTGTGTACTGGTAGCATGTATGACTAGTAAACGACTGACACAATTTAAAAAAAAAAAATCTTAAATATGTTGGACTTCGCCTGGAAATTTGCATATTAAATAAGTTTTAGGAATATGCGGGGAATTGTAGTCATATATATAATACATTGCCAGTTGAGGTTTCAAATTTATCGAAATTTAGATTGTCTTAGATTGTCTGAATGGTCTGAACGATTTCTTTAATGACGAGACCGCCTGGCAGTAATATGAATTGCTCTTTAATTTTAAAGGTTAATAAATTCATGTTAAAAAAAGCCGGACTGAGTTTCTTGGGTGTTCTTCTCAGTTATGTTGCTCTTTTGAACACTCTTTAGAATCACGACAAACAGACTGACAAACATAAAAAAATTGACGAATCTAAATAATTTTTAAAATTTTAAAGAGAATAAAGTATTTTTTTATTTTATCAAAATCTCGTTCGGGTCACGAACCACCGTTCACAAATGAAAAAGACGAGAAATTCGGCGCAGCGCATCTTGTTACATGTTATATTATTAGAGTATTGACTTATTTTTGACCTACCGTAGAGTCCGCCTTCTATCATAAAGAATACATGCTTTTCCCGCACTGCCTTGCATTGATACAAAAGTACTTATCCACCTATAATAATTGTATTGTTTGTATGGCAATTGCCTTAAACAAGGGAACGAATAACCAATATTTTATCCTCAGACTAAATACAGTCTCGAAGCGCACATGCTGAGCCATTTAAAGGACAAGCCGTTCAAGTGCAGTCACTGCGGGCGGGGCTTTAACAGCGCCGGCTGCCGCGCCAGCCACGAGAGCACCGTTCACTCGGAGCTTCGCCCTCACGAATGCTCCCTCTGCCATCGCACCTTTAAAAAGAAGGCCACGCTTAAGGCCCACTTTATGGTAACTCTTAACATACTACATAATAAATTTAAAATCGATTTTTGATTGAAAAAATACTACACGGTCAGGACTTGAACGGGCATCTACAGGATTCTACGGTTAAGGCAACAGGCCTAACCAATTGAGTTACCGTAGGACACATGTCTGTCCTTTATCACAAAAAATATCCCTGTTCCAACTAAAGCCACAAGGCTGTTAATATTGAAATGTATATATTGCAGGGCGCATTGTAACAGACAGATTTTTTTTCAGACGCACACCGGTGAGAAGCCCTACCGTTGCGAGATCTGTGGTCATGCGTTCACACAGTCCAACAGTTGTAAGAGTCACATAAGAAAAGTACACGGAGAATTACCGCCACGAATACTCACTAGAACTAGGCACACCTACTGAAAGTATCCCTAACTTCAAGTAGTTCTGAATAAACCTTAAGAAGTTAATTTATTTACAAAGTAGAAATCAGTAGCAATATTTATGTAAATCAGAAATTAGGTGTTTAACCGATGGTTCTACTGAACAGAGTGGGTTTCTATCTGTAAAAAAGTCTTACAATTTAAATGAAACACTTTTAACGGTTCTAAATAGAATATATAATTAAAAAATATGTTTAATTTATCTGAACAACGACCTTACGTTTCGGATGTTTTTCAACGGTTTTGGGGCAAGGTGACGTTCATGCTTTTTTGTTCTCCTTTATTATAGAAAAGCAGAAGTAAGTCAAGGGAGGTTTTGTAGTTGTTTATCGGTATGCCTTTTTTGGACTATAGTGTTTTTAATATTGAAGCCGTCCTTCCCATTGAATCGTTTTAAATTTTTTAACGTTTTAGTTACTTATTTGAAAATGATGGGGAGCCCGCAGGCCCTCAAACCAAGCGGGCCAAGAAAAATATTTTCAAATAAGTTTAATAATATATCGCGTTTTAAACCGTTAAAGTGTTTTATTTAAATGTTCTACCATAGACACCGTTAAAAGATTTTCATTTAAATTGTATTTACTACTTGGTGTCAATACCAGACTTACTAATATTATAACATAATAATTAATTATTGTAGTTTTGTAAAAGACATAGAATAGTTATATAAATGTATAGATAACAAACCTAGTTTATCCAAAATATTAATCCCATTTGTTAACGAACAAAGGATAGGTATGAGAAGAAAAATCTGATTTTATATTAATATTTAATAATACTGTACAAATACATTCAGATCACGTTTATTTACAATTTACATACATTATTATTTATTACGTTTTACTTAACTGAGTCTTAATGTAAACATGTACATTATACATACATTTAAAGGTTAAAATAATGTTTTAATGTAGATTTATTTCATTTTGAAATATCAAGATGTGGGGGGGGGGGGGGGGGGGGGGGGGGGGGGGGGGCCCCCCCCCCGGGGGGTGTTTTTTTTTTTTTTTTTTTTGTTATTTCACATACAATGACGTAATATGAAGTATGAGAAATAAGATCATAATAGGTATAATTATTGATTTTGTTTAACTAAAACTTTCGTATTTTTCGACTGCCCAATTGCTCCAGTGATTAGTAAACTTAATTACAGAAGCTATGAATTTGGAAATCTAAGAAGTTTCTAGAAACAGCCCGGAGTATGAAAGATTATTGTTAAATGTTTTATCTCTTTTAAGGGCTAGAGGGCATCTTAAGCCGACATAATATCACTAATTTAGTGGCGGTAGTTGTTAAAACACGGCATTGTTTGTTGGGTTCGTAATGGTAGCAATGTATGGCTCATAATCAACGGATTGTGGCTTCGATTCCCATCGGGTCCAAAATGTTTCTTATCAATTTATAACTTTTCTGAGACATGTTGAACTTCGTCGGGAGACCATCTACAGATGAATAAACCGACAAAATTTAATTGCGTTTCCGTTCAGTCTGTAGATTTCTGATGAGATGTTATAAGTATAGCTGGGATGTTTTACCTACAATCAAGTGAACCAAATGTAAAGGAAAATATATCTTTTCGTGTAACGCCATCCAGCAGAACTTTATCTTATATGCTAATTAACAATATTAGGAGGTAAAAGAATTTGATTGTTAGGTTGCGAGAGGGCTTTGTTTTGTTTTTCTCTTCTCGCTCGACTGACGTACGGTGCCGGCTGCTTCAGGTGAACGGTCCTCACGTGCAGTTGACAGCTGTTTGACTGCGTGAACGACTTGCCGCAAACGTCGCACTGGTACGGCTTCTCGCCAGTGTGGACCTGTCAGATATAATCAAGACTTAAAAATCGATGTACGACACGGTAGCTGTCGAACGCTGTGCCGGTTCAAGCCTGGGCCGTAAAACTTTTCTCGAATCTAAAATCGATTTAGAATTTATATAGTGCCTTCATATGTGTAACGCGAAAAATATTAGAGTTTTCAAAAGTCTTAAATCAGTTTAAAAAAAACGACATATAGTATAACGAATTCAGGGGTTTAAAACATTTTTATCTAATAGACGATAATTAATTTGAGAAAGAACGTCTCACCCTATAGTGCCTGTCCAAGACAGTTTTGGATTTGAAGCGCATCCCGCACACAGTGCACACGTGCGGCCGCTGCTCCGAATGCACAGCAGCATGTAGCAGCAAGTTGCGCCGGATGTGGAAGGCTTTGCCGCATTGGCCGCACTTGAAAGCGCGTTCGCCAGAATGCGTCAATTTGTGGTAGGAGAGTAGTGCGTTTTTCTAGAAATAAAAAATGCTATATTATTTACATGCATTGCAGATGATTGCATTATATACATTAAAAATGGATTTTAGATTTTTAAAAAATACATTGGACAAGAGGTGCAAGAGGGCATCTTGACCAAATTCGATGCCGGAAAAATTTTACGACCAGAAGGCCAATCCTCTATTTACAATATAACATTATTTATACCAAAAGATTTTGACGTTGTGGAATAACTAAGACAGCCATGATATCGTTAAAAATAAAACGCCTACAAGTTTATTTAAGATTTGCCTCTTAATTAATTACACGTATTAGGTTATTTGTTTTTAGATACTATGTATTAGGACAGATTATATTATACTGACCGTGAAGGCTTTCCCGCATATTTCGCAAACATGCCCTTTCTCAATTGGATACTCTTTGTCTGGGTGGACTTTCTTGAAGTGCCAGAAGAATGCGCGCGCATTCTGTATCTGTTGTGGACACTGAAACATAAAGACATCATCCCTTTTTAAACATCTAACATTCTCATTGTATTAGTATTTTTCTTGTTCAGGTTGCGGTAATTAAATTCAACCCATCACAATATTTCATCGGAATATCGTTATTATAAGCATCAAGTTTGTTTTTGCAAACCTCCTGTTCAACTAAATTTGCCTCCACGACTACCGGCGTCCTTAAGTTATTCTTAAAATATAGGCATTTACCTACTATCATTCAAAGAGGAATCATTCTTTGGTTTAGATATTTTTTAGGGTTTCCGTTTTCGTAGCGCACGTAACAGAAACTATTAAAGATGTATATGTAATATTTTACCGGGGAATATCCATAATAAATGTGAAAATGTAAACTTACATGAGGACACTGCATTGGGTACGTCCTCGAATCTACACCCTTCTTACTACCTTCATTGCGTGTCCATGGGCGTCGCTCGTGCGAAGTGCGCATGTGTACGCGCAACTCGTCGCTAGTTTTGAACGCAAGACCGCATTGCCGGCAACCGTTCCTAGATATTAAAATGAATTTATATCTGATTGTTATAAACTAAATAATTAAGTCAATAGTGAATAATAAGTATAGTGTATTTTTTCTAACTAGGAACACCAAAGCAAATATGGCCTATTTCAAACCATAGAGAACTAGTAGATATACACTTCCTTTAATGGAGGGAAGTTGTGGTCACAGATGGAACAGGGATAATGAAATATCGATTATATATGGACTATTTTTTTTTTTTCATTTACTGCCTCCTGTCTTCTTTTGTCATTGACTGCTTACCTCCCGTCCCTATGTAAAAGTCAAACTAAAGAAATTTTAATCTGTCCATTTACGTAAATTAATTTTTTTGGATTTTTATTTATTAAGCATGAAAACGTGGTTTTAACGTATAATTTAACGCAATTGTATATTGTGTGTGTTTCTTTGTAATAATGCCATTTTAGAAAAAATATACTATAGTTTAATGTACTAATTTCTATCATTTACGACTTGAAAGGCTTTGTTTTAAATTGCATTGCATTATTGCATGTTTGCATTTTAAAACTATATTCTTCGTCATTGTTGGACTCACTTATTTTCGTTAGTCTCGACGTGTTTCCTCGCAGTAACCATGTGTCTACTGTACGCTTCGTTAGACGCAAATTTTACGTCACAAAGAGCGCAGTATGGTGCTTCGGAGTTCTCCTCTATCTCGCTTTTTTCCTACCGAAATATAAAGACTTATTTTAATCATTCCTGGATCGTTAATGTCAATCTCAAACAGTAAACAGTGCCTCAAGCAGTACAGTAAAGTATGTTCTATATGCCCGACGTGTTAGTTTGTAGTCTACTATCATATAAAATAGAAAATCATAGTCATAGAAAATAATTCATACAATTGTGTGTAACAAAGAAGGAGGCAAATAGTGGAATTAACCTTTTACTCCCACTCACTCCTTTCGATTAATAAACGACGATCGCTTATTCTTCCTTGACATGTTTTTAAAGTTATAAGCAAAATCGACGACAAAATCTTATTTTAACTACACAAAAGCTTACATCTTGATTGCGATGTGTGATTGTCTTATGCTGAAGTAGGCCGAGTTGTGAAATAAACGTGTACCCGCAGAAACCGCAAACCACATCTGACGGGTGTTTCAAACGCACGTGCGTCATATATGACATCCATTGCCTGGAAAAGGTTTCAAGATTAGGAAAATAAGTTTAGTAATATATTCGTAGAAATTTATTAATCAAAAAGTCATTATAAGTCCGACATCACATTGGTAGATCTCGACTCGTTCTGTCTACTAATGCCATTCAAGCACTGGCCCAGGTATTAAAAAAATAATTTATTTAATTATATTTTTTCTTGCTTCGTGGGGTTTGCGATACAAACACGCTGCACAAGAAAATGTGCGTGTGATGCAATTTAGGTTAGAATAAAATACAACAAATCGAACAAAAGTGATCAATGATATTTTTACGAAGTTATGCATAACTAATATATCTGACTATATTTATAAGTGTCATTTTTTTTACTAAAAAAGTAATAATCATTTTAATTAAATCTTTTTTCTTACAATAGTATTTTTATCTTAAGACGTATTTTGAAGATATCTATTTTGTATTTAGTATATCACATACTATACTCTAAAGTATTTTGTATCCGGTATTTGAAATACTTAAGTTATTAAGTCATTAAAGTATCTTACATTTTGTATTCCAGAAACTTTGCACAGGGTATTTTCTACTTCTCAGCTAATCATTTATTTATAGTGATATGAATTCTCGACTTAGCGAGAACGACGCAACACTAGTCCGACGCGATTAACGCGCGCACCCCCTCATTAGCTCGGGAACTGTCAAATACGAACGGCGCATTTTGTCGGCTAAGCCTCATTTTGGATAATAAATGAATATTTTCGAATTTAACGTTGTTTTTCCGTCTTAATAATTTTTATATATTTTTTAAATGATAAAGGAGGGCAAGCATGTCACTTGATGATGGTGATATACCTATAGCATCTAAACAAGATGTCCTGTCTTTTACTTTGGCTTTGGATAATACATTTTGCCGTAAGGGCTTAGTCATAATTGTTTAGATGTAAATAAATACTCACGTAAATACATCATCACAATATTCGCATGCATAAGTCACACCTTTGTGCCACAAAATATGCTGCTTAGCTTGATGTCTGCAAACATGGATTAACATAAGTAGATATACATATAAGGTAATGTTTTTATATTATAGATTTTAGGTTAAATTAAATTGAAAATAAAATAAATTTACGACACGGGCAGGATCCACAGCGTTTCGTTCGTTGCTTTAACCAGAGCAACAGCATGAAACGATGTGGATGCCGGTTCAAGTCCTGTCCGTGTCGTTTTTTTTTTAATTATTTCAGGTTTAATTTCTTAACTATAAAAGTATGCTTAACACTCACACAGCTGATGATATATATGGACACACAGTACAATGGAACTTGGTGCCATGGCGTCTCAAATGTTTTCCGACTGTGTATTTGTTCTTGAAACGCAGTTTGCAAATGTCGCATTCCACTAAACCCTAAAAATCATTATAAAATTAAAACACATATCCAACACTAAAAAGATCAAATTTTGAACATGCTCCAATAATCTAGATAAGACCTAAGTCTTGGTTAGCAAGACCTAAAGAAAAAGATTGATTATAACACGAAAAAATAATTGAGACATGTCCTACTGGAAGCCGGTTCAAGTCAGTCCCGCCCGTGTCGTAAATTTTTTCAATTTAAAAGATTGTTAATTTATATGCTGCCATCATATGAAAAATATTAAAATTTTCAAGACCTTAAGTGTTTATACATGCACAAAGTGAAGGCATACCTCAACATGGTTCTTTGTATGGTTTTGCCAGGTCCGAGAGTCCAGGAAACCTTTGAAACAAATCTCGCACCTGAATGTGGCGTTCTGATAATTTTTCGACTCGCGACGCTTGCGTACTTCCTCCTGTTGTTCAGTCATCTGTAAACCCATATACTATAACTATCTATGCACGCGACTTTGTCTGCTATGAATTACTGCAAACACCTTCGTCAGCTTTTAAATTATAGCTGTTACCTACGACGTTCTTGAAGGTTAATGTTAAAAGAGGACGTACTACCTACTATCGCCGACATTTTTTTAGATTTTGGTTGCTTGGACCGTTTTCGTGGCGCACGAATCGGGAACCCACAAAGATGAATAATTAATATTATTTATTTCTGATTAATATCTTTCTCCTTTTTACTATATTTCCCTCTCTTTTTGCTCCTTTTGGTCGCAGCCTAATGTTTTATAGCTAATCTAATTAAAACAATAAGAATTTTTCAAATCAAACCAATATTTTAATTTCTGAGCTTAGCATATTATTAATTTAAGGTTTTGTGAGGATTTCTATATAATCGGCTCCATATGGCCTAAAGAAAAGTCTCACCGTTAAGTTGACAACATTAACATATTTATCGAAGTCCTCCTGCGACACTGCATCCAACGGCAAATTCGTGTTTCGTCTGAGGGCACGAACCGGTCTTCCTCGTCTCTTCTTGGGCGCATCTAGCTTTTTACTCTTTCGTGATTTCTTCCATTTTGAAAGTGGTAACTAAAATTTGTTACTAGATTAGACATACACACACTTATAAAACAGTATCTTGTAAGACCTTTTCATGAACATAGAAGTGTATTATATTTTTAGATCAATTTCAACTAGTATCAAGTATACTTGTTACTCTATACCAGGGATGCACAGACTTATTAAGACTAGTTACTACTCGCTAGGCTAGGCTACTCGGGTAAATCTTGAACTGACGGCGGGCTGCCAGAAATATAGGTAATTAAATACAATAAAGAATTGATAATAATGTATTAAAATTGAAAAAGCATTTATTAATTTGAGTAGTATTTTTGCTGTTGGTGGGCCATTAATATTCGATCTGCGGGCCACAGTCTGTGCATCTCTTCTCTATATATTATGTAACAAACAACATACATTATCATCCTCGTCTTTCACTTCCTTCTTAATGCTAATGGATACAGCCATTTCCTTCTTAATTTTCTCTTTATGATTCTCCTCATCACTTGGCCAGTCAAAGTCCTGGTTATCATTAAAATCATCATCTATTTGCTCATTGATGTCCACTCTACAATTTTCAAGTTTCAACTGAACATCTTCATCTATTGTGGAATCACAAGTGATATTAATGTATGTGGCCGAATGTTTAGCTAAATTTGAAATGAGGTGCAAGCTTTTCCTATCCACCTGCCTAATATGTTTTTCTGTTATCTGCAAATCAAGACAAGTATAATAACAAATTATGCAGTGCGTACCCATCTAGTACATTATGTCAATTTTAGGTACCACATTTATTAACAAGCGAGTGGTTAATCAGGCGATCTGTAGTCTCCCCATGATTCAACATTTGTTTTGCCTAATCTGTACAGTTAAAACTATGAAAATCTCTTTAGTTTGTTTAAATTACAGACCAAGATTAAATACCATTATAATACCAATTAAATACCTTTCTATTATTTTGTAGGATCCCATGTAACACAGTCTGACCACGGAGACTCTTCTGTCTAAACAAATAGAACCTCATCAAAAGTGCTGCACATTCATAACACAGATATTTTGGTAGACCAATTCTTTTGCCCTGTAATGGTAGATATTTTTAAAATCAATTAAAAAGAACACTAAAGCTCTATCTTATCTCAGCTCTCAACTATACAATTAAAAATTAAATGACCTATTCTAGTAAGAAAAATATTGGTAAATATAACTTACATCTGATCCTGTCAATAGTTCATAATAGTGTTCTGTTTTCAGTGGCATCTCACAAAGCTTTGCATCCATATCTAAGCACACTCTACATGCTTTTATAGAAGCCATAATGACTAATATATTTCAATCTGTATAAGAGTCGATCATACTGCTCTCTATAACTCAACCATATTTAGCAAATAACATAGATAAGTTTGAAGCAATGTTTATGAAACAATTGCTTTTAAGTGCCCCATACATCGTTAATCAACGATTCTTAGTATTTAGGAGTTCTGTACTAATCTACCGTTCAAGAATCTGAAGACATTTTCACATTGCAGTATATTCAAAATTATGTCTTTATTATTATTGTAACTTTAACATGGCTTCACAATTTATTGTTATCTTTCACCCACTCTGGCTGGTGAAAGTGACAAAAGCACTGAAATTGACAGAACAGACATTTTGAGTTGCATAAGTACAATCTGTATCAAGTAAATCGACGGATTGATTTTCTGTGGTACATACCTAAATGTCCAATATTTACATGTTGATTATATTATTTGGTATCTTTTTGAATAATATATTAGAAATAGGAAAGTCGTAAAAATTTCCTGAATATTAGCCTCTTACATGAGGTTTGCTTGTATTATAGCGATTTTAATTGAATGAAATGTAGTTTAATAAATTGATCTATAAAATTTTACTGAGCTTGTATCCTAATTTGCACGACGAAAAAATGGAAAATATTAAAGCTTGTAGAGTTTGTCTAAAAATGGATGTAAAGCTTAGTATTTTAAAGGCAAACTCGTTGGGCCATTATTATGAAGTTTTAACAGGAAAAAACGTAAGTTATACACACGAAATCAAAGATCTGACTGAAATTGAATATACAAAATTATAATGCGAGAATATGTGCAATTATTGACTGAAGTACTTTATTTACAGATAGAGTCAGGTATATTGAAGTACGCTTGCTTCGAGTGTGCAGCCTTGTTAAGAAAATTTTATTATTTTCGTCAAAAAAGTCTTCGCAGCCAAAGTGTTCTTGAAACCATTCTCAAAGCTTGTGGAAAGGTAATAGAACTCTCTGCTTGGATTTATAGTATATAAAACATGTCAATGGGATTTGTTATTTTAAATGCCTTGCTTTGATTTTTCACAATTCTTCTTCTATTTTTCAGATAACTGACAAACATATTAGAAAAGTTGATAGGGAAAGTTTATGTTTAACTTCCTATTTAAGTCAAAGTGATGTAAACTCTAGGATAAAAGTTGACTATGACACTAACATTTATGAAACTAAGTTAGGCTTTGAAAACAACTCAAATGATGCAATTGACTTTGACTGGCCTAGCGATGATGATTCTAAGATTAAGACTGAAAAGATTGTCATAGACATTCCGATTAAGAAAGAAATTGAAGTGAAATCAGAACGAAAGCGGAAGGTATGTCAGAAATTGATTATAATATATATATGACGGCATTACATTATAAAATATATTCTTATTATTCGAAGTTAAATTGTTTTTGCTGGTTTGCAAAATATTAAAATTACATTGTGACAGACTTTGTAAGAGAAAGAATTCTGCTTGCTGCTAAAAATCAAGAGCTCAGTTGTATATACAACACAAAAAATGCATAAGAATGTATATATGTATGATACTTATAAACATTTGCAAATCTCAATTAATGCTAAATTCCAGCTTAAACAGCCCAAGCCACAAAGGTGGATAAGAAAGAAAAAAGATCCACAGGGATTAGGCGGAGTCAAAAAGAGAAATCGACCCAAAGCTTTACCAGCTACAGTGACTAATACAGTTGATGATAAGGAATTGTTTAAACATGTTGCTGTTGTTAATTTAACAGTAAGTTATGATTAGGGAACATGTACACTGCAGTTGAATGGGAAAACTTTGTTGGTGATTGGTGAAACACGTATTGACATCAGTTTTAATTTAATGTAATAAGTGAAACCCATATTTATGATATTTATATAATATTACTAATAAGTATTAATATTTATTTCTAATATAATTAATTTCTGAATCATTATTAATGGACTCAGGGAAGCGTGCCAATTGTTCAAAGCAGCAGTATAACATGCTATAGACGCTGGTTCAAATCCATGCCTTATTTTTTAATATATTAGTGTTCAAAGATTTAAAAATGGTACAGGTTGAAGAGCAGTTTGAAGAAGTGCAAAGACGGAAAGAATCCAGTAATTACCAGAACTCCTTCTACAAATGCGAGATTTGTTATAAGGGATTTGTTGACGTTAGAGCTTGGGAGAATCATAATAAACAGCACAGTGAGGTATTTTATCACAATTGGATGGACTTTTATTGCTATTTGTTGTCAAATCTAATAAATAATTTATTACAAAAAGCATTATAAATTAGTCTCTAATTGGTAACAACTTGACAGCCTATGTAGCTAAATGGTAAAACGGGTTGCCTAACAGTGAGTTTAGCGCGAGAGGTCCTTGGTTCGAATCCCAGGGATAATAATAGAATATTTCGGTTGGGCAGGACACAGAAGTCTAATCGACTACTTGCCTGTAAATAAAACTGATCAGTGCACTTAGATATGTGTTCGCCCATTCTCCACGAGACTTGTTGTCGTTGAGTTCGTAAATTGTATTTTAGACTCTAAAAGCTATCAGTTAAGTTTGCTTTTTGTTTGTGGTACAAAACAGGGCGTGGTGGAGTGCGACATCTGCAAGCTACGGTTCCGTTCGAAGCACATCCTGAGCAAACATGTTAAATACCACAGCACTAAGTATCACTGCCTGCAGTGTCCCTATGTTTCACGTGGCTCGTAAGTACTAGATTTTTTACGACGCTACTACAATTAGGGGTCTGGGTGTATTATACTATGGCACCTAAATTCCTACAATAAACCATATCTAACGGTTACCTTGCGGAAATAATAAGAAATAAAAATACCTAGATGGTGTTCTATTAACATTGACTAAAGATCTACTATTTTTAATACTGTATACGAGGTCCATCGTTATATTTTATTGTAACACTGTTATATATATATTCACAGATACAATATTGTATGTATTTCCAGATCCCAGGCGAAATTGCATATACTTTGGCACAGAGGGGTCACGTACGACTGTGAACATTGCGGCGAAAAGTTTCGGTAAATATGACGTGAAAACTGACGAGATTTATTCATTTATTTGATTGTTATTTGAAATTTAAACATAAATCAATTTTACAAACTATGGAGGGCAACAAGCGGTTCTAGCGCTATAAGAGATCTTATCAAGCTACTCGGATCTCATAGCATACTTACAAAAGTAGATAGTCTGATAAAAATAAATTACAGTAGTACAGTTTTACAATTTTAACTTTTTATATTTTTCAGACAGCGCATGTCGTTTATAACGCACCTAAGAATGAAGCACGCTTCAGATTGGGTTTGCGGCGTGTGTGGCAATACTTTTGTGTCCCAGCTCGGCCTCCTTCAACACAAAAGCCAGAGGCATGTTGATCTCGATGTTAGTGTCTTTAAGTATGAAAATATATACATCTATATATTGTCCGGCTCGAAAGACCATTTTAAAAATATTATACCTGTCTCAAATTCTTTGTTACTTGTTTTTTTGTAGAAGACTGATTTAGAAGATAATCCAGAAGCTCCTTTCTGCGACATGTGTAACGTTAAGTTTGCGTCACCCGAGGCTTTTAAGCGACACTTGGTAACGGCGAGAAAGCATATATCGATGTCTGAAAACAAGTAAGTTTTTCTGGCTGGAAGGACCAAGTAGTAGAATTAAAAAATCTATCGGTTTTTGTATCAATATTTTCTAGATTACAATTTTTAAAATGTCTAATCCATTTTCATATCTTACTTTAATTTAAAATATTATGTTTGCAAGGTAAAATTTTCATCTTAAGACAAATACAGAAATTGATGTATCTTCACATTCAGCGTTTGAATGTCATTGTTATAAGCGAAGTATTATTAATATTCTAGGTACGGTTGTCGTGAGTGTGGCGAATCATACAAGACTGCGCGAGAGTTGCGCGCGCACACGAAATCTCGGCGCGAGTGTCTGCGAAAGCCCAACTATTCCACATCGCCTGTCACCAAAAACGGTGACCCCAAGTCCTGGCCAATGAATTGTCCTCACGTAGGTGTGACTCATCTGTTTTCATGTTTTCTTTCTGCCTAACGACATAACCGTGGAGCTCAAATAGTTTTCGTTTGTAACACTTTGGTTCTCAACTTCTGGTTTTCTTTGCGATGCATCGTGGCTTATAGTTAGTTTCTTAAAGTAGGGCGTTTAATTATACGTTTTAATGCACGGATCTTTTAATTTGATTTAAATTACTAGGAACGGGTGGTTGTTTGAATAATAAGAATATTTTTTCATAGTGTGGGAAAGAGATAGCGAACGCCCACTCGTATTGGTGGCACTTCAAGTCTTCGCATCCGGACAAGGAGTACTACGCGGGTACGGACTCTATATGTGACGTATGCGGTAAGGGCTTTCCGGTGAGTATTTTCAAATAAGGACATTTTTTAGAGGTAAAACGCGTTGAAATGTAAACTGTTATTAATGGAATTATTAAAGAGATAGAACTTGCTTTACACATCCGCTTTTAAGCGCTATATATGTATTTTTTAGCTTCATCTAGACAGGACGAACTATTTATGTTGAACTTAAACTATTCTGGAAGGATGTGTTGGCGGATTGGTTTTTAATAAAAAATAAAATAAATTTTCCATTATTTTTATTACAAATCTACTGACTTTCCTTTTATTCCTGTTGCACTTATATATAATATGTAAAAGATTCTTCCCAAACACTTAACTTGAGTGTCTATTGTTAAAGACGTTTTGATAGTGCCGTAATAACATTTGATATGGAATTTGTACAATTGTATAACTGATATATTGTGTTTATTTAGTAATGCTAGAATTTGAACGCAATTTCTGGTGTTCGTAGAAACGAATGCTCGGCGCTCACATGGCGAATCACTCAAAACGCTACGCGAACGACAACGAGAGCGAGGAGAAATGCGAGATTTGCGGTAAAACGTTCTCGAAGCGGTCTTCTCTGTACTCCCATCGGAGGACGCACTCTGAGGCGAGGCCGCATGTCTGCACCGTTTGCGGAATGGGATTTAAGGCCAAGAGTGTCTTACTACGGCACGGACTGGTACAGGCCTGAAATTCTTTTGAAAATCGATTTTATATTGAAAATGTTGACAGCAAGGGCAGGATTTATAGCGGGATCCATAACGTACCGTGCTGTTGCTCTATCCAATTGAGCTACCGAGTACTACACGTCATTGTCGTTTTTCAACCTATTGATATATGCACCTCCCGCGCAATGTTAGTCACTACTAGTACTTAAATACTTTTTTAGGTCGGTCTAAGCTAAGTGAACCTAGCGGGAGTCGAACACAATTCGTGTAGTGTACGAAGGCGATGCGAGCTTTTCGTTCTTGCTCGGATTCATTCCGCCTGTTGTCGGTTTTTGACGAACACAAAGGGATTCGCGTCTCTAGAGACACCCTCTATCTTTAGACTACCTTGACTACGGCTGCTGCAAAGCATCCGAAACGTCGGGCCGTAGTTAAAACGTATACATTTTGCGTCTTAAACCGTTAAAGTGCTTTATTAAAATAGGAGTCTGTTTTAATAAATAAAATTATCTTCGACTTCCGCTTGCCTTTCACCAGGCTGAATTCAGGGACTGTGATACTTGGACAGTTAAATATTTGACAAAAGACGTATATCCTTTCCAATAACTATATAAAAAAATATGTTTTGGAGGCTACCCAAACAAATGTTGCCACTAAAAATAATGCTAAATGTTATTTTATGGTTGCCAGGTCCATACGGGTGAAAAGCCCTACACTTGCGAGATCTGCGGCAAGTCCTTCAGCCAGTCGAACACTTGCCAACAGCACGTGCGCACAGTGCACCACAAGCTGCCCCCTCTCTACATCAGCCGGTCCAAGCGAGAGCGGATGATGCGGAGACAGTGCAACGAATAAGTATGGAGGCTGTCCAGGCTCAAACGTAATGCATGAATACTCATTATTGATACATTAAATTATTGTAAATAACCTAATAATAAAATTATATAGTAAATTGTGAATGGCTTGTTCCATCTATCCCCTATCGTAAAGTATTTTTACATGAAACACCTTAACAAAACGCGTAATATATTAGTTAAAAATAATTTGTAAACAAGTTTAGCTAATATATTTCGCGTTTTAAACCGTTAAAATTTTATTTAAATATGTTCTACTTGCGTATCCTACAGATACAGATAGTACTATACCGGTATAATGCTTATTCTGAAGGGTATAAATTTATTAACAAGACAAAATATAAAATATACTTTATTAGGTCTTACATAAGTAAAACTATTATCTTTATAAAATATTTTTACAGTCTTTCTTTGTATTATAGACGCAGCGAAGAATTTGCACACAATTATAAAAGCCAAGATTCTATGTCTATCACGCTATAAATAAAGCAATCATATGTAATGAAAAGGGCACCACAGACACACAAACAACACATACATACCAAACTATATATTAGCAGCTATTCCCGGGATTTTTAATACTTTAAACAGCCTTAGTTAATTCATTTAACAAATAAACTGTTATAGGCGACCCTTGGATTACATAGATATAAACTGTTAATGATTTCATTGTATAACTCAAAAAGAATGTTCTTACACGATTTTTCTCCGTCTCCCATTATCAGTGTATGTGTTTCCATCGAATATAATACAATTTATGTTTTTATTTCTTTTCAAGTCCTTGTCAACGCTGTAACGAGATCTTAAGTTAATATAACCTTCGACCGTACTAAGGGCTAAATATAAACGAGATTCTAAAGTTCTCTTGTACACTGGTGTCCCAGCAGTGGGAATATAATTAGACCACAGGTCTCTCAGTAACTTTGTTCCGTTTCTCAAGCCTAGAACGGCTGATATATGGCGAAGGCTCTTTAAGGTGAACGGTGCGAACGTGGACTTTGCAACTGTTCGACTGGCTGAAGGCTTTGCCGCACACCTCGCACTTGTAGGGTTTCACTCCAGTGTGACCCTGAAAGATTATAATAATAATGTACAATTAATAGTGACATTAATAGCACATTTCCGTCTAATGACTAAATAAAGTCTAATACTTATACTATCTAACAATAAGTAACATTCTTATTTAAAACATATTACTACTGTAGTGTATGAGTAGTACACATGTAAATAAAACACTTTATATAATAATATAATAATAATTCTTTAATCAGTATAAACCAATCTTACAAATATGTCATATAAAAAATAGAAAATATAATAATACTAATTAGTTAATATTACTGTTTATTTGCGGTTGCTGTCAGCGTGACTTTTGCCCAGTTCCTTAAAATGGGATTGCTTAGGTACTCGGAGAAAGTTTGCACTATGAGATTCGGTGATGTGTTAACGCGACTCCAAAATGATGCGACCCTCGATCTTACGATCCTAAAAGTCCATACCCTTCCTCGCGAACATGCCGGACGCACTCAAAACCTCAACCCCATTAAATACAAATCATTATACTAATCTTAACGCATTTAGGACCTCCAGTAAAATTACACCAAAGTTGACATTGTAAAAACTCTATACCTTTAAATAAAAGTGTTTTCACCTCGTTATCACACCTGGCAAAACCCCAGCATGTTACATCTTACGGCAATATCTCTTTCACTTCAATTCAGATCCTCAGATGCCGCTCCTTAATACTCCCAATCCTAACTTATCAACCATTTTTATGCCTCCCCTTTAAATATACCTTGGGCACATGGTCACCTCTTCCAGCCCTAAACACCATTACTTCTGTCTTTGCCGTATTATATTTTAGGCCATTACAGTCATATTTTTCACAGATGTAAAGCATTCGCCTTAACCCTTAATCGAAGGGCTGAGAAGCACCATGTCGTCACATAGCTTAGGTTATTGACACACAGATTGCCAATATGGCACCCGACATGAGTGCTTCTCACTCAGCGATCAAATCGTTGACGTAGATGCTGAAGAGGTCGAGAGGTCACCCCCTTGGCGTACTCCCAATCCAGTCTATATTCACTGGATAGAGTCACCCCATAACACAATTGGTTGGTTCTCTCGAACTCAAAGACCGACCGTTTCATCACTTATCCTAATACTTTTCCCATACAATTATATTTACGAGGTCAAAACCCATAATCAAAACCCTTACTGAGGTTTACACTTTTGTAAAGTAACCGTACTTTTAAACTAAAAACGGCTGAATCTTAACCCCAACTCTAATTTAGTCTATTAGACTTCAAACCTTTCCCAAAATACAAGAGATATTTATGCCTATATAGTCAATTCCTTCTTATTTTTGGGTACTGCTAGTCTTCATAGGTTTTTGGGTAATATTCCATACTAAAAAAATTAATATACTTAATTTCAAAAGATTTCCTTCCCCCAAACAATATGTGCTCAAGGTAAGCCTCAAAGAGATCCCACATTTGTTTTATATTAGGCTTAGTTCCGGAGATATTAGAGATCATCATCTCCTACCAAATTTCTATTTTATACGGTGAGGGTATAGGTAAAGCGAACGAAAGTACTCCAAAGGTGTTCGCGATCAATAGGGGTTTCTTCATTATTTATATTTGTAGTTTAACACCATTAATTTTTTTATCGAATTCAAAATTAAAAAATTTTTTTTCTTTATACAAATTCATTTTGATTTCTTTTTATTTTGACACCATTTTAACTTATTTTTGAAAGTCCTTTGCTCGATTTCATATTATCATACCATTTACCCTGTACTGGCTTTCCTGCAAGCACCCACTTTGCAAAATTATTTCGTGCTTTCTGTAATATTTTTGATAGTGGTTCCAACCCAAAATAGCTTTTTCTCCCGAAGCTACCCACTTCATTCTTCTTTATTTTAACAATTCATATAAAACTTATCTATCAAATATAAATGATTCCATATTCGATTGTCACCTGATACAGCGATATTATTTCAAGTTAGTAATTAGATCACATAACACTTACATTCAATCTCTCTTTAGGGTTCCCCACGTCACTTATTAATTCACTAGCATTGTTATTAACTAAACAGTCCTTATTACTATAAAATATCACAACTCTAGCGGCTATGATCCGACCAATACACCCCATACACTGCCAGAGAACAGAGCACGCCGCCGACAAACCAATACAGCTGATCGGGTTCTAACTATTAATACTCCTATCCACCTAATAAGTCCTACATCATCAGCATCAGAAATTTGTCAATTCCCGCCCGAAAGCTGTCGGGTCACATTAAATCCCACTTACGCTTCGGTATGCACTCGTCAATAATAGCCTAATCTCGCAAGACATGTCGTAAAACATCAGATTCTCTTCCTTATTCTTTTAGACGTCATGACAAGAAATTGTTTTCCCGCCAATTAATGCGAACCCTAGTCGCGTGGAGCATCATATTTTCACATCTTTAAAAATACCTCCTCCACAAAACCACCCATGCACCAACACCCAAAGCCGGAACCCCAACAGCAAAATATCACTTATACTACTTACAAAATCTAGGTCATGTGGGAGGAGCCAAGTCTCCTCAATGAATAATATCAGCAATGGTCTAAAACGCGAAATATACGGGCCGACGATTCGGATACTTTACAGCAGCCGTGGTCATGGGGAGATTAAAGATGGAGGTTGTTTCTAATGTCGCCTAATACCAACTACGACGGAACAGATGGCGTTAGCCTAGCAGTTTTTACTTTTACATTAGAGATTCCCTCAATATTGTCTTCCCATGGCCACGATTGCTGCAAAGCATCCGAAACGTCGCGCCGAAATTAAAATAATTTTCATTTTTTTTAACACGTTTTAAAAAATAGGAAATATTGCCTTTTTTTATTGATTACCTCACTAAGAATAAAAGGCCTTATATCATAAATGTCAGAATGGTTACTTTATATTATTATTGCGAGCACAGCTTGACAGACTTTAATAGTTTTCTGTAGCCAACGCCCTAAATCTACGCCCGTATAGAAAAAAAATAGGATTATTGAAAAATCAATAATATTGTTAAAAATGTTCACCCGAAAATGTCTGTCCAGCGCTCCCTTGCACTTAAAACCCTTTCCGCAAACGCTGCAGACGTAGGGTCGTTCCTCAGAATGAGTCTTCTTGTGCATCTGCAGGTTTCCATTGTTGAAGAACGCTTTCCCACATTCGCACTTGAAACACCTTTGCTCCAAATGCGTCAACTTGTGGTAGTTTAGGAACGCGTTACTCTGCCAAAGTACAACTTTAAGTTAGACATAAGTAAATCTCTATACTACTTTAATTCTTTATGCTAAGGGATCAAAATAGCTAATGATTTGCACATTCCACATACAAACGAGGGATTTGACAGGCTCGTTGTTTAATGGTGACAATTAATGGCTAATAATCAACGCGCCATGGGTTCGATCGCCACCTAGTATCATATTACTAATCTATACTAATATTATAAATGCGAAAGTAACTCTGTCCGGCTTTAACTCTGAAACTACTGAACTGATTTAAATGAATTTGGTACACAGATATTTGAGAGCGTAAGAAAGGACATAGGTTACTTTTTAATGCGAAAAAGGGTTAATAGGGGATGAAATTTAGTACGGAAATTAGTGGTTCTTGAAGCTAGAACAATTAAACTTCCTTATTTGGCTTTTTGGGAATAGGAGTGGGAGTCGGAGTCAGAGTTGCAGTGAGTATAGGAATGAGAGTGGGAGTTAGAGTAGGAGTGATGTAAGGTGAGAGTGTTGCGACAAAGTAGCACTTACAACATAGATTAAATGCCCTTACTAAAATTAATAAACAGCCTAAATAATAAAAAAATCTACCCCAAGTCACTATGAAACGCGGACGAAGTCGCGGGTACAGCTAGTAGTAGTCAAGACGTCTGGATATTAAAAGGGCGGAGGAAATATTGCAATTCTGTTTCAGGTCAAAAACCACGGTTCTAATATGAAGAAATTATGTGAAATTTGCCCGCTTTAAACAAAATTAGTGAACTAACAATAACTAAAAATTATTTATGTATGATTTCTTCATTTTGTCTTATTATATTTCAGAATTGTAATTTACAATGAGTGTTCTCAAATAGAAGAATGGCTTTGGTCTTAAGCTCATATATATCGAAGTAAATAACTTACCCTATAGGATTTCCCACAAATATCGCACATGTGCTTCTTCTCAACGGGATACTCTTTATCGGGGTGATATCGCCTGAAATGCGCCCAGTACGTTCGCGCGTCGGGTATTTCTTCGGAACACTGTAAGTATTATTAGCATTATACTTCTTTATATATAAAATATTATTTATGAAAGAGGAGGACAAACAAAAATGAGGTTCAGTAGAGGTAGGAGAAATACGCCAGCCATATAACAACTGAAAATGACGCATGTCAATATTTGCCTTTGAATATTCGTAACCAAAATATCCACAGGCAAAATAGTATTTTTTTAATTTCACTGATCACCTATCCCGAGGGAGTATTTTTATTGTACGTGCTGTCAACTACAAGGACATACCAAGCATTGTCTTTCTTTTACGCGATAAAACATCACGGTTTAAAACGCAACATATCTTATATTTTTGATACTAAACTCTGTTATCGTTTAAAGTATTTTATTAAATCTATATGAAATTGGTCAAGCCATGTAAATGTAGTGAGAAAAATCATCGCAAAGTTTCGCTTATTAGTAAGATTAATATAAGTGAGTCAAGACGTGTCATACTCACGTGCATACATGCAATTGGCCAAGTGCGATTGTCCTTCTTCTTGAGCAAGTGCGGCCATTTCTTCTTCTTGTGCATTAGTCGCGTGTGCGAACGCATCTCTTCCGCTGTCGAGAAAGCTTCGCCGCAGTCGAGGCAACCGATTCTATAGCCATTTTGATTAAAATGTAAAAAAGTTGTAGGTTGGTTCCTACCCCCCCAACTAAAAAAAAGGAGTTGACACATTCTTGTCAAAACCATATCTACATGTTTATATAGGTACCGAGATATTATGATTGACGATTGAACTGAATAAAAATCTTTTTTCCTTTTTTATAAGGTCAGACATACTGGGGGCATATTTAATGTATAACTTTATTGTGTTTGTGTGTGCGTACGTGTGTGAGTTCAACTTTTTTCTTACTTGTTATCCGTAGTTTGCTTATGTTTGATCGAAGTAAGTGTATGCCTATTGTACGCCTCGCTGGAAGCGAACTTAATTTCGCACAAAGAGCAAAACGGTTCCTTCTCGCTGTTATCTGTTCCGACTGGTTCCTGAAACGGTGTAAAAACAAATAAATCATGCATTTTAACATATTGAAAAAAACGATAGTGGATTATGAAATTTTTTCTCGCTCGAGTTATGTCTTTAGAACTGGTAATAAATATTTACTTAGTACTTCTTATTTTTAAAACAGCTTAGTGGTATCGACGATTTGCACAAAATCAAAATAATTTCCAAAGTCTCCATAGAATAAGTTAAATAAAACACTTTCAGTTGAGTTCGCGTTTTAAACCGCTTACTAGTTTTATTTTTCAGTCAGAGTGTAATTAAATGCTAAAATTTATATTTAATAGATTATATACATAATCTGTTGCAAAAATACCGTGTCATCCTTATGCTTCAACGATTTGTGTTGGCTTAATCCCACTTCCGATACAAAGGAAAAGCCGCAGAGTGCGCACACGTAGTCCGATCGATGCTTTATGCGCACGTGACTTAGATATGAGGTCCACTTTCTACGGACACGAGACGGGTGTTACATTCAAATAGAAAACTTAAAAATTAAAATTTATTTGATTAAATATGATGTTCTCTATGATTTAGTATTTAAATTTCCTGAAATATCAAAAAACACGAGGTAATTTAGTCAGCATAATCTTAAATTGTTAAAAGATGTTTCATATTTTGTTTTAAAAGTTAACATTGAAAAAGGGGTTCAACAATACAGGATGATAGAAACATACTCACGATATCATCTCGTCGCAGTATGGACATTTATACATGATGCCTTGATGCCAGAGAACGTGGTTTCTCGCTTGTGATCTGAAATATGTAAAGACATATATATACATAATAGCCTTAAGTGTGGTCCTTCGAGCCGGATATAAAAGAAAAATTAATAACATTAGTTTTGTTGGTTTACAACATGGATCAAATACCTTTTCAGTCATAATTTTTACGAGTTTTTCAATAAATTTTAGTAATATAACTTTTATTTTTAAATTTTACTGCACATAGACTTACTTGTGTCTCGACACGTAAGGACAGGCGTTGCACAAGTACTTATCAGTGTGTCCAGTCAAATGTTTGTTCAGTGTTTGTTGACTTTTAAAGCGTAATTTGCAAATGACACATTCAACGCTACCTGCAGACTAAGAACAATATTTTAAAAACCTTTGCCATGCCAACCGATTTTCCAAGTCAATTCAGTTTGATATGTATAGCCGATATCATCATGTAAATAAAAAAAACATCTTTGCATGTAAAAAATATAAATTGAAAAGTTTCTTTACAGATCTAAACAACCTGTAAAAAAAAATTTTTTTTTCTTTTTTTTTGTTTGCTAAATGAAAAATTAGGTTACCTTATCGTGTTTCTTCATATGGTGTTGCCAAGCCTCTTCATAAAGGAATCCTTTGTAGCACAGATCGCATTTGAAAACAGAATTTTTATAATTGTCAGATTCTTTACGCTTTTCAACCTCTTCTATTTGCTCTTCCAACTAAAACAATGGTAGTGGTATAGTAGAAGTTAATGGAAAACCATCCAACTGATAGAAATAAAGAAGTTTTATGGGTTTCAAAGACAAAAAGGACATATCCGACATAACAAATTATAACAACCATTTGTAAAATATTGGGTATATTTTGGACACCTTCAATAGATTATTCTTCTATCTTTCTACTTTTAAAGCCTAGCCATTTCAATCAATAAACTTGTTAACATAATGGCATAAGAGCAGATAAGGAACATACTGTTAGGTTGACATAGGTGACAAAATTCTTGATGTCAACTATATCAACAGAATCTTTAGGGTAATTCATGACAGTTCTGAGTGTCCCTCTCCGCTGTACCCTCTCAACTTTTTGCAATTTCACTTTTTGCTTCCTCCTCTTCAACTTGCGTTTTTTAGTCTCTGCATCAGCCTGTGAAAAAATAAGGGTTATAGATATTTACCAGATACTTCAAAGTAACTGTGTAAAACATATATATTGCCAAGCAATATATATGTTTGACTGTAGCATCAATAGACAGTTATTTAGTTCTTTAATATATTTCATAAAATTTTCACTATGTGATGCAAATAATATTAATACCTCAACATCCTCTTTTATTGGCAATGCTGTAATATCTGATTTAGGGTCATTATCCTTTTTCTTATCACTTATATGCAAATATAGTGGTTCATCATCACTTATCCAATCATTTAATGTTTCAATAGCTTCTTCATCTAATGCATCATCAATTCCCTGCTCTAATGTGGTGACAGCCCCTACACTAGATGTCTGGTAAAAGGATTCCTCCTTAATCTCAATTTTGTTAGTGTCTGGGATAGTCTCATGGTTTTTCTCATTAGAATCAATAGTATTTTCAGTTTTGCTGTCCAAGGGATATATATTAATTGATAGTAAGTTAAGAGTGCTAAATCTACTTTCTATGTTAAAGCTTTTTCTGTCTATGCCAAGAATACTGTCTTTGTCCAACTGCAAATAAGTAAAGAAACTATGTAACATACACAATGTAAAAAGAGTAAAGAAAAATTTTACAACAAATGAGTCTGTGAATTGTATAACCCAATCGGTCCATATAGATAAGCAGGGGTCCAGAATATATAATGTATCTTTTAGTCAGAGTTGAAAGTATACTGACTGAGATTGATAATTTATAGTGTTTTGAAAGTATATGTAGGTACTTAAAATAAAGTTTTTCATTATTAAACCATCAAACCTCTCCAAATCTCTGTATAATAGCAACCAATATTTTCTCAACCTTCATGGTCTGCTGTTTAAATTTGTAGAATTTTCTCAGCAGTGCTTCACATTCAAAGCAAATATATGAAGGTAAGCCAGGCTTGCTCTTTAACTGAAATATAAAAAAGTAATGTCAAAAACTTAAATCTACTTCCATATATGTTTAATTGATCAGTGTATGTATAGTCGTACAAACAGGATAATTTTGTGCCTTTATTTTCCACATATTAATATTTTATTACAATGTTTTAATTCATGAAATACACAAAAGAATATTTTTATATTAGATATAAGTTGTAACGCTTACAGTTACAAATGAGAAGGATACTTACACTTGATCCAGTAACACATTCAAAACATCGGTTTAGAGCACTATGCCGAGTTAAATATATTAATTTCACATTCATTTCTAAGCAAACTCTACATGCTTCCAAGGGTGTCTTCATGATTCTTTAGTAATAAACCCACGACAAACATAAATTTTACGCATTTACTGTTATGAAACGAGAACAACTATTTTCCATAGTTAACTGTAAATATCGCAGAATAACATACCAAAAATAAGAAAAAATATTTTATCCCTTACTATTGTTAAAAATAAAAAAAAGTAGTAACGAAGCGAATAATAATATTTTATCAAGCAGTGGAAAGTCCAAGAAATTCTAGCAACTGTCTTGTGTCTAGTAAACTCAGCAAGTAAAGCACTAAAGTACAGTGAATTGACAGTTAAGTAAGAACTAAGCAGATATTAAGCACTATGTGAGCTAGTATTTTTAATGGTAAATGACAATACCAGATAACACCGAAGCATCTCATCACAGATTGTAGCTCAGCTACTTTTAGGCTACAGATTATATTGACCTCCTTCAAAATAATAATATGCTCTCAAGCCCGATAGTATTACCCTTATATATTTGACTGTTGTCTGTTACTGGACAATTATTGTTGCTTACTATTGTTTTTTAATGTGGTTTTAATTGCTAAGCTTGTTCGTGTATAATGTTATAAAAGCAATCATGTCTCCTCGCTCCTCTCGCGAACCTCCTAACAACTATATTTGTCCAAATGACCGTACGTTTCCATTTTATGAAATATTCTCAGGTTGTTTTTCTTCAGGCTTCAGGCTTGAATAAACAAGTTCGTGCAAAGTTATATAGAATATTGAAAAATATAATTCTATAATTTTGCTAAATTAACGTTGAAATTACTAATATATATTATAGTTATATGCTTATCAACTACTATAATATTATCATCTATTTTTTATTGATAGATCCTCATACTCTATATTATATAGTAACAATATTATGTGACATTATACACAGTCTCTGTGGTTTTCGATATATCTACTTCAACGCTAGATGGCGCTAGGAATTACACAAAAAACTTTTTACCAACATCCAAAAATGGTATTTTAAATATATAAATTTTGTTACTTACGTCTACAACAGATATTAAATATATTATTCTATGATATATTTAAATTTTGTCATTTTATATACCTAATAGTAATCACATAACTATTATCTAATAAATTGTTAAGTCAAGAAAATAATCAGTAATGTACAGTTATATTATAATATAAACCTTATTAAGTGGCTATAAATAGTTTTATCAAAATATAACCTACCTCTATTAATATATAAGAGCAAGACTTTTCAAGCCTTTGCCCTTGGTATTTAAAAATAATGCCTGACCTTGAGCTTTTCGTAGAACCGTCAAATGGTCACAAATGTCTAGTAGCTCTCGTCTATTTAATGATACGCCGTAATTTAATTTTTAATTCCTTTACTGTTAATATATCTGTTCTTAATAATTCTTGGTTCACATTTAAATACATAAGAACTAATATCCATTTTCAAAAAACTACTATTACCCATAATTTTATAAAAATCTATAAAAGATTTCGACGTGCAACACTCAGCATTTCAGCAAGTTTTAACGCGTAATTTTGTCATGGTCTTATGTCTCACAGAGATATACAGTATATAGACTTTGACCTACATAACATATATAATTCTTAAACTACCAAAGTACTTATTCACTATCTACCACCAGCCTCGCAGCGCTAACTGTCTTTTATCACACATTTTTAATCAGAATGTGGGTCGAAAGGTTCTAAGCATATTTACCAAGTTTTATGAAAATCGGTAAAAAAGTATCGGTGTTTTAATTTTGTAAAATATAAACGATATGATGAATATCTTTATAGTCAGCTAGTTATAACTACCTTCAGGTACCTATAACTAGCTGACCTGGCAAACGTTGTATTGCCATATGCCAATATGAGTATTAAAATGTATAATATATGTATGTAATAGCGGCCCGTCCCGCCTTGGGTAGTTTGGTACCCACAAAGGTATTGTGATTAATTTGAACTGGAATTCAAATACCTAGGTAGTCAAAAACATTCAAAGATCCGTCTGCTGCCTAGGTAACCCGTGCCATATCTATCCTTTTCTAATTGGTAATATCTTTTGCATTGAATGGTATATTTTGTTATACGATTTCAAAAATTTCAATTTTTATGAAATATATTTTAATGAAATAATTCATTTGAATAAGAATCAATAAAAAGGTACTATTGAATGACATGCACAACGCGAAGGCGTTTACTTTTCTATTCATATAACTTTTAAAATTAGTATTATATTTCTGATTGAATGAATTGAAACAGTCTTGAAAACAATGTAGGTAATTTATTTTACTGAGGATTTTAATTGTGGTCCCACCATTTTAGTTGGTATTTTTTTTAAGTTCTTTAATGTAAAAGTCGTTATTGTGACAAACCGGTAATCGACACAGTAGTTTTTGAGTTTATTACAAACAAACACACAAAACTTCAAATCTTTCACTTTAAATTTTTTGTGAGACTTCTATTTGCAGGTTAATGCAATAAATAAAAAACAATACCTAACTCTCGTATTATCTTATCTTGTTAGGTAAAATTGATATGTATATGCTTAACAAAGCATTTCCTTATTGGATAGGTTTTTGGATCCTTGGAGCCTTTACTATTCTCTTACTACTCTCTCTACTACTCTTTTCTACTATACTCTCCAAATTCCCCCTCACATTGCCGTGGGTCTAGCCGAGGCCGATGGCCGAGGACGATACCCGCTCTTGGGTACTCTAAACTCTTGGTCTAACCGCAAACACGGTCAAACGTCCGGTTAGTAAAATGGGTGCCAACAACCGAGTAGATCATTAAAAAAACACTACTACTTATAAAGGTACGAGGCTGCTAGAGATAGAGTGGCCTAATAACAAAAAAACATGATTTTCAATAAGGAGGAAAATAAAAATGCGCAATTAGCTGAGGCGAAAACTATTATTTGTGAAGGATTTATTTCCTAGACAAGGAGACTATGAAAATATAAATTACTCAAGTCATACATTTTCAATTACGCTACTCTGCCTTTAGCGGCCTATTATACCTTTTAATTTTTTGTAACCACTACGTCTGCCGTTTCGCTATTAAACATAATGTACCGCTATACTACACATTTAAATTAAGTAACATCCTCTATATTTTTCTCAATCCTTAAACACTAAGACATTTTTTTCATATGTTTACATGTAAAACTCAAGGGTTAGGTTCCACACATCGAAATAATAAAAAAAACTGCATTTATAACAAAGGACGTATTTTATTATTAAAAGTAAGTTCTTAAAATAATTATATATTATGCACTTATGAAACTTACACATATGTAATGATAAATAATAAATTAAACTTTTGGCCTAAAGAAACTATCAATTCTAGATTGCTTGGCTTCTTTCTTCTTGCTATCATACAGATCTTGGTAACAGTGATAGGCTGCACAAATTTTGTTATTAACGTTAAAACTTCTCTCAAAATTAGGATCATTTTCTTCAAAAATTTTCATGGCATTCTTCAAATTCGCAAAGGCTATGGAAAGTTTTTTTAGTGTAAGTTCTTTTTCAGAGTCACTAATAGAAGAAGCTGTTTCTTGTGACTCGAGTGCTTCCTTTTTGTAACTTTTTACTTTTTGCCTCCAATTCAATAAGATCTTCATCAGTCAGTTCTTGCGAATGTGAGCTTAACAGATCATCAATATCATCAGTAGTAACTGCAATGTCAGGCAAACGGTTAGCCAAATGAACAATGTACGTTGTGATCTCATCGACATTTGGTTGATCTGTAGATGTAGAACTTTCAGATGGCTCAAAAAAAAATGGGCACAACTTTTTCCAAACTCCTTTTAAATTGTTGGGTGTCACCTCATCCCATGAAGTAGCAATATTTTTTACGCATTGCAAGATATTATAACTTTTCCAAAAGAATGACCTTGCGACAAGTGAATTCTCCGATATGCCGGAAATCGAAACAAATACTTGTTGAGAAATAGTGTCAAAACATTGTTCGACTAACTTAAAGACTTAAATCGAAACGACTAAGTCGAGGACCGCTGTACACGGTAATTACAATATCTTCCCGCCAAAATGCCGCTTCATAACCGCATCCCGTAAATGGGTCAAGTGCGATTGTCATTCGTGTAGGGTTCCGCGAATTTACTATTAATTTCTTTTCTTGATATAATTTTAATTTAGGCTTTAACTTTTACTGCTAGTTTTAATCGTCATACTAACCGTGAAAATTAATTACGTAGGTGGTATGGTTTGATAAAGATGGTATAAGAAATTTCGATTTCCCTTCCCCCGACTGCTAAACAAAAACTTCACATATCTACTGGTTTCCGTTTTTGTTTTTTTGGATAGAAATACCTATGTAATACGAAATAAAAAAGGTTACAAAATTTATCTATGTGCTAATGTTTATGTCGGACATGTTCGCAATTCTTGTCGGACAAAACAATACTTTAATTGGTTTTGAGACTAGTTCACTTATCATCGTTATGCTGAAAGGCCTACTCGGTGAAGACTATTTTGTAAGTTCTCTACTTCCTAATTTAACTACTTTTATAGCTTATGATCATAAACAATTCAAAATGATAAATGATAAATTCTGGATTTAAAAGTAGGCGTCTACCATTGCTGCTAAAACACCGGCCATCGTCACTCTTAGAATTTATTTCTAATCGACTTCAAAGAAATCGTCCTTTATAAATCGATTTTGGTGATTCTTTCTTTGCAAAGTAAAGAGCAGAGAAGAAGAGAATTCAGGGTGCGATTGATAATATTATAAAATCTGAATTCGACTTTACGAGTAAACTCAACTTTGTAAGCATTTCTCTTGAGATTCGGGCTACTAATGTGAGTGTCTTTTAGGCATTGGTGATATTTAAACGATATCTAAGACAAACACCTATCGCTAACTCAAATACATTTAAATAAAACACTTTAACGGTTTAAAACGCGATACATTAGTTAAACTTATTTGAAAACAGTTTCCCCGTGACCACGGATGCTGCAAAGCATCCGAAACGTCGGGCCGAAGTTAAAAATCATTTTCAAATAAGTTTCGTTTCGTTTTAAACCGTTAAAGTGTTTTATTTAAATTATATATCACATTATGTCTGGTTGGCTGTAACTGAGTAATCTTGCCAACTAATCGAGTAAAGAGATGCAATAATTATCATTGCATGTCAAATCTTCATCTTATTTTGGGAGTCGAACTCTGGATCCTCGCGCTTAGTGCAACGGGTAACGAGTTAAAGTAATCCAATAAGAGAGTTTAGTATCTGAAAAAAAAATCAAAACAATATTATTATTTTAAAGTTGAATTTAAAGTTTTTTTTTAGACGGAACCCTAAATCAGAGAATCATATACATAATACCAACCAGTTATTAATTGCAAAATGCTAATATTAAAATATAAATAATCGTGTTCCCGTTTGACATATTTATCTATTTATTTTTTCGTATATTTAATTCCTCAGAAAACCAATTCAACAGATAGATCTTTAGAAACCGTTACTCAGTAGCGAGAAGGTACTTTACTACAAAGTAGGTTAGAAGCGCTTACGTAAGTTTGTAATTGCATTATATATATCTATCTAACTATATTCTATATACAAAAGTCTATAGTAAAATACCTAAACATTTGACATCTACTTTTTACGTGTTTCCATCTCGCTCGCTCAAGGGGATTAATGTTCGAGGAATGCGCGCGTCGACTAGTCTTGCTACAAACGTCAATAAGGCGCGTATTATTCTTACTCAGTTTAGCTTCTTGACTTTTAATGCACTAAGAATAAAGTTCAATTTGGATGGCAATAAATCGCAAAAACCCCTTATCTACATTGGTACCGTGTCGCTAGACTAGCACAGTCACTACTTACCTACATTATGTAGATATACTCTAACCTTACTTTTAAGAAAATACTTATTAGATTTTATTTGAATATTTATACAAGGAGAGATAAAGCGATTTATTTCAACTTTTATAAATTAAAATATGTTTACTTACAATGAGTCTATGATAGTTATAGAGAGTTGTTTTAGAGAAAACAGTAAAAATAAAAAGTCCTTGAGAACTAGTCTCGCGGGGAGTGCGATTACGTCACAGACGGGATTTTTGTAGGTATGTTTATGCTAGCTATGCCTCGATTGGCTAACAAAGCCTTGTCGGCAGACATTTTGTAGATGTTGAACCAAAAGGTGAAAAATGTACTGGGTTTGATGCGCACTCCCCACGAGACTACACATACAACGGTATTGGGCATTTCCCTCGTGATCACAAAATTTGGGTTTCATGTTCCTCCGTCTACATTGTGGTTTAAAAAATACTTTTTCTATGTAAAATCGTGATATTATCGCCGCACTAGTGTTTTTAAAAGAAAACAGTGACGTGAGAAACATATTTGAAAAGTTTGAAGTGTCAAAGCGGAAGTTTATGTTGTACAATTAGTTGTTTGGAAGTCACGGGCAACAAATCCTGCGCCCTCATCAACGACTCGCCGATCATCAGATCTTAGCGTTACATAGAGCCAGAAAAGCGAAAATTGACAATTCAACTAGTATTATTGTGTTGTGATAAAGTTATAATAACAAGCTGCGTGGTAACTTGGCTCTCGGAGTCAGAATGTAGCCTGCATTGATCAACGTAAAGTTCGACCAAATCAATTTTATTTAATCTTTAAATCACTGTTTAAGATGACAGAAACAGTACAACCTGTGAAGATTAAAACCGAGCGGCCCGATGAAGCCGAGATCAGGGAGTTGGCTGCGAAGATGGTGGAGGCCAACAAGGCGAAAGCTTTGGCGGCGTCAGTCGCGGCAGCACGACCCCCACCGGGTGCCCGGATGGGTGGACCGGCGCAAGCAGTAGGCGGCCAGATGGGTATTCTAAATTTCCTTACGCGAAACCAGAAGCCTGGGACGCCTTCAGCGACGGAAACTCGGGCCTCAGGTGATGACAAGAAGACTCCAGCGCCAGACGAAGCCAGTTGGAAGGGCCACTTTGGCTGGGACATGCTAGGAAAATGTCACATACCCTACATATTTCGCGCTGGTGAAAAGTATGTAGCAGTACGTATGGTGGAAATCAAACTCTTAAACAAGTACCTGAATTATCTTCATGCAGATATCTACTCGTGCACCTGTATCCGAAGTTACTATATAACAGAGATTGAGGCGTTACTCCTCAATGAAATAAACAATAGGCATTGTGATGGACAATTTGGGCGGGAACCGTTCACCCAAAAGGACTTGGTGGTCAGGCTATCAGATGCTTATGAGTTCTATAACTTCTTAGATGTGTGCTATAATAAGTTATTGCGAGGTACTACTAACAATAAGGACAAATGTGGTTTTATACGTATCAATAAGGAGTCTGTTGTACCATACACAGTTAGGGATAATCAAAAGTTTGTGCCGTTGTTCTACTTTGAAGGTGAAACAGACAATTTGAAGTTAAAAGCGGACCAGTTAAAAGGCTGGGATTTATCGTACCTGAAGTTCTGTTGTAAAGTGCAGGGCATAAGAAATGAATTATTTGCAAGTGAGACATGTTCAGTGATTAGTTTAACGGACATTAAAAGTTATTTTCCACCTGGGACAGACTTTGAGGAGTATTGGCCTAACAAAGTTGTCGACTCACAGCTCTTAATATCTGCAAAAGGTAAGTTTCAATCAATTACTTCTAGCTAGTACCGAGTGTCTAAAAAATATTTACTTTCACCATCCCCCAGATTACCCTCAGCTCTTTGAAACATGAGGCTGGTAATCTGCTTCAAATCTACACGCTGGTCCTAGAAAAGTTCAAAGAAAATCTTTACTAAATTGAGTACACAGTTTAATTTTATAGTAATACCACTTGAAATACAATAGGAGATAAAAATCTATCAGGATACATCCATTTGTAACCTTGTAACCTTGTTTAGGTAAAATGAAAGAGAAATATCATTCTATAATTAATCTGGTATGAACTATTTAATCATAACATGTGTTCTTTGACCAAAATCTTGCCCTAAATTAGTTTAATTTTAAAACAGTTCAGTTTTTATTTTAAGCTTTTTAAAACTTTAATCATATTAATCTTTATAAGTAATAAATAGCTATTTCGTAATGTTTGAGTTGGACAAAGTTCAGTCAATTCAATAATGTCATTAAATGGATTGAACTTTGCCCAGCTTGATAAATAGATGATTATCATGACTGTTTTAAAAAGTGTTCTTATTTGGTAAACTATAAAAGAAGAAACTATCATGTCATCTCTATATCTAGTAAGGTGGCAATTTCACAGACATTCCTAATATTGTTAGAAGATAAAACATTTACCAGGAAGGATTTTTTCTTCAAAATTGGTTCCTCATGTTAACCCATAAACCACTATATAAATACAAATGCTGTGGTTTTAATTTAGCATATAGAAGTCTTAACTTACGCTGTGTTCATAACTAGGTAGTTTAAAATAACTGTTTGATATCAAGGTTGAACCTTCAAGAGAACCTTGACATGATAAAATATTTTGCATTGGATTGTCTCAATGGAAAATGCTGTTGTCTTCTCTTCTGTTAAGAGTGTTAGAGTATTTTTAATTTATTTTAAGGAATATAGTCTACTATAACATAATTTGTTAGAAATGTAATGCAATGTTTCTCCCCTCTTATTTAATACTAGCTGTGCTCTCGACTTCATCCATGTGGAATAGTAACAGAAACTTTGTGTAGAATTTTTAATTATTTATTTTATAAATTTAATGAGACATATTTGTACACCATAAGATACAGTGTTTTACTGTAAAGAGCTTATTAAGGTATTCATAATAAGTATATCCGTGATAAAGTTTATTTTTATATGCTTATTTGACACTTTACACTTTTATAGTTACTTTCGCTTTTATAATATTAGTATTATTTTCTATCGGGGACACCCTTGGCAGGACGGGTGATCAGTCCATGTTGTCCACTGACCATTTCACCCATGTCCCCATTTCAAATAATAATAATCAAATTAGTAAGTGATATAAAAATTGTACTACATTACATTACAATTACTATACATCCACACAACTTTTTATACCTTAACCCCCTTCCTACGTTTTTTATCATATAGCAGAAGGTTTTACATGCATGACATTGATAAGAGCGCATTCAAGGCAACCAATCTGTGTTGTAAGTGCTCGCAACACTCCCACTCTCACCTCACATAATTCCCACTCTAACTCACACTTCTACACTCACTCCCACTCACACTTCCATTCCCAAAAAGCCAAAGAAGAAAGTTTCATTGTAGCTTCAAAAATTACGAATTTACATACAAACTTTCATCCCCCTTTTCAACCCCTAACAACCCTTTTTTGGCATTAAAAAGTAGCATGTCCTTTCTCAGGCTTTCGTTTCATTTAAATCGGTTCAGTAGTTTCCGCGTTAAAGCCGGACAGACAGGCAGAGTTACTTTCGCATATATAATATTAGTAGTGATATAGTATAGTATACATTTCCTCCAACTTTAGTGCCCCCTACAATTATGCATTTTTTTAAATGTGCTTCTAATTTATTAATAGACAGAGATTTTTACATCACTGACATCCTGAAACAACTGCAATATGCAGTGGCATATATTTTGATACATGCAATAGCTTTAAACTTTAAATATTTTTCTCATGTTGCTATACATATGTTTCAAATATAGCAGTATATAATTTAAAAATCGAAAATAAATTACATGTACATACCTATATTCGATATATTGCGTTTACAATTTCATTTTTTTATTAGGTATTTAGGTATTGGATGATATTATACATAATGTCTTAATATGTTTATGATTGAAAACTTTAATATTTTTTTAAGTACATAGAAATAAAAACGGTAATTTTGAAAACTTTATGATGGCACATTTAATAGTTTAAAATAAAAATCGATAATAATTTGAAAAAAATCGACTTTATCCGTCATCGTCACAGCCATGTTCCGTCGTATGCGAAACGTGCATTAGACTTTTAATTTTTTAATTTTTTCCCCCCCCCCCCCCCCCCCCCCCCCCCCCCCCCCCCCCCCCCCCCCCCCGTTAAATTTTTTTTAAATTTTATACAGATCGAGTTTTAATGTTTATGATTAATTACAAACAAATTAAAAAAAATATTTATTTTGTGAACACGATAAAGATATACTCCTATTATTATATTAAATTATCCTCCTCTATTAAAACTCCTTTCACGTATGTATTTACCTGAACGAGGAATTGAAGCAAATTTAACGACGGAAAAACGGTAATTACATTTCCCTACATTTCAATTTTTACAGAAAATATAACAGATGCAAATATTGAATTTGAATTTTATTGAAGTAATATTGTGGACATTTCTCATAAAAATTTACTTTACTACTATTATTACGTTAACATCTGGATTATTTTATCACACATTTAATCACAAAAACCAGTTAACCAGCATTTGATTTAACTAATTTCGTGTTTTTACTTTTACCAATGTTTCTTAGTTCACCCTTCATAGAGAACGGGAAAACATACTGCTGTACGGGTGGAAAAGTCGCCCGTTATAGATAGCCTAAAATGTATAACACTTTATCAACTTTCTTATTCCTTTAATAAAAGTATTATGAATATTGTATCATAAAAGCAATAGTATGGCGTCATCATATTTATTTTTACATATAAATAAATAATCCGTTAATTATCACAAAGTACATAATTTACAATTAAAATAAGTAATACATATATAATAACATATGTCGATAAAGGATTAATATTTTTATCATTTCACTACAGTAAAAAAAATAATAGATAATTTACCGCGACTCGGTAGCTCAATTGGTAGAGCAACAGCACGGAGCGCTGACGATGCCGGTTTTAAGTCCTGTCCCAGTCGAAAATTTTTTCAATTTTTAAATTATATAGTGTCTTCATGTGCAATAACATGTAAAAAATAATAAAGTGTTCACAATAATAAATAGATGGTTATCTAGTAAGGCATAGATATAGTAAAAAACACTTTAAACCTATTTTCTTTGACGTTAGTAGTAACAACAAGATTATAGATATTTGATGAAATTTTAATTATACTTATTAGGTATTTGGTCACCTTTGTGACTCAGGAATAAAATGTTAAGTGCAACAAGTCTTTAGTTTGAACTCCAGAGAAACCTTAGAAGCAGTTAGTATAGAAGACTAGGTACTTGACCATAAATAGTTGATGACTGAAATAGGCACGGAAATGTGTTTGTCCCTACCCCACAGAGGGGTAATGGATTTTGACTGTACTGTGTATCTTTCAAAAGAAATTAATCGTGTAGTTTTAACAGATAATATGTATTTGGTTTCGCGTAAGTTCGCGTTTTAAACCTAATAAGTGTTTTATTTAAATCTGTACTACTCGCGTAAGCTACTAACTGTAAGTATATAGGCATATACCCAGGATTGCAAGCAATCGAATTAATAGAGAAGAGAAGAAGTTTTTGATAAAATGTATGGAGGATATAGCTTTAACAGTCAGAAACAGGCATAAAAACATATAGTATTGTCAACCTACTACGCCAAAAAAAGCGTGGGGCGAAAGCTAGCCAAAAAATATAATTAATGTATTTATAGTCATAAAGTCCCTTTTATTCTGCATATTCTGTAGGTACACAATATTATTCCTAAGCCACGTTTAGATATAAAATTTTCTAATTATATGAATCATTCCAGGGTCAGTGTCCGGCGGTGGACAATGGACGAGAGCGCCCCCTGCGCCTCCCCCGGGCGTTGTGGGTGCCGTCGGTGCCGGAGTAGGACCTAATGTTGCCCCATCACGGGGCAGACGGCCAGCCCAAAGGCATTCCCCAGCGAATGCTGCAATGCAGATGCCCCATTCGGGTCTCGCTGCGGCCACTGTGCAGGCATTAGCTAACGGATGGACAAACTTACCTGGAACTTTGACGCAGGCGCAGACGCAGCAAGTGCTAAGGCTAGCTCAGGTGAGGAAGCAGTTCTGGCCTATATTAGGATTACTAAATATAGGTGCAGTTCTTTTAATGACAGTTTAGATGTCACCTTTAATATTGAAATACTTATTCTTTTATTTACGGTAATTATGTCTACAATTATGAGAATTTGCTAATTTAGTGAATTTACGGTTTTTATTTTAAGTATAGTTTTGTATCTTTAGCAAGTTGTGAATCTCAGTCAAATCGTCGTCGTTTCAAATTCTTCTTTGAATTTAAGATATCTTTAAATTCACAAAAGTTATTTTAATTGCGAGCCCATACAAGTAACTTCTTCCTAGTGTTTATGGTATTGGCTGTTCGACCCGCGGTTTTACTGCCGCCTGTGATTCCAATTTGTTTAACGTTCATAGGCGCGCGCGCAGCAAAGAAACGTGTCAGACCAGATGAATGCGCGTTACAACCCAACATCGATGACCGCTGCCATCGCGGCAGTGTTCATGGACGCTGGCTCCAGCATGCCGCCTCGTTCGCACAACCAGAGATCTGCAGTGCAGGTATCATCAACCATTATTCATTTTGACCAATTCAATTGGTCCTGATGCATCCAATATATTTTATGAAAACTTATTATTTACTCTTGATAGATTTTATCTTAAAGGACAAAATCCTTAAATATGGTACTCGTTTTCTTATAATCATATTGAGGAGTGTTACTGGTTTCCAAGAATTTAGAAGGAAAATTTAACGTGATGCTGTTTTTTCCTTAATTTTGCTTAGGTTGGCGGTTTAGTACTGACAATATTCATTCAGTTTATTGGAATATAGACTTATAAAGGGGGGATCTACTTTTTTCAATGTAATAAAAATGGAGTTTACCATTAGGCAGAAGTCAGCGATTTTTTTTGTTATAAGGCGAATTTTCAATTAAATTTCATAGTTATTGTATGTTTTACAGACTTTAGTGCAGAATCGCCAGTTAAATATGTAGTCTCAAAAACCTTTGTTTTTTTTAACAAGGAGCCAATTTGACCCTTGTTAAAATGTTGTCTGGAGACCATGTGTATTTGAACAATTATTTTATGGTTTTCCAGTTTCCAAACAGTGCAATGACAATGGCGATGGGCCAGCAGCCGCCTCCACTGCTGGTGAGGAGCTCGGCCAACACCTCCAATATGAAGTGAGCATTTTCCCATCCCCTGTTTAGGCTAACATATTTCATGACTTTTGTGTTATAAACTAAACAACATACCTACATCATTCTTTGTTTTCTTATTCACTCTTTTTTTCTCTACTATTTTGTTATGGTTATGGTATTACAGTTTGAATCGCCATTGTCTTTACACTGTTTTATTAGACGCTGAATTTCGTATTTAAAATAGAATTACGATTTATATTATTTATTCGCTCAAAATAGATCTCATTTGAAAAGATGTATTTTTTTTTTAATTTTTCTATAACAGTATCTGTCATTTAAAAATGGAAAAAATTTACTAATACCGAGTCCTTCGGTAGATCAATTGGTAGAGCACCAGAACGGAACGAACGGAACGCATTTTAAAATTATATAGTGCCTTCATGTGCAATAACATGTAAAATTTATAAAGTTTTCAAAAACATCTGTCATTTTCAGTGTGCCCCCTCAAGTAAGTGGTACGATGAATGGCCACTCAACCTCTCACTCCGGGGACAGTCGCAAAAGGCTTACAGCTATCCCAGACATCAACATCAGTGGAAACCATACACCATATAAGGTAAACCTACACTAACTATCGTGCCAACATATCCTAGAACATAACTTAGATTTTGACCATTAAGGCTTGCTATGCCTTGTAATCTGTAAATATCAAAAGGTACTAAAGCCTGTAGTTACAAAGAAACATTAAAATATAAGATTTTTTGCGTATCTGTTAATAAAAAGTTTATTCAGAAATGTGCCTAACTTTAATAATAAATATGTATAATTTCTTGCAGGTTCAGAAGGCGTTAGTTGAAAACACTATGGTACCATGTATCAACGCAAAGCCCTACCAGTACACGGAACTGCTCATGACCTTGCCGGATTTGGCCAGCCATTTCTTTCCACGGGTTTCCCTCACCACATGCAGGGCGATGCTAGACGCGTTAGGTCTATCGTTGTATAAACCCAACTCGTGAGTATCTTCACAATCTTATGGGGCCTCTATAAGCCTATACATTTAATGACAATTATATACAATTTTTGTTGCAATGTATTTAGTATTTCAAACAGTAATTGTAGAAACTTAGACTATCTATATCTGCATTGGGTTATAATTTTTTAATTAAGAGACAATATTTCCAATGGCATAATTGACATTGAGATACCATCTGAAGGTTGTTTACACGGCAACTCCACTAGATTTAAACGCAATATTATTTTAAATATATTTTTTTAACAGCACCCAGCTTCAAGTTCTCCGAAATTCGGGCAAATGCAAGTCGGCTGCTGCGGGTGAGAACGGTATGGCTCTAGTGCAGATACGTGACGTCATGCAACATATGCCACAATTCAAGTACATGCTGCGATCCGGGTTAGCTTCGGATGAGCCTCCCCACCAGCCTCCAAGACCTGCGCACGCGCCCCCGCCTTCACACGCAAAGCGAGCTAGGGCCAATTAGTATGAACTATACCAGCAGTGGTCACAGTGACAGTGAAGTGGACAAGTTTCCTTGTGAAATAAGGGCTTAGAACAAATACTGACTATGCAGAGGACTGGAAGAAAAATGGTTAGAAAATACTTTTTAATCCAACTAATGTGTATTTTCAATCCAATTCCACTCCAGTTCTGTCAATACTATACATGTTGCGATTTGATAACCTGCTCTGTAAAGCCAGTGTCATGACTAAACTACTCAAGGGGACAACATAAGTCAATTGTATAGAAACATTTTAGGCATCACAGCCAGCTACAATTACCGGTACCTCTGCAATGCTAACTAATTTCGCCTTGCATTCAAGTGATGTGGCTGACACACCAATATGAAGACGTAAAAATGCAGCGATTAATCTCAAGATTCAAAGTTATAATTACGTAACTCGTTTAACAGTAATTGATAAGGCCTTGACACGAGACATAACACTTCAATATGTAATGAGGAAAAATAAGTAGGTTGCAATGGCAAAAGTCACTGCCAGATTGGTATATTAGAGAAATTCATAATATTCAAAAATGAACTTAGAACAGTGCTTTCTCATTTGTGGTTAAACTATTTTATTGGAATAATTAGCACTCATGTTATGTATGGGTTTAAAGTAAAGAAACAAACTAAAAATTGTAAGTTGAACAATTCTTCAAGTAATGTTTTATCACCAATGAGAAGCCAATCCTTACTAAATTCATCTATACATTGTTAATATCATTAAGGCCCCATACCAATATCATAAACTCGAGTCTCATAAAATCTTAAATCTTTGGTGCAAATAGTTTGTTATAGATATAGGCAATGCTTTTGTATACACATATATATATAACATATTTGTGTGTCAAATGTTTATATATATAAATCATAGGGACTATTTGCACTAAGGTAGACTACAAATGATTGTACAAATTGTATGTATTGTAAATCAGAGATCTTATAAGTAGCAATCTATCATATTTAATAGAAGACTGAGAGATTATTTGTTAATTATTTCATAGATCAAGATTTTGATGATGTGGTCGTCACTTGAGTTTGCAAATATGTTTTATGCTGTATCTGTACATATAACACTTGTCTAATTTAACTCAATGTCGCATAAATATAAGCATTATTTTACTTAGAGAATGCTTCAAATTTATGTCAAGGACAAATCATGACATTAGCTGTTTTGCATTGCCATGGCATATTAAGTATTTTTCTATGATTTGTCTTTGACGGTACTTACGCTTAAATTAACATCACAATTTTCATTCACAATTTACTTTATTAATTAAAAAGTTATCATAAAAAATACGCAAATATTTAATCAAAATGCATATATAATGTAAGAAGTAAGCAATTAAAATTGTAACAGATTCATAAAATACGGTGGGATTTTCGAAAACAAGCATTCAAATGTGGTTATTTTGGTTAAAATGAAAACCTAAAAAATGATTTATTTAGTATACATAATTTATGCTAAATTATATCTTTAATAATATTATTTTGATAAAAAGTAAAATAATTTGTATGCTTACATTCCAACCTCCTCGAATAATTTCTAAAATGTACGAATTAGTTTTCTCCAAAGCATTTTTTTAGTTTTAAGACAAACTCTACGACTATAATACAATTTTAAAATTAGGTGTTACAGAAATATTTTTGTGTTAAATGAACAGTATTTCAAACTGCAACAAAGTCTCTTACCTTTATAACGAATTGCGAACGTTTTCAATGCGGAGCGAGCACGCAACAAATACGTCACGTCACGTGCGCAACGAACTCGCAGCGCACGCGCACCGAATTCGTTTTCGTGTTCAAAGTAACAAAGACATGTAGTGTTTGAAAACTTTATTATTTTTTACATGTTTTTTTTTAATTATATAGGCAGTATATAATTTAAAAAAAACGAAAATAAATTGAAAACATTTTTGACTCGGGCAGGACTTGAACGCTGACGATGCTGATTTTGAAATTACATGTAGTGTGTCCTTGTCGCGACGAAAAGTTGCTAGTGCGCCACTACAATTTGCAGCTACGTGTATGTGATGCATCCGTTTCGCGTCCGCCTTGTTCCAAAACCGTTCGCAATTCGCTAGTGTGATAAGACCCTTACCAGTGACAAATGTTGGGTATATTTATTATAGGGTATTATTTTATTGTTAGAAAAAGTTATTAGAACTTTGGTTCCTATAGTAAGCTAGCAACAACTAACTCAAGATATCATTATTGCCCACAAATAAGATCGCCTTAAATAAAACATCTTATTTTTCTTAATGATAATGAAGTAAAATGTACCTACCATCTCATCACATATTTTGTTTTGTAATTTTGCAGTTGTAAATTAATAAAAAACAAATGAAATCTTACTTAGTTGTAACTTGTGAATAATATGGTTCAATTGTATATGAATCACAAAATTTCATAGATATTTATTTATTTTCGTTTTGTCTTAGGATGTAAACTAAAGCTTCAATTTGAAGTGACACTTATTTGAGCTGTGTAAATTATAAGTTAAATTATTTATAATAGTTTAGTAACTATTTGGTAACTTTGAAAATTATAAGCGCTCTTAATTGTTTCAGGAGCCTCCAGTTCTGTATTAATAAAAGGGATTTTTATCACACCTTGGTTTTTAATAAGACACATGAATATTTTAAATTAAAAGTTATTTCATACAAAATATGTAGTCCGAGATTCCAATGCTGATTTTCTTTTTTCGAGCTAGTATAATACAGCCGATGTAACTTGGCAACTCTGAACAGTGGTTAGATTAACTTTGGCGCATGTACAGTCGTAAAGAAAACTAATACTGCCATTTATTTTCGTTCCTGGGATAAATGAAAAATTTTACCTATAGCAAGCAAAAGTAACATACCAATAATTGATTCAAAGAGAATATGGGCTACGAACACCACTTATCTTTCACTAAAATACAGAGACAAAACAAAAATATAACAAAAGAGAAATAGTAATATTAAATTTAAAAATAAACAATCACTTTTCTAAGGGACTGCGATCTAGACTGAGATAACGAAATTAACACCAAGGAGTGACCGAGACGCACTACTGTTTACCGAATATGTACGAAGCTTTACGAAAGAACCAAATAGAGCGTCGTTTATTGAAATAGACAAAATTGGATCGTAGAAATATAATTTTATAAAAAGCCATAAAGAAGGTATAAATAGTAATTATATAAATAATAACTCATATTTAACTAAATCAGGTAGTTCAATAATGAAAAAAGTTTTTTTTTAATTTTATTTTCCTTTAAAGGAAATCATGGTATTGTTTATTAACAATACCATTCATTGTGTTCAACAATCCATTTAGTAGTTATCTCATACGATTTAAAATCCACAATCTAAATCGATTTCGAAATTTGATAGAATAAGCGGTCGATTGTGCTGACATTGAGTCAATCACTAGCCTAGATCTTCGTCCCGCACCCCTCGGTCTTACCACCGTTAACATCCTAAAGAACGTTTCTGCGCAGCGTTTCGCGCTTAGATCAGGTCTGCCAAATTACGTCGGCCGTATTGTACTCCTAACTACATACTAGACTATAAGTCATGAGAATTTTAGCTTTGCTAAAATGACGTAGGTCTGGCGGCACTGGGATCTTACTCTAATGGTTATACATATCACAAACACATGCAACCGATGTGTTTTGTTAGGCAAAGATAAATCCTGATTGTTTAAATTTTATTACATCTTACACAGGCGCCAATACAAAGTTTATGTTTGTGTCTCTATCATAAATAGGCTACTTTTAACCCTAAACACAGGTTCTGGTAAACTGACCTCAAGTACTCATTTTGTATTATCTTTATTATGAGAAATAATTTGTATGCGAGTCTGTGGTCGCCATTTACATTTTGACTGTGACGATAGACAATTGACATTTCAAAAGTTATCGGAAAATAAAAATGGCTTTTCGAAACATGAAAATTAACAATTATAAAAATAAGAAATATTTTTAGAAGAGATCCCTTTTAAAATTATCTTAAAATACAATAATATATTACATATTTATTTTGTAATTTTCGATTTTGTGTTTAAAAGAAATTGTCGACAATGAATGCTGACGGCGGATACTTGGGTCATAAAAAATCATTTATTTATTTTCCTCATTATTCTATTAGATTCTCTTAAATTTTGGTTTATAGCTTATATTTTATTAAATTTACCTGTTGCATTAGGTAGTTTAGGTTTAGTTTCATAGATTAGGTGTTTCGCGATGAGTATTCAGGTTTGTAGGGATACATCAGACGCTGTGGCGCTGTACTTGCCACAGCGTTTGTATCTCAAGCCATTCGCCAAACTAAATATTTCTGTCCAGCTTCCCACTCACAAGGTCCACGGCAAGTCAATCTCCAACTGGGAGCTCATGGAGAAGTTGAGGAAAATGATCCAACCTGATGGTTTCTCTATGTTAAAAGTGTCTAAGCACAGTTCTGAAGTGATACGGTTTGAAGCGGAATTGGAGAATCGTGCAAAGCTAGAAAGAGTTATTTCTAGATTAGAAGATAGGGTGGTACAGTTAAATGATTTCCCTGAGCCACTGAAGGTTTGTGTTTCTGAAGCTAAGTCAGATTTTCCAAGTCGACATTCGTGGGATTCGTTTTTCCGAGACGCGACTGACATGGATGAGATGAAGCCAGGTGAGAGACCAGACACCATCCATATAACAAACATGCCAATTCGGTGGTTTGTACATGATCAAGATAGAAATGAAGATTCACCGCCTTCTGAGAAATTGTTCAAAAAAGTGTTTGAAAAGTTTGGTGAAGTCAGACAGGTGGATGTTCCTGCTTCTGATCCGTTTCGTATGCAAATGAAGGACTCTATGAGAGGCATAACAACACCTCCACAAGATAGTGCTCTATATTTTGAAGGGTATGTACAGTATAGTGCATATGTCAGTTTTGTGAGATGCATGGACACCTTAAGAGGAAAAAAAATACTCAGAAAGAATGACGATCTGGCAGAATGGTGCACTATTCATGTAGACTTTGATAAATCAAAGCATATGACAGATGCTGCTGTTAAACGTCGGGCTATAGTTAGAGAGAGATTATCATCACGTCAGAGAGATAAAGAAGAGGAAGAAAGGCTGGAGAAGGAGCGAAAAGATAAAATAGAAGCTAAGGAGAGGTAGACATTATTACTAACTTTTTATGGTTTATATTTAGCATCATTTATCAGCTTGTTGAGTGCAGGTTACTTATTACTTGTTTAATTTAATGTAATTAATTATTTAACACTATTTACTATAAAAGAAAAAGGCAATGCAATTAATATTAGTTTTGTATATAAATAATCCATTAATTTACAAACTTAGTTCTCTGGAATGAATTTTTCTTCTTATGGAAAAAGGAAAAAATTTTACAAATATTTTTTTTTTCTTCAAGACAACGTTTTGAAAGAAATGAAAAGGACAAACTAGAAAGGATGCGTGAGAGAGAAGAGCGAAGAAAGAAAAAGCAGTTGGCCAAACTAATGGAAAGAGAAGATGTGGATTTCAATAAGAAAGTTTCGGATGAGAAGAAGAAATTGCTAAAGGTTCAGAAGAAATTGCAGGCTATTAGGCTAATAGAAGAACTGTTTAAGAGAATTGAGGTTCGTTTAGCATTAGTTAGTTTAAGATACATGCAAATCTCGCTCAATGTCATATCAACCTTAACACTTGCCAGATCAAGTCCTTACCGAGTCGTATTTAAAAAAAAATCTAAATAGATTAAAAATCTAATATAAATTGAAAATAATTGTGACTGGGGCAGGACTTGAACTGGCATCCTCAGCTCCATCATCCACATCCATAGCTCTATTCAATTGAACTTCTACAAGTAAAGAATATTTATAATTTTAGATAATAAACTTATTTTCAAATTTTAGCTGCGTCCAGAACTCCAGCGAAATGGTGCAAAAAGTGAAAGGTATTACCACGCCAGTGAACGAGCAGCGCGCTCTCGTATAGTTGATAAGTTCAAACGACAACAGGAAAAATTGTTAGACGAACAACAGGAACTTTTAAGACATGCTAAAGATGGTAATTGTAAAGTTTGAGATTTAAAAAAAAAGACAGTTTTCCCAACCCCCAATCACCAGGCCTTCTATTGGTGTCCCCAATAGAAATTAATAATAATGCATATTAATCTAACATCATTGAAAACTATATAGTGTATTAAACTGTATATTGTGAATTCCAGGTCGCATTATAATCCGGTCAGCTCTCGAGACAAAGAAGCCACGACGTGATTCGTCAATCAGCTCTATATCTTCAGAAGACCTTGACAAGAAGAGGGTTAAGACAGAAAGATTAACCACTCCAGAAAGAGAAAATGAATATAAAAATGCAGGTATGAGTGTCCTGAAGTGTTAAAAATGTATGTAACTGTTGACGGCACTGTATCATGGTCCGCGTAGTTACTTTGCGGCAGAGGTTATTTCAAATGTGGTACAGGTGCAATTACTGCAATAACAGAATAAAATAGCCACCATCTACTTTAAATTTGTCAATATTTTGTTAGTGGATACATAAAGAAATTCTCCTAGTTCATCTATTTTTTTTTGTAACAACCTGCTGATTCCATTAATCAAATTCAAATCAGCAATTGTAGAGAACTATCAATTTTAGGCTACAAGTGTATTTTGGACTAAACAAAATAGATTTTTTTATATTATAATCTTTAGTTGCAGGACTCTACCCAAACCCATACGGCTATGGGTACCCGTTCGTGCCTCCGCCTGGTTATCCTTTTCCGCAAAGTATGAGTATCTTCATTAGTTTAAATAGTTATATTTTAAGATTTTAGTTTTCGTTATGTGGACGATGATGCAGGGTTCTCCCTCCATTATTTTCCATGAATTCTTCATCTGTTTTACTGTTAGTAAGTATTTGATACCATTAATCATTGAGATTCGAATCCATGATCTCGACCGCGATGCGTTTCGACCCGTTTAAGGAATCAGAGTTTTGTCAATCATCAATCTGCAGTTAGTGGGATACTATGTTCGTGTTATACCGTGATGATTGGTTCAAATTATATGTACAAATCTGGGTGACCATATGTTCAGTGCTTATGTCGACATCACTCGTCCTAGTCAGTGAGTGAGTGTGGGACTGTGCTACCATTTTGTGATGTTGTATCAGTGTCTATGTACTATCCGGTGCGCGGCGCATATTACCCTCCGCCCCAGCAAGACACGTATACCCCTAGGCGTGGGTTTAGGGGACGTGGTCGGGGCCGCGGCCGAGCGAGGTTGCCGCACTTCGAGGGACCACATGCGACACAGCAATACTACCAGTGAGTTGATCCTTTATAACGTTGCCGATTTTCATTGGATTTTAATTATTCTATTGATATGGTTCTATGGAGTATTAATTTCGAAGGTGAAACGGTACCTATAGGGTGTATGTTTCCTGTTCCATGCATCAAATGGCATGAAAACATCTTATATGGCAACCTAACGTCTTTGTTATTGTGAGATGAAAAGTAATGAATTCAATAATAAGTTAAAAAACTAGTACTGTCTCGCTGGTCCTTCAAGCCGTCCTCCTATATTTTTTTGTAGGTACTTTAAAAGGCTTACTGAAGTGGAGGGTCGCAATGAGCACGACGACCGTGAACGGTCACGATCACGATCACGATCGCGATCACGGTCTAGGCGGCGCTCTTATTCACGATCGCGGTCACGGTCGCGACGCCGTTCGTACTCACGATCACGGTCTCGGTCGCGCAGTCGACGTTCTAGAAGTCGCAGAACAAGAAGCAGGAGTCGACGCTCGCGTTCTAGAAGTCGGCGTTCCAGGTACGATAGACACAAGCTTTTATAATGATATATAAACATTTGCGACCTATTGATATCTTGTGGTAACATATCTTTAATAAACATAGAAAAAATCAACAAGTTTTGCTTGGTGATCTAATAATAATATTAAAGGAAAAGTATTTTAATAAAAAATATTAAAACCAGTTTGGACTCGAACCCACGACGGATGGTCACCACTAAATTGCTCCAAATTGAGCTTAAGTATCGCCGGTTCTTTGGTCAAAACCCTGTCTTATCTATTGTTTTAAACATGCACCTCCGACTCTATCTAATTTTGACATAAACTTCAACGAAAATGATTTGAAGGGCCGCAGGATTGAGAGCCTATATATTGTGAAAAGTACCTTAAATATCTTTATAATAATAATACTTTAAGTCGATCAATTTGATTGTCAAAAAGTTATATTTTGCTTCAGATCTCATCGTTCCCGTTCGCAATCGAGGCGTCCCAGATCACATTCACGGCGCAGGTCCAAAACCAAGTCCAAATCCAAGCATCGTAGTCCAACTCCCAAGAAAGATGGAAGCGCTGATAGGACATTGCGATCTCCTGACCGAACTAGGCGGTCTAAGAGTTGGTCCATGCCTAAGGATGTGGAATAAGTATCCTAAGCTAGGATACATTCTAGGAAAAGAAGAAAAGAGATAGAGTTATCTAGGTATAGAATTATACTGTAAGCTAAGATTAATACACGATTTATATAATTTGATTTTTTATTTATTTTTAGTATACAAAAATTTCTATGTCAGAGCGAGAGCTGCAGCTTTTTTAAAGGTCACCAGGCAGAGAGAAGTGTTAGAATGAAAGAGACAACTATTTGTAATCAATCGAATAGTTTGATCTCACAGTGAGCAATAAGTGTGGTGTCCAGCAAACGTCCTTGTCACACTTGTGAACGTACTACGTCTTTTTTTCATATTCGATATAACGTTACGTTCAAAGACATCAATGCGGTACTGAGCGTTGGTGATGTACCTACTTATTATAATAATTCTTATTCAGTTTATCTTAACGATTTTTAAGTAAGAAATAAAATAACTTAAACAATTTACTTTTATGCAACTCTTATAGGAGATAACAAATGCCCATGATAGCCTTGTATAAATTAATAATCTGTACATATTGAGAATTCATATTCATTCACAGCATGCAGTAAAACGCTATGGTCGTGGCTTCGAATCCATACCCGTGTCTATGAAGTTTCCATCTAAAATTGATTTTTTTAAAACCATATTAGAATATTTGCTTAAAGCAGGTCTTATTCAAGCGACTCTGTTGTATTGTACATGAACGAGGTTGTGCGAACAGTGATTTTCGTTCCGATAAGAGACTTCGCTTCAAATCCGTTGCGATTAAATTGATAACTATATTATAATCAATGGATTAGAGAAAATCAATCATTTTTGTATGTAATTAACGATATCGCCAATGCCGTGAAAACCCTGTCATATACAGACTTAAGTGTATATAAAATTGTGGATGGGTAAGTTTGTTTACAACATACAAAGCACTAATACTAAAAATGTAGGTTGTTATTATCGTTTTTATTTTACTTATTTTTATTACTTATAAACACCATAGGACTTATTCTATGAATACAAAAAAATAATATCTTAATACAATAACAGCATTAAATTATGTAGCTTTTTGCTGATTTCCCATACTTTAAATAAATAAATTCGTTAACAGTTTAAAACGAAATATTAAATTTATTCTTTACTACGGTTAGTAAAATAATCTCGGGGTCACTACAATTGCTTCAATGTCACTATAATCGACGAGTCCTTTAAAATAAATTATAAAATATATTTCGAGTATAGTTAGTGTCTAATTTAAATGTAGTCACGAACTTCTAATATTATTCTTCTAAGAATTATTTTCTTTCATACTTTTTCAACTAACTCATGTGTTTTTTTAATGTAAATTAACGCATACCAAACGAAACCAGATCTAACCACTACCTATGCCTAATTGTGATAAACTTCAAATCATCCGTGTAAAGATTATTGCATAGATATCTGAAACTCCGTATAGCAGTAGTTTCATAGATAAAGTCAGATTTAAATTATTTCCTTTAGTTACAAGGACTTATTATGAAGGGTTTTTTATTGGTATTATTGGGTGTTATAGCAGCGGTTCAGGTAAAATATAACTCAGTCTTATATAAGCAAGGATTTTATCTGTCCTATGTTAGTTCATGTTGGGAGTGGACCTCCTATAAGAATATAGGCCTAAATAACTGGAACACTGCCAAAATATATAAAATATAAATTATTAATAACAAAATTAGCAATAAATAAAGAGTAATCTTTCATATCTATGTTTTAGATATTATTAACTTTACCCAATGTGTGTTTCACCGGAACTTGACTTGTGTTGTATATACATATTTTAAAAATAAATAACAAAAATGTAACTAAGTTAGCGGTTATTAACACCGATACTGGCTATTTCTGTTCCTTTGTAGTAACGAATAAAAGGTGTTTTGATTTGTGATCCTTACTGAAAAAAGGAAGGAGAAAGTATCATTGAGACTATAGGTATTATTAATTATTGTACTTACTCGTATGTTGCATTTTTAATTTGACACTTCATATCTACATAATAGATTTGCTAAGGTCTTTACATATAATATTTTGATGCAGCTAATTCCGTTAAAATTAATAAATCCCCACTATATATAGACAAATAAAATTTTGTTATTATAATAGATACTAACTTATTTTTCTATTGTTACAGGGACGAAATTTTGTGTGTAAGAATTTATTTACAAGTAACAGATACATTATATAGTAATAGATACAACGTGGAAAATAAAAGGACTTACTCTCTTGATTTACAAAATGATTTTCTGAATTGCAACCCAGGATATTTCCCTACGTTAAGGGTTAACCAGTGAGCTGGTCACAAAAACATAATTATGAAACTAGTAAGAGCTTTCAAAAGAAATTGCGTTATGGCGATTGACTCTGGTCAGCCGACATAGTGTAAAATAAAAGAAAAAAAAAATCATTAATACAAATGTCTACTTTTGTTCGGATAAGAAGGTTTGCGTTATAAGATATAATTCCCTCTAAATAAAACACTTGAACGGTTTAAAACGCGAAATATATTCAACTTATTTACAAATTATTTTAACTCCCCAACGACAAGGTGTCCCCGTGACCACGGCTTCTGCAAAGCATCCGAAACGTCGGGTCGTAATTAAAATAATTTCCCAAGTATAAACTAATATATTTCGCGTTATTCAAATGTGTACTACTCGCGTAAACTACGGACGCTATTTTAGTATTCCCTCTCTTAAACGTTCATAGTCATTTACGCTTTGTTTATGTAACTATAGCTCAAGAAAATGCAGTAAGCGTACCATGGTTGGTCCACCTTCGTATCGCTCGTCCAAGCAGTGGGTTTCTGGACTCTTGTGTGGGAACTTTATACACTAATCGGCACGTGATCACCGCTGCCAGTTGCTTGGTAGAGTAAGTTACCTTTGAAAACATTAATATTTTTCACATGTTATTGCACATGAAGGCACTATATAATTTAAAAATCGAAAATAAATTAGAAAAAATTTTCGACTCGGGCAGGACTTGAACCGGCATCGTCAGCTTTCCGTGCTGTTGCTCTACCAATTGAGCTACCGAGTCCTACACCTCATCGTCGAATTTTTTCAACTTATTGATACATGCACCTCTCGCGCAATGTAATTTCTACCTTAACACTTGCGTATTAAGGCTCAATGTCTTATGCTTTGCAGCTTAAGAAATCATTGAAGATGAAATTACAAAGTTATAACGTTTGAAAACATTAATATTTTTCACATGTTATTGCACATGAAGGCACTATATAATTTAAAAATCGAAAATAAATTGAAAAAATTTTCGACTCGGGCAGGACTTGAACCGGCATCGTCAGCTTTCCGTGCTGTTGCTCTACCAATTGAGCTACCGAGTCCTACACCTCATCGTCGAATTTTTTCAACTTATTGATACATGCACCTCTCGCGCAATGTAATTTCTACCTTAACACTTGCGTATTAAGGCTCAATGTCTTATGCTTTGCAGCTTAAGAAATCATTGAAGATGAAATTACAAAGTTATAACGTTTGAAAACATTAATATTTTTCACATGTTATTGCACATGAAGGCACTATATAATTTAAAAATCGAAAATAAATTGAAAAAATTTTCGACTCGGGCAGGACTTGAACCGGCATCGTCAGCTTTCCGTGCTGTTGCTCTACCAATTGAGCTACCGAGTCCTACACCTCATCGTCGAATTTTTTCAACTTATTGATACATGCACCTCTTGCGCAATGTAATTTCTACCTTAACACTTGCGTATTAAGGCTCAATGTCTTATGCTTTGCAGCTTAAGAAATCATTGAAGATGAAATTACAAAGTTATAACGTTTGAAAACATTAATATTTTTCACATGTTATTGCACATGAAGGCACTATATAATTTAAAAATCGAAAATAAATTGAAAAAATTTTCGACTCGGGCAGGACTTGAACCGGCATCGTCAGCTTTCCGTGCTGTTGCTCTACCAATTGAGCTACCGAGTCCTACACCTCATCGTCGAATTTTTTCAACTTATTGATACATGCACCTCTCGCGCAATGTAATTTCTACCTTAACACTTGCGTATTAAGGCTCAATGTCTTTTGCTTTGCTTAGTCGAAAATTTTTTCAATTTATTTTCGATTTTTAAATTATAGAGTAAGTTACCTTTTAAACAATATAATCTGTTACCGGCAAGAGTCTTCAAAAATCTCTTTGTCTCTATCTCACAAAGCCCTACAATCAACAAGGACGCAAAATGATCATTTGGTTTCAACTAATCTGAGAATGACTAATGATATCCTCGTACTGATTAAGATACAAACACAACATTGTGTAAAACACTTACACTTTTTTGTTATAGGTACACCCGAGATATAAGAGTATAGTAAGTATTTCTTAGTAAAATTAATAGGGATCATATAAGAAAAACAAAATATCTCCTAGCTTTGTAAACGTTAAGACAAAACTATAATGTGGCAACACAGCCAGTTGATACTAATACATAAAAATTTGATGGTGGGTGAAATGTCCCAGCCTTGGATATTCGGAAATCCACAGACTGAAATTGAAACGTGATTAAACTTCACGGATTTCTCATTTGTGGATGGTGGTTCGTGACCAGATTTCCAGAAGAACATGTTATACCTCTTATAACAATTTTGATGTGTACAGCTCCCGTTATTTCTGGGTCCGGTATGACACCCAGAACATCATTCAGCCAGGTTACGTGACAGAAGCCACTAAATCGCAAGCTCACCCCATATACAGCCCTGAAACAGGGGTGCATAACATTGGGTTCGTCGAATTAGACAGAGAAATTCAGTTTTCAGGTGGGTTCAATTAGATCCACGGTTTAAATTACTTATAGTGGATATGTAACGCCTTAAAGCTAAAACATCAAAGACTTAGTTTTATGCAAGCCCTCACTTAGGCAGTATAGATATTTTCAGCAGTAGGAACCATTATATTTTGTTGTTTCTATGTAATATTTTAGGGTTGAAGAAAATAATTTGGCTCGATAAGAATGATTATTTTACAGATAGAATCCAGCCACTTGGTCTAGCACCTAATGGTACACCAGCGCCATCGTCTGGAAAAGTTTGCGGTTATGGCGAGAAAGATGGAAGTAGGTATTATTATTACAATTATGTATAAATTAGTTTTTATAAAATCCCGTTCGCTTCACTTGAATGGTACCAGAAGATTTTTGTATATGTATATGTACTTGACATACAATACCAATGTACAGAACTTCACTTTGCAATATTTGTATTGAAAGTAATACGTTGCGATTCATTCATATATGTCAAAATAACGTATAGTAATGCTAATACGTTATTTTGACATATATCAGTACACTCTTAAATTGTGAATATTTATGTATTTCTTAAACAAAAACTATTAAGAAGCTTTGAAGAAACTTACATTTACGTTAGAGGAATGTACACATTTCCTGTATGTGATTCATGTAATTAGGGACTTAGTATAATAAAAGTATTTTTTTAAAGTAGTGATGCATAATTTTTATGGTACGATAGATACGGGCGAAGTCTTGCAGTGCATGGAAGTAACCGTCTCTGAGTACAATGGTTTTCTCGTCTCCAAAAGCGATGGAAAAACATCAAAGGTGCGATCTAATTTATCTTTCTTGTTTTTCGTCAACTAACCTTATATCGAATGTACTCTTTTGATAATGTAGTCACGCATAAGAGAAAGTTAAGCAGTTGAAAATATTGTTGAAAATCAAATTAATCCATCTCTCAGTATAATTTATCCATATACAATATTCAATACTGTCTGTAGTTTACGCTAATAGTACCCATTTAAATAAAACACTTTAGCGATATAAAAACGCGATATATCAAACTACGACCGGACGATTCGTCGTCCAGTCCGCTCGTAGTCAGTTTTCCTGTGACCACGGCTGCTGCAAAGCATCCGAAACGTCAGGTCTTAGTTAAAATAATCTCCAAATAAGTTTAACTAATATATTATGTCGCGTTTTAAACTGTTAAAGTGTTTGATTTAAATCCAATATTAAAATCTTCCATTTTACATAGCCACAATAAAATATATTAATATTAAGTAATTAAACGAAATTCAAATTGATTTTAGTATGACTTTGGAGCTGCTTTGGTTTCCGATAATATGGTGCACGGGATTCTTGTTCGTGAAGCTGATAGCACCTTTTCTGGAAGTAAGCAATAGTATACAACTATATTTTATATACAGATAATAAATTCTACATACCATATGTATGTAAAATGTATTATCTGGCTATTTATGTATCATGTTGATCTTGTCTACAGTCAAAGTACAGTATCACTACCGTATTTTGTCCTTTTAAGGAAACTGATTTTTTTTTTAAGTTTTCAATAATTGAATACCCCTATTTACACCATGGGCCCTTCCTAGCTATCTACAAAATCATATTTATTGATTGGTTTTAATCTCTTCTATCCATTTTAGTTTTCCTCGCAACTGCCAAATACGCGTCGTGGCTAGAGGAGGCAGTCGCACCCGGTGAGCCCCGATCAGGTGGTTCCTTTGCTGATAAAGAAGAAATTCTTGTGGGAGAGCCTGTTAATGTTGCTGAAGAAGTCTTTTAAGAGCAGATTTCTGATTAATAAAATAATTCGATTCTAATTCTAATGTTTTGTGCTTACAATTCCTTGTTTTATGAATATTATTTACGTATGGCGTAAAAAGGTAACAATCATAACAATTCTCACATTTTATTATAAGGATAATAATAGGATAAGATTGTATTAACGAGCTATTACGCTAAAACTATCATATAAGTAAGAAGTTGTGTGCTATAACAGCAATAATAAAATTTTTTTATTTAAGCGATATAGATTATTTGTATGGCTTTTATCACTGAAAAAATATTTTTTTATTATTAAATAGTGTCTATATTTTACGCGAGTAGTACACATTTAAATAAAACACTTGAACGGTTTAAAACGCGATATATTAGTTAAACTTATTTATATTAAAAAATCATTTTCAAATAAGTTTAACTAATATATCGCGTTTCAAACCGTTAGTGTTTTTTTTTTTTATTATTACTTATATTTTACGATTCGAACTCGGAAACCTCGTGATCTGCACTCGAGTGTAACCATAAGACACTAAGGCGCTCACTGAATAATAAATTTTACTAATCTATACAAATTACATTCTAAAAAATCAGGAAATTCCAAGTAAACCAAATCGGATCCATATGCTAATTATGATATATGTAGTTTTTAAGTCGTCAGATTATAGATATCAGTTATCAATTGCTTCCCTTGATAATTAATATAATCAGATTTTTATTGTATTTTACGTTAGTTGGTCAAAGACGGATCGAAGATGAAGGGTTTTATATTTGTGATATTGTGCGCCATAGCTGTGGTTAAGGTAAAAATAACCTACTTAAAATATTTACAATGATAGACTAAGAAACTAGGTAATATAGTCTAAATCCTTTATCAGGCTCATATCATAATCAAAAATTCATAACGCATTATATTAAATTTGTATAAAAATCAATTATACAATTTTCTTTGTAAGGTTTTGCGGGTTTGTAAGTAATAATACATATCTATAAAGCTGAAGAGTTGTTTTTTTGTTTCAACGTGCTAATCTCAGGAAGGTTCGAATTGAAAAAATATTTATGTTAGAACATTTATCGAGGTAGGCTTTAGGTTATAAAACGTGCTGTGACTAATAGGAACGAAGAAAAGGGGGGAATGGTAAAAACGAGGAAAATTATTCGTCTTTGTTGGTTTCCGATGCGTAAGTTGTGAAAACGGTTCAAGATACACAAAAAATATGTGTGAGAGAATGGTTCTTCTTTTAATTATCAAAAAAAAAAAAATGTCCGCGACAGTATATGTTTATCTCTTAAGATGAACTTGCAAGAACGACGGAAAAGGAACGACGGGTCGCAAGCGACGGGACTAAGGTTAGGACAGTTTGCAAAAACAACTTTGGAATCTCAAATAACCTATTTTACGCGGACGAAGTCGCTGACTCAGCTAGTATATGATAATAAGGAAAATATTTTAATATATTACATCTAAAACTAATCATAATAGTTTGAAATGAAACTACTTCGTTTCATAAAGGAAAATAGAAGTAAAAATGTAATTTAGGTCTAATCTAATCTTACCCATTCATCACGACTTAATCCGCGCCCACATAATCTTATCCTAATGCCTTAATTACAACTTAATTAGCTCCTGTTTTACGCAAATATTATTCAAACATCACTTTATACATATTCATTACGAATAAAGGGATAGTAATCTTATTTATAAGATATAACTAAATTTTGCAGAAACTTTTTTAAGTAGATATCAATCTAAGATTTCGTTCCTACTATAATAAGGTCGGCCCTTGTTAATACGAGACTATATAATATTCTCTATATTAAAATGGCATAAAAGACCATAATTAGGGTAACGAAAAAAATTTTTTTTGACTAATGACAGACAGAGAAAACCCCTGTCGGGTTATGAAGGCGGGAGGTTCACTCGATAGACGGTAAAATGCTTCACTTCGAGATGCGATGCACAGTAAACACATTTTTGTGTTAATAAAATTTGAAACCTATTTAAACGACATAATAGGTCTTATCGCTATAATTAAAAATATAAAAATAATAAAATATCTTTTTTACGGAAAACATAAATATCCATAAAACATTTATATTATTGAATTTATCCTAAATTATTATTATATTGTTACAGGGACGGAGTTTTTCAGGTAATTATTTCATTTTTACTAACAATGGCAATAAGGTTAAATTAATAAATAGCTTAGATAAAATAGATATAGAAAAGTCTGGCATCGGTATACACACAATGCGTGAATTATTTCCCCCCCTGAATGTATAGCTCAAGACGAGGCAGTAAGCGTACCATGGCTGGTCCACCTCCGTCTTGCACGTTTTTCCGGGAATGGTCGTCTGGATTCTTGCGTAGGAACCATATACAATAACAGATACGTTCTCACTGCTGCTAGCTGCTTGACCGAGTAAGTGTTTTCAAATACAAAACTTTTTATTGCCCTTTTAACACAGTAAACTTATAATAGTTAAATAGATAAGAAATGGCAATCGGTACCACTCTCAGCTGTGCTGCTGAATGCTTGTCACACTCGGCAGCTCTCGTTTTCAGACTGGTCCGGGTATAGTAGAAGAAGAGTGAAGTGTATAACTGGATTTTATGTAATAAACTTTAAAACCATAACATACACTCATATTTTGTTTAATCATACTCTTTCGTTATAAGACTGAATTAGACATCTGCCTAAGGAAGTCCAGTTTTACAAGCTTCTTGAAAGTGATATACGCTCTTAGAACCAGTACTAGGAGGCGGAGGCAGGTCGTTCCAGATTTTTAATCTTACCGCAACAAAAAATCCGGAGATTATAGACACAATTTTTAAAAAAAAGGTTTAGGATAATGTCTCTTATAGAGAGTAACTCATATTGATTTGAGATTAAAATCATTTAGATCATTTTTTTTATTGTAATTTTACACAAACTAATAATAGAAGCCGTAGCAACTTCTTTAAAATTATGTATGTTAGTTTAGGCGGTGAATTCATTTTGAAAACAAATAGATAATTTAAAAATCTAAAATAAATTCAAAAAATGTTCGACTCGAGCAGGACTTGAACCTACATCATCAGCGTTCCGTGCTGTTGCTTTACCAATTGAACTACCGAGTTTTTTCAATTTATTTCCGATTTTTAAATTGTATAGTACCTTATTATTTTTTTCATTTAACATGTAAAAAATAATAAAGTTTTCAAATGTATATTATATTTTTACAGGTTTACTCAAGGTTCCAGTACCGAGTAAGTATATCACACCTCCTGTAGTAAATACGATACTTTTGTCTATATAACATTTTTGTAGAAACTGAAAAAGTAATTTTGTCAATCCTCAGCTAAAATCTAGCAATCGAATATACATACTTCAAAGGAAATTTTGTGAAATCAAACACACTTTGTAGAATTTTTCAATCTATACATGCACCTCTCGCAAACTGTAATTTCAACCTTAAACGTTTTATGATTACAATCTTATGCTTTGCAGCTTATGACAATCTTTAAAGATGAAATTACAATACGTTTGAAAAGTTCTAAAAAGTTCTTTCTTCTAAATTAAAAATCGATTTTAGATTTAAAAAAAGAAAAGCCATCATGTGCAAAATCACGATGAAAGTTTTCAATCACACTAATTGCAAAAAACAAAAATATGAAAAAAAGCTATCTAGTACGTTTTTATCAGATATATAATTTAAAACGAAATGTCCTCAGCACCCGCTACTTCTGGATCCGCTATGACGCGCAGAACGTGTTCCGGCCAGGCTTTGTGACTGAGACCAGCAAAGTTAAGATTCATCCTGACTACAATCCTCGCACTGGAGAGAACAATATCGGTTTAGTCGATCTCGACAGGGAAATCCAGTTCACAGGTTAGCCTCAAGTCTCTTTAGGATTGATAATTCTCCTACTTACTTTATATTAAATAGTTAGTACAAATATCGTAATTCCGTCTTGTTCTCGAACTACCCTCCACTGGTGCAGCAGTGAGAGTCAATTGTGTTTCGGTTTACTCTGTCATTTCCCAAAGTCAAAATAGGTCGATAACGCATATTGTCTAGATATTGTGTGCTTGGGGCTTTTCGCTTCCCCTTTTTTTTTTTTCCTCCCCCCCCCTTTTAAATTAATTTTTAAAAAAAAAAAAAAAAAAAAAAAAAAAAAAAAGTTTTATCCCTAACTATAAATAATGGTATCATGTTATTTAATTGCTTCGAATTTACAAGAGGGTTAGAAAAGTACATAGAAGGAATTAAAATCCTCTCTTATTATTTTTGTTGAGTTTTGGCGCATCCACTCTCTTACAAGTTCTTCCAAAACAATTTATTTATCTAAATATCATCATCATCAAGTGTGTAGTATACTTAAAAACATACCTCATTATTAATTGTAAGGATCGCTTTAACAATAACAACGAAACGGAAAGAAAACGCAAAGTTGAATCGAAGACCTACGCGACAACTTTGTGCACGGTGCACAAAGTGTGTGGGTATCGTGAATAATCACCCAGATAATTTCATAAGTGATCTCTCATTTAATTTAGAAGTAGAACTTAGAAATCCGAGAGGAGAGGAAGGTAATTTAATTAAAATGTTAAATACACCGCGATGTTAAACACGTAATACAATATACCGGAATTGTGATATTACTCGGAATCAGGTTATTAAATTACTTTCGTGGAATACCCACAGTTTGCGTCGCCAATTACTCGAAACCTCTAGAGTACTTCATAATATTCGGTTACGATTTGTAACTTTTGGAGTTTCGTTAATTGTAGGCAATTAAGACGACTTTACTTCGGAACAAAGTTATTAGTTAATATTCGATCAGATCAAACAAAATCGACTGATGTCAAAGTCACGTCTAAGTTAAATATGTATGTGAATTAATTTTGGTTATTGACAATACGACATAGTCAAATAAAGAATAAAAAACGAACAAATAAATAATAAAAAGAATCTATACGCTGTTGTCATGAAAACAACAATGGATTATGTATGTAAGAACAATCATTATCTTTAATTAAATTAATTAATGGCATTACATTTTAAAATAATTTAATATATGTACTTTTAAACAAAAAAAAAATTGGTTTAATTAAAAACTTGCGAAAACTGCAATCAATACTTATCCCAATTTTGAACAATATAGTTAAAGAGTAAAGTCATATGAAATTAACATAAATTTTAAATACGTTAAACGCCACTTGCGTTTTTGCGAAGTAGTTAAAAAAAAACAACAATGAATCGTTAAAGTAAAGGGTGCAGTTCGGATTTTAACGTATGGAATTTCGTGTTTAAATACGCAAAGAACAAAATGAAAATTGGATTGAAGGAGTATCTACTTTGAAGAGAGCAAGTTGGAAGTTTGAGAGGGCTGTAATTAATAAAGCGGACATCTCTTGGGCTCGTTTTAATTGCCGCGGAATGCTTTTATAGTAAGTTTGTTGTAAAAATAGTGTTTCCAACTTCTACATTTTCTTAGGACCAAGTAATGAACTCTATTCTATTTGTATACTAGTTTTAACTTCAGATTGTCTCTACTCTCTAACATGAAGTACTTTTGTCAGAGCAAGTGGAGATTAAAATGTGGGGAGTATAGGAGATAAAATTACTTAATATGTTGAAATGCATAAATTGTTATACCTCAAATTTAGAAAAATTATGTATCTAAAATGACCAGTGATCCTGACTTCCACCTATAAATGTTCTTGTAGACAAAGCACTGGTCAAAGAGAAAATAATAACGAGGAAGAACGGCGATGTATTAGGTGTTATTCTCAAAGGAACAGTGTAGTACTAGATATCATTCTTAGCTAGATTGCTAGATAGAAAAATACTTAATTATAATATATAATGAAGTCTGTTTCCTTTTCAGACAAAATCCAGCCCCTAGCTGTAGCATCGAGTGATGTGGCATTACCAGAATCTGGTAAAGTTTGCGGTTACGGCGAGAAAGACGGAAGTAAGTAATATTTAATGCTAGGTTGCATTTAACAATGATATGATTATGTAATGTGCAAAGTTCTCTTGTCTTCCAAAAAACGGTTTTTGAGTAAAAAAACAATTAGATGAAGTACTAGAAAATAATAGTATAGAGAGTTAGTATAGGACATACATTTGTGAATTTACTCAGAAATATTAACCATCCTTTGATAGAATGGTAGCTGATAAGTCATCATCAGAATTAATAATATTTAACATTTCAGATCCTGGTGAAGACCTACAGTGCGTGGACGCACGCGTTTATAAATACGACGGACTTATTGCCGCCTTCAGCGATGGAAAAGCAACAAAGGTTTGTTCAATTGATCATGACTGTGTTCCTATATATCGTTCCAAACTGGGCCACTTGTGTGTAGGTTGGAGGTTTGAGAATTAGTAATAAATTACCTTTAGTAATTAAAAGAGTATATAAAAATATCTTTCAAAACATAATTTCAATAGAAATTCTATAATGGAATTTGTGAACTGTTTACAGTACGACATCGGAGCTGCTTTGGTAGCAGACAACAAGGTACACGGAATTCTGATCCGTGAGGCTGACGAGATCTTTGCTGGAAGTATGTTATATAATAAGATATCGTTAAGTAACAAGATCCTGCAGTTATATTAGTTTTATATAATTGCCGCCATACACGATGTTCACATACCTTTTTAGGCTTTCTGTACGCAACAGTAACTCAATTTTCTCCAGCTTCTGAATTTATTTATTTACATCAATAGTGTTTCTATATCCCTTTATTATATAAAAAAGGAGATGATATATCATATATATCTTCTTCTCAGCTAGAGCTCTTTTTTGTTCTAATAGAAGATGTAATGCCTCATAATTTAATACTATCTATCGTATCGATATATTTTTTCCATTTTTTTGCAGCTTTCCTCCCAACATCCCAGTACATCAAATGGCTAGAAGAGGCTACGTCACCTAGTGATCCCAAAGCTGATGACGGCTCCTTTGATGATGCAGAGGAGATCCTCGTTGTAGAGCCCGTCAATATCGGTTCACCCGACTTGTTCGTAGGAGATTTCTAATTTTGTATATTCATGTGTAGGGAAACTTAATAACTGTTACGTAACTAAATACAACTTTACTTCTAAAAAAAGTTTTTTGTTTTTTTCATTCGATACACGTTGTATTAGAATGAACATGCCTGTTGCTTATTATATAACTATTACTTTAAATACTGTTTGTAGTTTACGCGAGTAGAAAACATTTGAATAAAATACTTTAACAGTTTAAATGCGATATATTTAATTAAACGTATTTTAAAATTATTTTAACTACAACACGACGCTTCGTCTCCCCGTGACCACGGCTGCTGCAAAGCATTCGAAACGTCCGGCCGTAGTTACAATGATTTTCAAATATGATTACTAATATATATCGCGTTTTAGACCGTTAAAGTGTTGTACTTCAATTTAATACGATTTATTAATTGAAAAAAAAATCTTAAAGCGTTACCTCAAAATACTATTAATTATTTGTCGTCATATGAATTGTATAATAACGATATATAATAATAGTTGTAAATAATTTGCATACACATTAACCGGTGCGATATGTCTGCGCTCGATTCATTGACTCTTGAGGCTTTCGTAACAGCTCCGAGCGGCAGTGGGTCAACGCTTTCAAGTTTATCTGCCATAGATTTAGTTTAAGAGCCGAATAATTTCATAATAAATAATTACCATAACATTATTATAGTATTTTTTAATGACAGCTATATTATTCACAATACTTACCACAAAAGAAAAATTACAAGAGAAAAATATGGTCTACCTTTTCATTTCTTGGGGAACTTAAGACCCAAAAAAATCAAAATATATCGATGTCGAATAATAAATTGTAATGTCAAAATTAAACTGTGATTTCGCATGTCATCTGTGCAAAATAGTTTAAAAGCAAAATTATAACTTTTATATTTGTGTGTAGGTTTGTAATGAAGAAAACTCAGGAACTACTGTGCCTATTTTTAAAATCTTTCAACATTAGAAAGCTACATTCACGCCGAGTAACATATTTATTGCTAGATGAGATAAGATAGCCTGACTATTTTTTATAATATGAAATATTCATAATTAAGAATGGATATGATAAAAGTTCATACAGTATTGCTATGAAAAGTCTCAATTCTTCTATTAACAGTTTCGGCTCTCGAACTACAATAATTGTATAACATTTTAGTTCTGATACATTTATTTTTTTATACAGTCTGCAATTGAATAAAATTATGTTTTCATAAACAGTTAAGTTATACCTTATACAGTTGCTTAAACTTAAGCGGGGCTCCGTGTTGTCTCTATTTATTGAATAGAATTAGAAAGAGACACAGTGTGTCAACATTGTCGTACACGTTAGGTCGTTTCGAAATCAAAGTTATTGCAAGATGTAATAGAACTGAAACCTGTTTAATGGGAAATCCATATAGAATAAGCAAGGATTGAGTAACTTCAGAAATTGTTCCAATAAATTATTTAAATAAAATTCGCAATATCGAGAAATGCAATAGTTTCGCCGTAGTTGGGTAAAAACATTACCCTTCTTTACAGCTGGGCAACTGGGTCTGTTAACATTATGTCGTCTACGCTTTTATTGGAAGCGAAAGTGGTAGTAGACCTTGAACATAAAAATATTTTACTTATGTAAGTTTGCCTATAGAATTAAGTGAGTCGAAATGATGCAACCAGGTTATAAGCTGAATTTATGATACAGAATTCCAGAAGACTTATTTTTAGAAACCGGACATAGTTAGAAATTTCGGTGAAGACCATATCTTATGATATCTTCATTTTTTAATTGTGTAACAAGTAAGTGAGGACTTTGTTATATAGAGATGTTTTGAATTGGAAAGTTCACGTTAATGAATGATATTTGTTTGGTAATATTATAAATAATATTGTACTTTAATAAAAGTGTTAGCAAACAAGAAAAACGTCTTGCGAAGGACTAACTATGAACCACCAAAAGTATTTTTTTAATACGTGATGACATATGACACCTGAATAAAAATTATGTAGAATATTAAACGATACGAATTGTAAATTAAAATATATTCAAAAATCGTTAAGAGGAAAAGAAAAAAAAGGTGGTTTTATAGAAAAGACATTTCCTTTCAATAAGGAGTATAAGCGCGTAATTTTCTCATTTCCGCGCAAGTTAAAAACACTTACGTAATTCTAGAACAATTGTGTGATTCCAATCCTATTACCATTTCGGTACGAACATCGTGAGAAGTTCTTCATCGTTGCGTTACTCTTAGAAAAACATTTCACGCGTATGACACACTTTTGAGATTACATCGGCTACAAATTGATATTTATACGTCAACACCTCAAGTTAACCAACTAAGGATAAGAAGAATTATGATTAGATTTATATGAGCCCAAACATTGTTTAAAATTCATAAAAGATAAGAAATAATGGAAAGAGGAACAATAAATTAACATTAAAATATTTCGATGTTACTTTCCCTAATAGTTTCCTTTTTCTCAATATAAATTTTCAGTATTTTCTGTAAGTAAAATATATATTTTATTAAATCTAATTGACATAGAATGGGAGACTTTCATTCTTTCTATTTTCTTTGCGGTTTTATTTGATTGATTTGGAACCAAACCTTCAAATTAGCATAGAGATCCGAGACAGCTTACTTAAACATAGATTCTTGTTAACATTTAAACTTTCGTGTCTTAAACTATCTATAAAATTAGGATAAGGTTGTGTAGAAAAGGTTAGGATTACCTAACCTTTTAACCTTTTTACGCGTAGTTAAAAGTATGTTTTATGCGTACACTGTGAAATTGAAATCACGTACTCTACACGATATTTCTTTACAATATAAGATGTTTCGGCCTACAATTCAAAAGTAAGGTAACAAAAAGTTCGTAAAAACCACAATTCAGCACTAATTAATATTGATTTCAAGTTGTCGAAGGGCCTACAAAATCGCAGATTTCGTTAAGAAGCGTTGCGTATGAACTTTCTCTATTACAGCATCGCTAGTGCGCGATCTTTTGTTTGTTCATTTGGACGCGGCGCGCGCGCAGGTCATATTGCGATTTAAATTTTTAGGTCTTGCAAGTACGCTCGTAAAATTAATGCATTTGTACTCTTTTAAATTTCAATTATAATCATAAAATAAGGAATAAGCACATATGATTTATAAAATGGTGAAGTAAAGAAAACAGAGATCATAGATGTGCCAAAATGTTTCGATTGAAAAAAATTTCAACTGTGATAATAATTGTGACGTTATTGATACAAAATTGTTCTGTAAAAAGTGATTTGTTGTGGTACATTTTGACGTGTGTTGCGACAATAAGGTTGATCTTACACTTGGTGACGTATGATTATGATTACTGGGAGCGACGGGGTATATTTTCACCCCCAGCTTCGCCTGTGGTCGGGCATATAGCCTCGGTGGCTGCTTTGAAGGAGCAAGGTGGTATGTGCTTTAAAAGGATTTATGATGAGCACAAAGATAAACGCTTTTTGGGTAAGTAGCATATAACAACTAACTATATACAATACTTCGAAATGAATAGATCAAGTAGTTAGTTATAAAATGATTTAAGTTTTCGTTTTAGGTAAAAATTAAATTCCAATTTCTTCAAACAACTCAGGGTAACAAGTAAATTCATATTTTTACTGACGTATTCTTACACATTTGGAAAACGTAGTAGACACAACAATATAAATATACGAATTTATTGTAATCAATCGCGTGTTATTGAAGTAGGTTATTCTAATCTAAACTATAGCCTGTGGTAGATATTAATTAAAGTATTTAATGGAAGGAAAATAGGAGTAATTACAGTTCGAAGGTTCATTGGCTAGTGATTATCCAGTTATGTCGGCTTACGTAGATGAAGGATGCTCGTACAAATGTAGGCCGGTGTTATTATGTAAACGTGGATTTTATGTATTCAGGAATTTAACGTTATTTTTCTAAACAAAAAAAATGTGACGGTTTAAAACACTATATATATTAGTTAAACTTATTTGAAAATCATTTTAACTATGGCCCGATGCTTTGCAGCAGCTGAAATATATACTAAGTAATACGAAACACGACTAAGCTATACGGATTTTTCATCTTTGAACGCTAATTTGTAACCAAAAATGGATCCTCTAAGATAATAGACAAAAATAAAACCTTCCAGGTACACATCAGTTCTTTCAAAGAACGCTGGTTGTCTGCGATCCTGACCTCATCAAACGAATGTGCGTCAACGATTTCCAACATTTCACTGATCGAGGTTTCTTCTTTAACAAGGACACGGATCCTCTAGCCGAGTCTGTACTCTTCTTACGGGGCAGCGAGTGGAAGAGGCTGCGATCAAAAATATCACCTATTTTCTCGTGAGTAACATAACATCAATTATCGGAAATGCTTGGTGTATGAATCGATATATCAAAGTATTTGTGGCAAAAGCCAATGATTCAGTTGTATTTATTAAATTATAACACATTAGAATTTTTGCTAAGTTATACTAATCAGTAAGAATGCAAATTCTTCAGTCATTTGTCGCTCGTTTTACCGTCAAATAATTCACTAATTACCCTCTTAAAAATGAACCCCTCTTCTAACCCACTTACAACTTCAAATTTAATTCTTATACATATAGAGGACTTTTTTATATGTATTATTATATGTTACAGACCAAATAAACTGCGAGGTATGTTTCCGATATTAGAGAATACGGCTAATGAATTTGTTCTACGCGTCAAGAAGCGGGCGATGCGTGACAATCTTAATGTAGACAATCATAAGGAAAATCATAGTTTGAATAATCCAGATGATAAATTTAGCAACATCACAAAACTACAGACAGAAACTGATGCAAATAATAATGATGCTCAATCATTTAATGGAAAGTTGAATGCAAATAATAATAGAGAATCAGAAACAAAACTTTATGCTAATAAAGATAGTATAGCTATTGACAACTCAGTAGAGTTAGACGCCGAAAAATTAGTAGGTGGTTATACAGCTGATGCAATAGTGCCGTGCGCGTTCGGTCTTAAAAGCAATGTGATGGACAATCCACAAGATCCCTTTGCAGTAGCTCTTCATGCCTTTTATGAGATGAGCTGGTTTAATATATTTGAAAAGTAAGTCAATGATTATTCAAAATAATTAATTAAACAGAAGCTCTTTAGAGATAGGACAATATTTGATATAAGATATTCAGTATTTTGATATTGTTTTTAATATAGATAATACAGTTACAGTAGACATTTTTTCATATAATTCTTGAATTTTTTCAGAACCATGCGTCAATTCTGGCCAGCTTTTGTGTTGTTTTTCAAAATACGTATAATACCGAAGAAGACTCACGATTTCTTTTACAATATTGTGACGAAAGTACTCAAAGATAGATCCACAAGAGTTCAAGAAAAGAGAGGAGACTTTATAGACATGATGATGGCGCTTCAGAGCGAAGATAAGGTTGACGAAGAGAATGATTACAATATAAGTAAGTCAAAAAGCTAGTTTAATGTGTAGATAAAAGAAACGGCATACTGGTGTTCTAACTAGAATTTCAGATCCCCTAGGTGGTACGCAATTCGTACTTTTATAATACAAAATACTTAAGACAAAGCTAATGTCGGTATAATTTAATGCGTTTTTTTATGATAAAGGAAAACATACAAGCACGGACCTACTTGATGGTGAAATAACACCGCCATACAACATCTAAACAAGATGTGCTGTCGATCTACTTTCGCTTTGGAAAATTGGAAAATTACAGACTAAAACCGAAACGCGTTTAAACTTCGCGGCTTTTTCTGTAAAGAAATGTTTGCATAATAATTATAAATTGATTAGAAAAATATTGGACCTGGTGGGGCTCGAACAAACGAGCTTGTCGAATACATACATTGTTGTAATAATAATTAGTGACATCTAAAGCGAATTTTAAGTTGGGGCATATTCTGTGACAAAATTTTAATTTATTTGCTAAGAATAGAGTGAAGGAAAGCATCACCGTACAATAATGGTCTTGTTATTTCCATATCCTTTCATATTCAAGGAGAATTTTGGAATATCTTGCGAATACCACGGCTTATTGTTTCCGAGAACTGCTTAAATGTGTCTGTATAATGCAAAAATTGGCATTGCCTTGTATGTTGATGATAGAAAGGTTTTAAAAGAAGGCTCAGTTAGTGTCGTTAATGAGAAATAGTAATTATAGTGTCTCTTCGCATCTTTAGCAGTATTATGTTACTCTAGTCAGTAATTGTAAAACGTGACAAAATTTTGCATTTTTAATAACGTATGTTTGTGTCACGGATCACTATTAAATATTATAATCAGCCGTATATGATGACATACACGTGTTACGTAACGAAACACAAAACAAGGTAGAAAATGTTCGTTTTATAACATAAAATTTACTGGATCTACACCTTTCATATTTCTTTGTATATTACACTAAACGCAAAACAAGTTTTCTTTTTTAACTCGGCACAACATTTAATTATCAAAGCTATACGGAAATTCAAAATTATGTTGTTGTATTGATTTTTGTCCAATTTTAAATAATTATTTTTATAGACGAGAAGGAGTTATACCACATTGTGGTTCTATTGTTTTTTATATAAAACGTATTTAAAAAATCTCGTAATTAAAACAGTTTAGAAACTAAAGCTAAAAACTAAGAGACGAAATGTAATAAATACTAACATTTTAAGTAATTCCTTATTATCTACATATTTCTTGTGTTAATGTTTTTAGACTCTGAACTCTCCAAAACACGCTAGACCTTTCTATAATCTACAGTTTAACTAAACTATTCATGGAATTTTAGGTAATTTTCGTCGCCCGGGTCTTGTTAGAACAGGATTACTGAGTATAATCGAGTAAAACATTCTATTTCACGGCTAAATACATTAGTCTACCTCAGACTGTAATAATAATTGCTAAATAATGTATGCAGGCGCTTGAGACAAACGATAATTTTTTTATTTCCTAATAACAAAATCCATCTTTAAATGTGTATAAATTTATAAAACTTTGGATTGTTTATTTAAGATTAATAAACGAAATAAATCTAACAACGAATTATTTTGCAAATTAATGCAATATGTAAATAAATGCAACGAAATATGTTGTTTTTAATAATATAGTTTAACGGTTTAAGACGCGATATATATTAGTTAGACTTATTTGAAAATTATTTTAACTACGGCCCGACGTTTCGGATGCTTTGTAGCAGCCGTGGTCCCGGGGAGACTGTCTCCCAGTTCAAGTTTTATTTATTGATTAGTTATATATTGTTACAGCGGATATGATAATATCAGCAAACGCATTTATTATATTCTTGGGTGGATTTGAGACAACATCTTCTACTCTGGCTTTTCTGTTTCTCGAATTATCCGCTCACCCACAAGTACAAGAGAAAATGAGAACAGAGATTAGAGAAGTGTTAGAGAAGAATGGTGGGGAGTTGACGTATGAAGCATTACAGGACTTGACTTATATGGAAATGGTTATACAAGGCAAGAAAGTTTCATTAATTCAGTGTTAATAAGAGACAGTTAAGGCGTTTTGGGAAGAAAACTTCTACACTATTCCTTTTGTATTGATTCTTTAAATATATTATTATTGAATCGTTATTTTTAAAGGAATCCTAAATTTTTCAACATAAGGCATCCTAAGTTTTTCAACATAATTAAACACAGTTCACATAGCAAATAGATATCGCTTTCTAATATTATAAAAAATACGTAAAACTTAAAAAAAACATTTAAACATACCTATATCGGCCTGTTTTCTTGAAATGATTATCAAAAACAATAAATATGACGTAACGTTCGTTCAAAAAAACAAATAATTCGATTTTATGAACAAAATAAACGGGTAGTTCCTGTCAGGTCGACAAATCTTTCCACAAAAAATATACATTATTCATAACATTTGGAATTATTGTTTTTTTCAGAAACTCTACGCTTGTACCCACCATTTCCAACGATACAGCGCATGTGCACCAACGACTACACGATACCAGACACTAGCGCCGTGGTCGAAAAGGGAACTATTGTTTTGTTTCCAACTTTAGGCGTGCAAAGGGACGAACAGGTAAACCTAGTAATATGTATATGTATACACATATACAACAAATAAACTGTATGCATTTTCTAGTTGGAAGTACAATAAAAAAAAAACTGACCTTGTTAGTAATTTGGAAAGTATACCAATATATGTAGAGAATAAAGTTATTTTAAATTTTAGGAGCTTATTGAACAATATTTTGTTAACAATAAAGAGTGGTTAATATTCATTGGATAGGTTTGGTTTGGATCGTAGTGTGTATTACACACAACATATATATTTTTTTAATGATAGAAGAGACAGACAAGCATGTTAACGACCTATTGCGGGATATTTGGGGAATAAATGGTGTTTATTAAGTTATATTTGACTAATTAAAAGCGTTTTAGAATGTATCATTAAAATATGTAATTCCAGTTACTAATTAGTTAAATTAGTCATTAACTTTAATATGATTAAAATACATTAATAGTTAATTGATCTATTTATTTGATTTACTTTGTTGCTTCATTTGTTATGGTTGTGTCTTTTTGCAAATGCATATAACTAATTTTGATCTAACGATAACTTTGTATGCTACCAAACTATCTGGGTCACAAAACATTATGGTACATATAAGTTACATTTTTCATCATTCAGCGTTCATTTTTTTTACTACAGTATTTCGAGGGTGCGTCTCAATTTATCCCAGAACGATGGTCAGAAACAAGTTCACTACCACGACCAGGGGTCTACATGCCATTTGGGGACGGACCACGGTATTGTATTGGTAAGCATATACATATAATAATAGAAGAAAGTATTTTACTAAACAATGGGATCAGAAAAGGGACATCTTATTTTCGCGATGGTGACATATTAATAAAAAATATAAGAAAATACCTTCATGGGACTTTTTGTATCTTAAATAAAAATTTAACAAATATGGAATAAACGAGACATACAGGCTTAGAATCCATAACGTACACATATATACATTTAGGCACGCTACGTCATAATCAATCGAATGAATTTGAGTCCTGCATATCGAGAATTGCATTCAAACTATTACGAATGCGGTGAATTGTCCATGACAAGTGAAAAGCTGCTAAATTATATAGTACTTTTGTAAATACATGCTTTAGTCTTGAAAAACACTTATTAATTTAATCGGACATTTACTTACTCCTTTTTAATGTAAACAGTACATATGCTTATCTTTAAGAAGCTCAAAATGTCGTATTAGGTTTAAAAATCTAGGTGACTTGCATTGAACGATTTTACCCTTATGATTAATCAGATACGATTGAATTTGCTTTGCACTGCTCATTCTGCTGTGTCGTGTAAAATTACTGCAGATTCATTTATAACAAAGTCTCAAATTCTTTATAAACAAATAGGAAACATGATATTGTATGCATACATCTATACTAATATATAAAGCTGAAGAGTTTGTTTGTTTGAACACGTGTTACGCAGCAGCGACAAAAACACTTTTAAAAAGAAATTATTTATTAAGATATTGACTAAACTAGGATACAATGTATATGGAACGAGATTTGAAGTAAACATGAATATGGTTGGGACAAGGAACAGGATTTTATATGGTTGGAGTGTGGGAAATCAACAAAGTCATTAACTAATCATGAACCAAGTTAAACAATGTTATTTATGAGATATTGAAAAGTATGGTTTATGAGCTATTGAAAAGTAAACATGGATTTTGGAGTGTGAGAAATGGTATCAACAAAGTCATTAAGTAATCATGAACTAAGTTAAACAATGTTATTTATGAGATGTTGAAAAGTAAACATGAAAAGGTAATTATATAATAATAAAGGTAAATAATGTAACGATATAATAATATAGAGTTTTGGATTATGTAACACGCGCTAATCTCAGGTACTACGGGTTCGAATTGAAAAATTCTACTTGTGTTGGTTAGATAATTTATCGAGGAAAGCTATAGGATAAACATCGCGCTCTGACTTATAGAAGCGAAGATACAGCGGGAAATGTGAACAAAACGGGAGAAAGTCTTTATCTCTGTGGGTTTTAGATACGTACGCTGCGAAAACAGTTCTAGATATCTGAAAAATGTGTAAGACAGAATGATTCCTCTTTAAATTATCTAAAAAAAAATCGGCGACGCTATATATCTATCTTTTACGTTAACTTGTAAGAACAACGGGAAGAGACGCCGTCGACGTCGTGGCTAATAGCTTAAGTTTATAAAGATGATGGGGCTTGAAAAAACTAATTTGGATGCCCAAAATAATGATTCTCGCGGACGAAGTCGCTGGCATAGCTAGTTATTAATAAGTGCAAAGAAGTTAATATGGTTCCACGTGGTCCCCTAGGTACTACTACTACTCGAAAATATTATCTTTTGGAATATACTTTATTGTCGTACGTTTTTGTGTTTATAAGGGGTATGAGGCAGATACGTTTCAGTGTCGGTCAGAAAAACCTTAGATCGATACCTACGATTGTTTTTATACGTTTTAGTGGACATGTGAACAACCTTTTCGATAAGAGCAACGCGTACAATTTCTAAATTTTTAGGCGAACCAACATTTCATTCTAGGAATTCAAATTCAAGCATTTAGTAGTTTAAAAAAAGCTACAATAATGCAGCACTATTTAAAAAAAATTGAAAGGTGATTTCACACATATTCTATGCAAATCGGTAGTGGCCGTGAAAATATTTTACAATTTATTATATTATACTATAATCTGTAAATTCTAATGAATTGCTTATTCTTTTGCATTTTTAATAGTATAGTATATTATAATGTTGTTTTGTGCCCCTCTAATCACCTCCAGCACCTCACCGAGTCCTGGTTGCCTATTTTAGTGTATTCTAAAGATTAATTATTTTTACAGGTAAGAGGTTTGCGATCATTCAAATGAAATGTTGTCTAGCAAGGTTGTTACCACACATCAACATTAGGCCTATAGAAGGCCAAAAAAGGTTGGGACCCTTCAAGGCTGATCCTTTTTGCCAAATGACTCTACATCCAGCTGACTCCAGAGTTATTATCAGTTTGTTATGACGTAATTATAATTATAAACATGCTAAGTAGTACTTGACCTCATGTACTGATGGTGCCGTATCAGATATTGAATAAAAATATTTTAGTCGATGAAAAGAAGGTTTCATCACATTATTTTTCATCTTCATTGTCGTGGCATTCTAAAAACAAATGTTTTTGACTAGTGTCATGGATTCATAGCAATTTTCAGACATAAAATATTTTTTTAATTTCTAAAACCACTTTAAAATCAAAAGCAGTGAGTATAGACTATAGAGTATAGGCGTATCCACAGATAACGTTTAATAGTTATAGACAATAACATTAGGTGAAATGCAATATTGTATTTGATGTTTACCAAATAAATAGTTACTTTTAAATACGTGTTTTATTATTATTTATTTAATTAAAAGACAAATATAAGACGTACACGTATATAAATTTAAGACTATTATCGGTTTTAAAATGGTGTCAATTTACATTTTTTTACTACTTTCCGAGTCCAAAACTGTTGTTAAAGAACTAAAACGTTCTTGGTCATACAGTAACCGTCCCCGGGGTTTTGGGGTGATAATTGAAAAGGAACTTCTTTATCTTACTGGTTAACTTCAAATTCTAATGTATTCTATCTCTATCTATATTTAAATTGCCTAGTCGTAGATAAATGCAATTTCAATATTATTTTGACCATTTACATTTATTTTAGAACGAACCCATTAACATTTGTGTAAACACACTAAACAGTCTTAAAGGTTGAGCAGCCCTGCATATAAATAAGAGTAAGCAATGACTTATTGTTTGCTAAGCATTTGTTTATAAGTAACCATAAAACCCTTATTCGGCCAGTTGTGCTTGACTTGACAAGTGATACGCTGTCGTACGAGTTGGTGCTTCAGAAAGGAATTATATAAGCAAGATATCTAGGTATGTTTTAAATTAGAATTTGATAAAAGTATATTTGATCGTGGTTAATAAAACGAAACTAGTTGTGACAGCGACTTGTAGAATAGTTATTTTGGGCGTTAAAATTTGTTTTTGCAACCCTCCTCATCCTTGCAAACTATATATCTTTATAAACCCACGACGTCGCTCGCGTCCCGTTATTCTTGAAAGGTAATCTTAAAATATGTACTGTCATGGACATTTTGAAGATCATTTTTTCACATACATTTTTGTCTATGTTGAACCGTTTTCGCATTGCATGTAATGAAAACTCTCATAGATAAATAATTTCCCCCGTTTCTTCCACATTTCGCACTGTCTCTAACGCAAAAGAAAATCAATTCGAACCAATAGTTCTCGAGATTAGCGCGTTCAAACAAACAAACTCTTTATAAAGGTAATATAATATTATTTTTTTATATCATCTTTTATAATATTAGTATAGATTAAAAGAATGTACTTATTACTAAGTAATAACTATACCTCGAAGCTTAGTATGGCATCGAATAAAAGTAAGCGATGTTGTTGATGATTTAAATATTCAATTGTATCGGAACTCAAAGCCACAACAGCAAAATGTCTAATTGTCGCGCTCAGCATTCGATCCCTTTGAAGTGAGAATTGTATAAAAGCGGTGGGAATTTTTCAAATTCCCCTGAAAGGACAGTCTAACCTCGATGTCGGTGAAAACTGGGAGTTTTCATTGACGTCAGAAACACGCGGAGTTATCGTAATTATCATCTGCGCTCTGAAAAGCCTTCAGAGGTTGACACTGCTGGGAGTGGGGTGTCACTAGATGTGGGTCGTGGATAATCAGTTATGACTGCGAAAGAACTAGGCGTGCGTTTATGAATGCTTAACAGGTGTACTTTAATCAAATGTACTTATTAAAATCTAGAAAAATAAATAACTAGTTGAGTAACAACAATCTATACTAATATATAAAACTGTAGAGTTCGTTTGAACGCGCTAAACAATTTTAGGAAATACTGGAGAAAATTGTATTTCTTTTTGTGTTAGTTAGTGCATTTATCGAGAAAGGTCATCTAGTATACTATGGCATCAAGTTAAGACTGAAAGGAGCGAAAAAACAGCGGGCAATGTAGAGAAAATGAGAACAATATTTACCTTTGTGGGCTTCCGATGCATACTATGATGATTCCTATTTTACTAATGCAAAAAAAATCCGCAACAGTACATGTCTATCTTATAAGATAAACTCCCAAGAACGACAGAACGCCATCGAAAACCGTCATGCTTAAATCTTTAAAGATAAAGACAAATTGCAAAAACAAAATTAAGTGGCGCAAAATAACTATTCAACGCGGACAAAGTCGCTGACACAGCTAGTAATATTATATGCATCAAGAAAATTAATAATAAGAAGAAGTACTATCTAAGGAAGTTAATGTTTATTTTGATAATTGTTTACCGTTTTTTTATGATATTGTTTGTTTCTACAAAGTAATTATCATGTAGTATAAAGAACCTCCTTCGCTATTGTAAAATAATGTTATTGTGAGACAGTTGAGATTGACAGTTGATGCCATGCAGTTGAAGAATAATATTGTCAGTGTCAACTGTCAACCGTATGTCGCGTGTGTATCCAGCAATTAAATCTTTAATCTATACTAGCTGTATAATATTGTGATGGAGACGATGAGCCAATGGTTAGATTAAACAATTAGGAGAAAGTCTGTAACAAACCTTACTTTTTACAAAATTAAACTATGTGTGTATTAAATTGTGTAAGGCTTTCACGGCCATCGTTCAGCATATCATTGTCTTTCGGGCTGTTCGGCCGATGTGAGCGAGAAGAGAGAACCTCTTCTCGCTCACATCGGCCGAGTGTACTCCTTTAGGGATTTTATTGTTTATGCGTATGTCTCTTTTTTGGTTGGTTGGTGAAGTAATTAACGCGAGGGTAGGTACTATGATTACACGGAGTAAGTCTACATATCTAGTCTAGTTTAGCCGTTGGGACGTAGTTAGAATAATTTTGTGAGTAAGTTACTATATTTCGCGTTTTAATCTGTTAAAATGTTTCATCTAAATGTGTACTACCCCCGTAAACTACAGTTAGTATTTAATTTAGATATGTTTTATTATCCAGTAGCAAAATGTAAGTAGGATTTTTCAAAATTATAATTTTCATTTCAAACTTTGAAATTTGTAGGCTGTAAGCGATTTGTGAATTTTGTCATGTCATTTCTTACTACCCTTATTGGTTGGTTGGGTATCTTAAGAAAACAATTGAAATGTGTTTGATCTGCCAGGGACTAGTAATATTCATGTTATAACTACGACAATGCGGGGTGTATCTGAATGATAGATATTTTAAACACTTGTTTTTTAAGGCAACAACTTAAATTTTGGTACTTTTGTTACAGATAAATATCTGAATTAGAAGGGATACAGAAATTAAGTATTTGGAGGCAATCAAACACAGAACCCCCACAATGGAGTTCAATCAAAGAAGCAAATACAACCATGCTGCATCGGACCACCAAAAGCACTACATTCACACGTCACAAAATATTCCGTTGCGATCTTTGCGTCCTAGACAAACCCCGGAATTTAAAGGCCCCGTCCCATTAATGAACGCGTATTATATGCACATTAATATGAACCACAAAGACTACAGAAGAACAAATAGTTATCGACCTTATCTTACACCTAATGACGTAAGACAACCGTACTACAATAATAATCATATTTATCCTAATTGGTCACAATATAGGAATGTGCGATTCTCTTCACGTATACCGTGTATAAATAATCTAATACCTATATTTCCTTCGCCTCCGCCGCCTCCTCCACCAAAACCAGAAGATAGCAAGGGTCAGGCAAACAGACGCCAAATAAAACCAAATGATCCTTATGTAAAAAATGAGCAACGTGCAGAAGTATGTAACAATTTAAAGATTATAAAAACACAAGACATTGTTGAAACTGGCAAAATACCAAGTAATTATAAACACCAAAGTTCTAATGAGACACCACGCTTTTCTGATACAACTAGAAATGATCAAGGCATAAAACAGGGTCAACTTGCGTTAGGTGTAAGTGATAAATGCGGATCAGCTACAAATAGTCCACCACTACTTGGCAAGGGATTAAATGAAGCCTGTAACGCCCAAAGTGTAATAAATAAACAACAATCAAACGTGAATGTAGGCAAAATAAAAATAATTGGAAATGATAACCAGGAGGTGGGACCAATAGTGTTTAAGAAAACATTAGCGCAACGATCTCACAATAAAGCAGTACAAAATGGATGTGAAGCAGTCAAAAAAAAAATCAATAACATTTCACAAACAAAGACTTCAAATGAAATCAATATAGGACATTGCCATTTGGATAATAACAATAAAGAAGAAAATATGACAAATTTAGGTTCCAACTCAACAAGAACAACCGAATCTAGTCAAAATCTTACTAATCCTCAAGTGGCCATAGATAAGACTAAAATTGTAACAATTGTTAATAATGCTCACAGCTCCTTAAATAGCAAAAATATAAATCACAGCAGTATGTATAAAAAAGACCCTGAAAAAATAAAGATATATCATGCAAACTATCCCCAGAGCAGTGATCATAATAGAACACATAAATTTAACGAAAAAATAAGTTATAATACGTGTCTGATGGCAACCGGGGTTGAAAAGATTTTAGAAGATGGAAACAACAATCTCTCAAATCAAGAAAATCAAAGAAAAAAGAATGAAACACATGATACTTTGAAGACCTTTAAGAATAGTGATATAAATCGTATCTCAAAAAACAAAAGACAGTCACTAAACACGGGCTATTCCCCGCCCATTCTCCCGATACCAACATTCGAAGCAATATTTGAAATGATGAAAAACTCACTTCTCTCGAACATGACTGTGGAAAATGATGTTACAACTATTTATAAAAAAAGAAAAAATAGCGATATTATTGATAATGTGTCAAAGAAAATAAATTTAAGTCACAAAAAGTAACGTAGACGCTGTTTAATTTTTGTTTAAAAGTCTTGTTAACATTACCATTAAAACTGTATAAATTTGTGCTTGTTAAGTACAAAGTATAGGATTTAAAATTAAAATTTTCGTTGTATGATTTAGGTATATTCGGTTATTGTTTTTCTAATATATTACCGTTTGCCTTTCATTTTGTCTTTGTAATTTACGTTTTACATTATATATGGCACTTTATTTTACATATCAAACGTAAAAATTATCATTTGTAAATTGTTCAATATTCAATAATTACGTATTGTAAGAATTTGTTAAGAGTAAGAATGTTAAAAATACTATTCCTTTTTTAATTTAAAAATCGAAAATAAATTGAAAAGATTCTCGACTCGGGCAGGACTTGAACCGGCATCGTCAGCGTTCCGTGCTGTTGCTCTACCAATTGAGCTACCGAGTTAGTACAACTACTCATCGTCGATTTTTTTCAACTTATTGATACATGCACCTCTCGCGCAATTACTTTTTAGCTGAAATTTTTAAATTTATTTGTTGCTGATAGTTTTTAAAACAAATCTCAGATTGTTAATAGTTCATATACATTATCATTATTATTGTTTAGATGTTAAATGCCAAAAACGCACATGTATACTGTACATACATGGTTTATTGGGTACAGATATTCAAAAATACCTAAAACCGAAACGTGTTTTTACTAACAATAAAAAGTTATAATTCATTTACCTTCTCCGGTCACCAATTATTTATCGACAGTTAAAAGTTTAATTGATGATCAATTAAAAAAGTTTCAAACTGTGAAATAGACATAAAGTTCAGATTGAGTGGAAAATGACGACGAGAACGACGACAATGCAAAGACCACAGAAATACTACCTGAAAAATATATGTAACGCACTCTACTACTTAGGCGTGGCAGATTGTTGGTATGAAATACGTGACGTAAAATATCCGATCATGAGAAAAGTATACTCATTAATTGCTAATGTGTTTGGAATAATATTTATTGCGAATGGCCTAGCCGCGCACTTTACTCCAGATTTAACTTTCAAAGAGAAAAACGATTTGCTTATATACAGCTACGGTTTCCCAGCAATAACGCTCAAAGTTATAATCGTATACGTTAGAAAAGAAGAGATAAAGATGTTTCTCAAGAAATTGGTTGAAGATGAAGAATTTGACGAGTCAGCAGTTAAAGCAGCTAAGTTGGTTATTAAGACGATGATCATTACCGTATACTCTGTTTCAGCGGTGCAGATGTCAGTTGGTTTTAAGGATTACTTTGTGGAAGGTAACACACGAAAAAAAATATTTTTGAAATACCTGAACTAGTTTTCAAAGATTATTACAACTTCCGAATGTGGTTTTAATATAGAAGAGAAATGAGTTTCACAGAAAATATCATTCTACAATTCTCATATAAAGTAATTCTGATTAGACTAGTTTATGGCACAAATTTAACCGATGTTTCTAAATTGGGAAGACATTTTCTATTTCCTAATAATCCAAGATTCATCACGACAATATCGCATTTGTTTACAAAAACTTGACAACACTATATTTTTTTCAGATATACCGATTCGAATAGAAGTGTTATTTTTTCCTAGGGAAACCGATACTGGTCACCTGGTTAATACGATCAGGGTTTTGGGGGTCATCCACTTCTGGTATATGATCTGTGTTATGACGGCCGTCGAATGCCTTTGTCTTTGTGCGTTGGTCTTCATCAGGTTCAAATTCATTCGGATCAGGGTCTTTTTTGAGGAGATGGAGAAAATACCTTTCAGTAGTGAGCTATATGAAAAAAGATTTGTCAAAGGAGTTGAGCTGTATAAGAAAACTTTGTGGTAAGCTAGAATCATAAGTAAAATCTTGGTTATTAAAAGGTTGATCATACGTTTGTGATTAACGAAATGTGTAAAACCAATTAGGGTTTCAACTATTGAACTACTAAGGCAGATTTGGATAAAGTTTGCGATGAGCATTAAGTGTTTTACCTAAACTCTTTCTCTCTCTGAAAAACTCTTTTGAACCAGTAAAGATAATAGTATTATACATATCTATATTTAATATACGTTTAACTACAATTAACTAACGTTGCTTATTAAAACTGTAATTCTTAAATTTTTAGGACCATTTAAATAAAATGTGTTTATGATGGATAGGTTCGAGTATTATTCTTATGTCTGATTTATCAATAGGTGCGCGCATAATGTCCAAAAAGCGATCGGTGGTGTTTACAGTGTCCAAATCGTGGAAAGTTTAAGCTTATTAGTCATTTTTCTCCTGAGAATAATCGTAAGTTGCTCATAGTAAATAAGTCTTTCAGTTGTTTTTTCTTTTATTCTGCTAACTCATTTTTTCCTTTCTTTCTCTTTCCCGTTTCCCACATGTCATTTAGATATTGCTAAAAATTCAGTAGGGTTAAAGGCACATGATGAAAGTTGAAAATACCCCGGTCTATCGACTTATTTTGACTTTGGATAGTTACAAATCTACAGACTGATATTATATATAAAAACCAACTTAAACCAACTCCATAGCTTTTTCATCTGTGAACCGTGGTTCGTGCCCGGGCGAAATTTCGAGACTTCCATTTAATATTCAGATTTCTAGAAGTCCAACACGTAAGAAGAAATACCAATTGATTAGAAATATGTTGGACCTGGTGGGTAAATAGAACCTAATATCCACTGATTAATAAGATGAAAATAGCTATTTTGTGAACTACTATAAATTGGTGCCCAATAGATTTAGAATTACATCATGTATTTTTAATTTGATTTTGCTTGCAGTATGCTGGTTCTGACATGATGCTGTTTCTAGTAAGCCTTAGTTCCTATCTCTTCATGGTTCTGCTTACAGGTCTATACATGATGTACTCTGCTAACGTCAGTTACGAGGTATAATTCTGCTTTACATGCTTTGTATAGTTATTATTATACATAACATTCTTAATATAAAATAAAAAAATAATGATATAAATAGTTTGCTCTACAACATAAACCTACTGTTAAGCACTATTTTGTAACCATTTATACTTAGTTCTATATTATTGGAATTGTATTAAAAAAGTTTATCTCGAATATTTATGAAAACCTAACGTAAAAACCCTTGTTAAGCATAAAAAATAATATTTTATAAAGACGCACATTAGTAACTGTTTGAAATAAGGAAAAACAATAAAAAACACCATATAAAATATTTATAATAATTAATATGTCTACAATTTAAATAAAACACTTTTAACGGCTTAAGACACGAAAGATTTAGATTAGAGAAGATTACTTAACTAGTTAACTTAGAGAGGCATTCTAAACCGATATAAGTGTTTTTTACGTGAGTAGTTTACATTTAAATAAAATGTACACTACTCACGTAAACCAAAGTAACTCATGTCATCAGGCACTTCAAGTACCAACGGCAGTTTTTCACTGCGGTTGGGAGAATGTGAAGATTAAAGCTGGTCTTAGAAAGCTCATAGTGGTAACTCTTCAGCAGAGTCAGAAGCAAATCCATATGACAGCTTTTGGAGTCATCAATTTGTCATACGAAACATTTATCACCGTAAGATTTGGATTACTTTCAAAAACTTTAAAAGTTTCAACAATGTTTCTTTGATACGAGTAATCTAATAAAGTAACCTTAAAAATGTTGAATTTAGACGGGATTCAAGATCAAGGGAATCAAGATCATATTTTCACGCGTATTGTATCTATATTCGCTTGATAAACATAAAAAAAATGTCATAAGAAGAATATACAGACTCAAATCGTGATTTTTTTTTCAGATTTTACGCCTGTCATACTCGTTTTTCGTAATAATGCGAGATAATAAGAAATCTTAAAGCACAAATAAATGGAACTCAGTAATTATTTTATTAACTATATTATTATTTATCTACCTAATGTATATCTTTTAACACGTACCTAGATTGTAGATTAATAGTCTTTGAACATATTGATGCCAGCGATAGGAAGATACTGGTGACTTACAATAGAGAAAAGTTTAAAACCATAAACAAAATAATCGCATATAATTGACAAATTGAGGCATAAATACGGCGCTCGTTTGAATGTTGTAAAAACCGTTGTCTCTGATTTATGTTAACTGCTCTGTGTATTTACACTGATTGTGAGTTATTTGTTTGAGTTTTCGCTCAGAGTAATTAAAACTAGAGTAAAATATTGTGTTTATTTTTAAACAACGATACAGTTGTATTATTTTATGGCTGAGGGTTTTTTGTACGTTTCAGCAATATTTCATGTGATTAAATTGACGATAGCAGTAACAAACATTTTTTTTGGATTACTGAAAAGTTGTTTTCACTCGGAAACTTGTTTTTCTATTCAAATGTTAACGAATAATATCGGTTAGCTACAGAAGTCCTTACAGCTATTTTTTTGACGTTTTGTTTATTCACGAGGTTTAGTGAACCAGAACAAAAAAAAAAATAGGGTTCATACCCTATTTTTGTTTTGCAAAAACTGACTACTCCTAGGACATGGATTTAAAATCTTCATATAGTTAAAAGAAATACTATTAAACAGTGATAGTGAATTTCTGCTTGTTTTTGTTTTCGATTTTAGCCTAAGGTTAATAATAACACTCTTAATAATGTACATTCTACATTTAGACCCGGTTATTTTCGTATTGTGTTGATATTTACAAATAAATTATGTTAGTCGCCACCGGTGGTTGCAAAAAAACTCATTTACTTAAAATTAATTTAATTAAAAATATTACATTTAATTATTCCTACTTGTCTCCCTGTGCACGATGCATCAGTTCGACCCTTACAATTATATTCTACTACATTTAATTAAATCTAGGTGTCTCCCTGTGCACGATGCATCAGGTCGACTCTTACAATAATTCTGATTAATATCTTATACTAAAATGGGCAATGGCAACAGAAGCGTCATATACCGATCGCACGGGTATCGAATACGCGCACTATCAGCAGTTTCCCCGTAGTGGCACAGCTTAGGGCCGGCACACAACAAATACATAGCCTCGTATTGTTTTGTATTTATTTATTACATTTCTCGCGTGCACGGGTAGAAGTAATAACTCGTCCATATCTCTAGTTGTGTAATATCAGTTTCGTTTTTAAGAAAACTCACAGGAAATATATTTGTATCTTTTAAATGTGAGAATTTGGATGACCGCCAAAAAATGTTGCCAAATTCATACAGAGCGCTGCGTTTAAAAATAATTGTGTTTAAGTTTTTGGAAAGTTGGAAAACAATGGATTTGTCGCTATTGTTTTTAAGTTATTAAGAGACTAGCTTTTTGTTTTTCTTCCACTGTCTGACATTGCTGTCCTTGGAACGAGATATTGTTATCGAGTTTATAATTTCAGATAAAGTAAATGGTGAACAATGTCGAAATCTGTTACACAACCGGCGATATTAGTAGACTATATACTATGAAACATGGAAATAAAAGTGTCTGCCCGTATAAAGTGATGCGTTGCCTTTTATTGAATTTAATATTGTCCTGACATTATAATGGCATAACTATTAGTGATTTTTTTATACTTAATACATATATATATTAAAAAAAACATATGATTAAAAATATCATCTACATCCGTTGTGAGCCTCTTAAAGTTTTTCCTTTTTTTTCCTGTTTCTTCGCTCTTATTCGTCGCGGCATAATATTTTGTAGCCTTAAAGCCGTCTACGATAGTCGCTCTTACATTCACAGAAATATTTGTTTAATTCGAACAAGTAGTTCCTGAGATTAGCGCGTTTAAACAAACAAATTCATTAGCTTTATTATACCTATTGGTATAAATTTCGTTTTACTCATGTACTCAAAGTAGAGGTCGAGCGTCGTACTTTGCTACGAGACCTATACTTAGCGGTATTAAAGCTGATTACTAGTTGGTATACAAGGAAAAGTTGGCGAATTTGGTGTTTAATCGCTAAAATTAGTTATCACACAGCGGATATCCGGCTTAACGCCACGCTGCACGCGACGGAAGCTCTCCCACAGCTAAATAATAGCTTCGCTGCCCCTACCACCCGTTATCGATACAATAGATGCTTTCAAAAGCAATAATCTATACTAATAAAGCTGAAGAGTTTGTTTGTTTGACCGCGCTAATCTCAGGAACTACTCATTCAAATTGAAAAAATCTTGTTTCATTGATTTTCGGGCTGTTTAGCCGACGTAAAGAGAAGAGGTTCTCGACTTTTCGGAGATCATGTTCGAACATCTCTTGATGATGCCGTCCGCTGTTGAAGGCGTCCATCATGACATAAAATAGTATCTATGGCCAAAATTTTAATACAAAATACAGAATGGTTATAGATATAAAAACTCTACTATAATTTAAAAACGATCCCTGAATGCGGTCCAACCCGTTAAAAATGTATGCTGATGGCTTGACATTATATTATGTCTAAGATATTTCACTTTCTTTTAAGACATTATAGCACTTAAAACACACTTTAATATTTAAATTAGAGTTTCAACCGAGTAGCTAGAGATATGAAAATGTATCAGTAATCGAGAATCAATAGTAGGGGACACCAAACAATATGAGAATATTTCGCGTATCTCATCTAACTAGGTATTAGATAATAACTGGATCAAATTACGCTTTGTATTGTATAGAGACAATAACTAATTGTGTTATACTGTGAGTATATTGAACTAGAAGTTGGTTTTGTAAACTATTAGGTTGATAATAGCTTGACATTTTTAGTATAATATATAATAAACGGTAAATGGTATGGATTTTTTAATCATAGTGTAAATATTGAAATCACGATATCATAAATGGCATTGGTTTTCATTAACCAAATAGTGTTCTCAAAACATAACGAAAACAAACACAAATGGTTTGTTCCACGTAGTATCACTTTTTTATTTAAATGTGTTCTATTCGCGTAAACTACAGACTATACTTTTTTATGTTACCAAGTTTGGATTAGATATAGAGATTAATTCTAAGATACCTTAAATTATGTATCTCAATCCTCAAAGAAAGTATAATTCAATGCTAGAATGACGATGTTTCATTTAGACAGCCGCAAACTCACCTACTAACCCGAAGAAAATTTAGCCTGGAAATGTGTCGCAGTTCTAAATATCAAGAGACTTAATTTTAAAATAAGTTAAACTAATATATTTCGTGTTCTAAACCGTTAAAGTATTTGTTACTCGCGTGCATTATAAACATTGTTTAAGGATGTTCTTCCTTGGATATTTAACAACCATTACATATACATAATTTTATTTATTTTTTACAATTTAAAAGCCAATGAAAAATTAAAATAGTGTAAAAAGTATATTCAGTTAATAAACTTTTCAAATCATTAGACTTACAGAAATAAAAATCTTAAACACACACAAAGGTCCTAGATAAGAATGTATTGTAGACAAATATATTACATCTTAGTACAGTATTTAATTTCATAGAATTTAAAATAATTTGATCTAAGTTTGTAAATGTTTAAAATAAATGTTCTAAGCTACACGAATTCAGAACATACTCTCAAAGATCCGGGTATAACTACGTTTATCAGACAATTATACCACACTTACCCGGGATAACGTAATTTAGGATTCATTTAACGAAGGGTGGTAAAGTTTGTCCGAATATATGAAGATCCTCTTGAGTAGAAGATACGATTCGCAAACCTTTATTAAATTGACAAGTTTATAAACGCGATTGTATGTATTAGCGCCTTTGCACACGAGGTTGCTATTTTAAAAATTAAAAATGTGAATACGATTTTGTATAAATTAAAAATCGATTATAAATTAAAAAAAAATACGACATGGGCAGGATTTAAGAGACACTGTTTGTTTATATTGAACAAATAACATCTATTCGTAGTTTGGTTTTTTGTATAAATGTTAAATATTTTTTTTGCAGACGAAAGTCTATATGGAAATATTATTCTTTTCTCTATAAGCATTTTTGGATAACTATGCACTTCACTCTCATAACAAATTATATAAGATATATCTAGAATGAAAAAGTTGATACAAACTATATGTCTCTTACCGGAGTGACAGTCGTGTGAAAAAGTCTTACTATTATTTTGCTCTCTGCTGATAACGCCAAAGACATTTTTTGGTATTTTTATTACTTGCCTTGGCGTTAGTCTGGATCTTTAGTGTTTTCGGTTAAATTACAAATTATAAGACCCTTTTAACCCGCTGTGTTCTCGGTGACTCTGGAAGTATTTACTAAAACTACGACAGTTATCGTCTCTTCATTTGTCTTTAAGGGTTTAGCTTCGACTAAACCTTTTATTTGACTAGACTCATATGCTAGGGCGGATCCAGTTTTCGCGCGGAGGGGGTCACATCGTATGGTCAAGTCAAGAACTTATAATTTAATTTGGATAACAATAGATACAAGTAAAAAGTGGGTATTTTATTATTGTACATACGTAAGCGTACTGTAGTTCAAAATATTCATTCTTAATTTTACACTTGATGATTTAAATACATAATAATTTGTAAATAAAATCAATGGGTTAAATTACTGGTCCATCTAAATCCAAGGGTCAAGACACCGTGACCTCAAAATAAAGAATCATCAAGGTTTAATGGCATGTGTTCACAGGCGGTGAGTAACAAAGGGTAATGTTTTA